TTCGACAGCTTAGCAAAGAGCCTGTTGCTCCTTAAGCGAGTGAGGACCTCGGTGACATGCTTCACATGTACCTCTTCAGTGTCACTGAAGATCAGGAAATCATCTAAGTATACCACTACATATACTCCAATGATGTCTCGGAAGATGTCATTGATGAATGACTGGAAGTGAGCCGGAGCATTGGCTAGGCCAAAGGGCATCACTAGGTACTCATAGAGTCCCAACTGAGTGCCAAAAGCTGTCTTCCATTCATCTCCTTTAGCAATCCGGATGAGGTTGTATGCTGCTCTAAGGTCTAGCTTGGTATAGATCCTTGCCTTCCTGAGTAAGAACAGCTGCTCCTCGATGAGGGGCAATGGTGCCCTGTTCTTGACAGTGATCTCGTTGAGACCTCTGTAGTCCACACAGAGTCTGAGACCTCCATCCTTCTTTGGTACAAAGAGCACTGGTGATCGTGCCGGGCTCTTTGATGGTCTTATGAACCCCTTCTCGAGGTTCTCATCCAAGTATCTCCTCAACTCGGACATCTCCTTGGGTCCCTTAAGGTATAGGGGCCCTTGAGGTGGCTTACCTCCTTCTATCAACTCGAGGTGGAGATCATGCTCGGTATGATGGGGCAGCTTGTCTGCTTCCACCTCATCAAACACATCTCGCAGGTGTTGGTATGGCTTTGGTATGTCTGCAGCCGTCACCACCTTATCTACCTCCACCTCCATCTCGACTCCTTTGTCTGCGCCTGTAGGTACAAAACCAAAGGCCGGGAGTGATGATGGTGGCTCCTCTAACAGCATGAACCCTATGGGTCCATCTTCCAGAGCTGCTCGTAGTATGCGCTCTGCTGAGACAAACTCGTTACCATGAAGGGTTGGTCTCCTCATGGTTAGGTCCCCTGCTCTTGCTGCTTCAGGGGGTCTCCTAGGGGTTCGGTCCTGCTCCTGAGTCTTGAACTCCAGCTGGCCCGTATCCCATTGTATGGTGGGTTTGAGCCTCCGTAGCTCAGTGAACCCCAGGATGAGGTCATAGTCTGCAGTGTCGGCCACTGAAGCTTCGACCACACCCAGATTGTGTGTACCAATAGATACCTGCATGCTCGCAGAACTATTGATGGAGAGTTGGTGCCCGGTGACACCATGGATCGATCTTGTTTTTATGGGTTTTGTGGGTATTTGGTACTTACTAATGAAAGAATCTGAGACTATGGACAAACCAGCACCGGTATCAGCTAGTATCCGAGCAGGATGGTCTTGAACCATTCCAGAGAGCTCCAGTACTGCTTTGCCTCCACTGGTAGAGAAACATACTTGACAATCTTGATATATACAGAGTGATGGCGAGGAGGTTTGTAGAGCAATGCATGCCATCAGTGCATCACCCCACTGACGTTTCCCTCGTCGTCATCATCATCGTGCTCCTCCTCGTGATCGGGGTCCATGGGTTGCTGGTATGAGCTGAGGTCCATGGCCTCGGGGTCACCCGTCTCAGTACTGCCTGTGTGGCCATCTCCTGAGTCGGTGGCCTCCTCGAAGGGGTCTGCTGTGGTGACCATAACCTTTGGTCCCATGGGTCGAGAGCTAAGAGGGTTTACCCTCCTGCTGGGGCAGTCTCTGGCCCAATGGCCGATACCTTTGCATACATGACAGGTGTTGATACCTGATGGAGCAGGGCTTCCTTGCTTCAAGGGTTGGGTGGGATGATGAGGAAGGGGTCGGTTTAGGTTTTGTATAGTTGCTTGTGTAGTTGCTTGTGATGGTGATCGAGCTGGATAAGGTTGAGTGGGTTGTCGGGTGGGGATCGAACTTTGATTTGGCCGAGACCCAGTTCTTAGTGGAGGTGACATGGCATTTGGAAGTGAGTGTCTAGCCGAGGACTGCTGTAGTAGCATCCTCTGTCGATCGATCTCCTCGACCTCTCGATACCACTCCCATCTCTTCCCAGGTGGATTCCTCTCGAACTTCTCCTGTATGCTACGAGTGAGACTACCTCTGAAGAGATCAATCACTAGCTCATTGTCATCTAGGTTGACCTGTCCTTCCAAGTCTCTGAACCGCTCTACATGACGTGTGGCAGCACCAGGAGCATCACTTGTGAGTCTGAGAGCCAACAGCTTGTTGTATGCCTCCATCCTAGCATTGCGTGGGTTGAACTGCTCTGACAGTCGCTCTGTGAAGTAGTGCCAATCATTGAACAACCTTCCTTCTCTAGCTCTATCAATACGGAGCTTGGAGGTCCACCACTCTCTTGCTGTCCCTTCCAGTTGAGCACCCATGTGATTGATCATCCTAGACTGCTCATACACCTGGTTGAACTTAAACCATGCTTCGGCTTCTAGAATGAAGATCTCCATGTCTCGGGGATTGAACTTTGGAAAGGGGGTGGCGATGGGCTTTGACCGGTTAAGCTCTGCCATGATGCTGGTATCCTCCTCATGGTCCAGGGGGTAAGGGTCCGTCCTAGTCCTGCTGTAGGGGTCCAGCTTAGTCTTGACATATCTTGGCCCAGTAGGTGAAGCATACTTCTCATAGTTGATGTCCTCCTGCTCATCCAGGTTGAATGAGACTGATCGTCTTGGTCGTGGAGCCAGAGTAGGAGTATGTGGGTCTCCTATCATAGACTCATCTCCTCCTCCTGCTTGGTCTTCTGAGTGAGAGAGGTCCATTGTCTCCTCCCTACCCAGCTGAGCTCGTTGTAGTCGTTCCTCTCGATGACCCTGCCTAGTAAGCTCTAGCTGAGCTTCCAATAGAGTGAGTAGTCTATCGAGCTTATTGTTGAGGTCTGGGTCCGTCATGGTGATCGTGAGGAGCTGCTTGAACGATCCACTCTAATGTCAGGGGTCTCGCGCCTGAAACCCAGGTCGGTCTGTCGAGATACTCGGTGACTATTAAACTGTGTGACAGCTATTGTCTCGGTATCGGTGACTATCAAGTTGTGCAGTGACAGCAGGTGGCGTTCGTTGTATATACTATCGTAGGTTTCGGCTGACCTCTGTGGACACTCCGTTCAGGGGTAGCTCGGCACGATCAATATCAATGTTATGATGACACCAAGGTCTGGTGTGGGTGTTGATGATGATGAGGTTGATGGTGTTGGTGATGAGATTGGTGATGTCGATGATAATGAGGTTGATGGTGTTGATGATAAGGTTGGTGGCGTCGATGATAATGAGGTTGATGGTGTTGGTGATAAGGTTGGTGGCGTCAACACGAGTGTCCAGTGTGTTGACTTGATGCTTGAAGTGATCCCCGGACCGCAGTGGACTACTGCCTTCGGTTCTATCTATATCCGGACCGCTAACCTGCTATGGGCGCCTTCGGACGTCAGGTAGTGGTGATACAACACACACACTACGATGAGGAGCAACCTTGATAGATTGCTGCTATGCTGACTGAAACTAATGTATACTTATGCTGAAGTGATAACTAGTTATGGTGAGTAGAGTGGATGGGGATCCACTCGACCTATGATGATGAGAAAGCATGGTTATATACCTCTTCACAGCATCGCCAGCGATGCTGCTCCTGCTCTCTCTCCAGAGAGTACTTTCTTCATCGAGTACTGCTCAGGGGCCTCTCCTGCTTGGCACCCCTGTGCCTCTTGAGTGGTGTCGACTCCTTCGACACTGCTCCTCCTCCTCATGACCTGTGTCGACTCCTTCGACACTGCTCCTCCTCCTCATGACCTGTGTCGACCTCCTGTCTCTCGAGCCCCTGAGTGGTAACCATCTGAGCTTGGTCCTCCTCATGGCTGCGCCTGCTCTTTGAGCTTGGTCCTCCTCGTGGCTGTGCCTGGTCCTCCTCGCATATGGGCTCAGTGCTCCTTTGCATGTGAATCCATAGGAGTCCATGGTCTCCATGGAGACTGCACTACGACCATGCTCTCTACTGGTATCGACTAGATCTTCGATACCTGTGCTCCGTCCATATGAACCAGTGACCCTCCTGCTTCTTGAGCATCCAGGCCCATGACAGTATGCACTTGGTGCTGGGTACAATGAATTCAGACCAGTATATTGAAATCTTGAATGACAAGCTTGTGAAAACAATGTCAGATTTGCAGCTTCAGCATGCATATACCAACATCACTTTTCAGCAAGACAATGACCCAAAACACATGTCGAAGAAGACAACAACATGGTTGGCAAGCAATAGCATTAAGGTTATGCAATGGCTGGCACAGTTGCCTGACTTAAACCTGATTGAACACCTCTGGCACCATCTCAAAATGCAACTTTCACAGTATAGTACAAATGCAAAGTCCAGGGATGAACTGCTCAAGAGATGTGAAGCTGAATGGACAGCAATCACTCCAGAGACATGTAGGATGCTAATAGAGAGCATGCCAGACTGCATCAAGGCAGTTCTGAAGGCCAAAGGAGGGAATACAAAGTACTAAGGTGTTGTCAAGGAGCACTCCATAAACTGTCCCACAATAAAAAAAATTCTCAGCTTTTCTTCAAAGCACAATTTTCTCAGGCAATGTCAATATCAATTACACAGTCTTGGAGAGAAGAAGCAGGGCTTTCAGACAATATCAGACAGTGTGGCAATACAACATATGGCTATTGAGCATTGGAGTGATGTGTGGTGACATGTAAAATCAGGGGACAGTTTATGTGCAAGCTGTATATCAAGCTGAGAACACTAGGTTCTCACCATGTTCATTAGTCAATTGATTATATGTGTTTCTGCCCTAAAAGTAGTAGTGACATTGTACTCAGACTCTCCCCGATCGCCAGTTATCGGGACCAAACGTCTTCAAACTTCAACATTTCATTGCTTCCGCTCGTGAGCAGCACAATGTGCCTTCCGCATGCCGGAGGAGGTCATGTCTCAGGGCTGTCAGTCACAATTGACACGCACAAACACAACAAGAGAGCGAGGATATGAACGTGTGACACGAGTGACACAATTGGATAATGGAAACTGGCTACTACAGAACGACATGACAGAAATAAAGGACGGGCTCTTTGCTCTGCCGAAGATGGACTTGGTGATGATAAGAATCTAATCGTCTTGCAACTGGTCACCCTCTTCATCATCCTTGGACGAAGAAAGCTGCTGCTGCTGCTTCTTACTCTCCCCTTGAGCCGAGGAGGCGGAACGTGAATGCTCACGCGAGTCGGCACTGCTGTCGTCTTTTCCGTCCGCGTTCATTGCCGACTTGAAAGTATGAGCGGGCTGCTTGGATGTTGCACCTTCACCAGCTCCAGCAGCAGCATTGCGAGACTGAGGCAGACCATCGTCATAGTCAGCAGTGCCCGTCTTAGCTTCCAGCTCGCGAACACGTGCTTCCAAGCCTCGCACACGGCCTTCCCACAAGACACGCTCCTCACGTACGCGACGCTCTACTGTCTCTTCAAGTACGCGACGACTGGACTGCAGAGTCTGTAGCAAAGTGTTGGAACGCTTAATTTGGTCCTCGAGCGTAGCTTTAAGTGTCCTGCTGTCATAGAGAGAGTCGTAGAAGTCGGAAAAGAGTGAGAGGAAGTGGGCTTTGGATGAGGGCGGGGAACGAAGGTGGTCAGGCAAGCGCGCTGTGAGAGGAGGGTTGTAGGCCTGACGTCCTGCAGGGTGGCCACGAGCAAACTGGGTGGTGTGATATGCTGGAGAAGGAAGAGTGGCTGTCTGAGGAATGTGACCGCCAGGCAAGCGTGTGGATGGTCCTTGTCGAGCGAGGGGGTTGGCAGTATGAGGCATGTCAGGCATGCGGCCTTCACGAAGACCGAGTACGTCTTCTCGCTCGTCACGACGGAACGGTTCGGAAGATTCATGTGGCCGCGAGCCAGAGACAAGACGCTGCTGCTCGTTGCGAGGGTGTCCGAGAGGCTGAGAGACTTGCATGGAGTGATTGTTGGGTCGGAGGACAGATTCGCGGGGAGCTTGATCCTGAGGCATCGGGTGGTCTCGACTGTCAAAGCCAAAGGAGAGCTTCTGCGGCGGTGCGCTCTTAGCAATACCGGAAGAAGACTTGACGAGGGCGGCTGCTTCAAAAGTGGATTCAGAGCCTGTGTTGATGTGTAGGCGACTGGCTTTTGCTTGAGCAGCATCGCCTCTCCTGCGAGCGAGACCGGGCATGGAGGGACCATGGTCATGGCCATCGTCGTAGCTGGACGCGGAAAGCACGGAGGGTCGATGGGATTCCTGCATGGGCGGCAATGGACCGCCTGCCGAAGCTGGACTGTGTGCTGGTCTGTCTAGGGGTGAGAGACGTCCGTTGGGTCTGTTTTGGTAAGGAGCGTTGTGAGGAGAACGGAGGTCGTCGGCGTAGGCGTGGCTCTCGTCCAGGAAGCGCTGCGGCGGACCGTCACCTCTTCGAAAAGGAGGTGAACGGCCGCCGTTGCCTGATTCGTCGCGTCGTCGGTCGTCGCGGTCGAGACCATCGGCGATCCGCCTGCGCTTGAGAGCGGTGGTTGCTGGATCTCCGCGCATGGCGGCAGCGTCTTCTTCGGCAGCGGAAGGCTTGAGAGGGAGTTGTAGTTGAGGGCTCGCAGCAGGACGGGCGTTGGAGGAAAGCTGACCGTTGGAAGGTAGCGATTGTCCGTAGCGTGGATCTTGTAGGGGCTGAGGGGGTGGACTGTATCGGCTGGGACCGTCTTGAGCGGAGCGATAGCGGGTGTCAATCAAATCTTCTCTACGGGCAGCCTCTTCTTGCTCGTATCTGCGTTTTCTCTCGATCCAGAGGTCGCGGGAGCGGTCGATGGGCTCTTCGTGCATGCTCTTCGAGTTGTCGGAGAGCAGGTTGAGGTCGTGGGTAGAGGCCTGGGGAGAAGCGTGATGTTGGAGCGATAAGCAGGACTTAGGATGGCGGTACTTTCGAGGCTGCTCTTCAAATGCGAATTGCAATGCGGTCGGGGTGTGTTGGCCAACGGCGTTAATTGCGAGTAAATAGTCCTAATGGATGGCGTCGGCCAAATGGTTAGGATGGTTAGGAAAAGGCGGACTTGAAGTAGCGAGGTGATGAAAACAGACCAGGATGGTTGGTTACAAGTGATGGCGCGGTGAAAAAGGGACGAGAACGCAGCTCGCCAAGTGTGGTAGCGAGTAGGAGATGCGCAAGCTTCCCGGTGGTGAGGCGTTGAAGTGTATCAAAAGCTTGAAGGAGAGTCGGTGATCCAGTGGCTTAGTGCGTCTAGGCTGGCGGAAGGAGACAGTGAAGAAGTTAGATGATGGGTGTGAGACGGAAGGAAGATGGCTTAGAAGAAGACGACCAATGCAAATAGCCAGGATCGACTGCATGGGCAAGCAAAGGTGCGAAGAAGCAAGAAGGGGAGAAGGGAAGAAGGGGAGAAAGGGAGATGAGAAGCAGGAGGAAGAGCTCTGAGGGGTCAAATTGAGTGGATCCGAGCGGTGTGGGAGTCAAGTGAGCGTGTGACTGCGAAAATGTTGAATTTTTATTATTATTATTTTGGACTGAAGGGAAAGCCGAGTGTGAGTTGCAGAGCAGCTCGGTGAGGGCGCAACAACGCGTAAAAGGGCAATAGGACCCTCCCAGAGTTGGTTGGAGCACCCTGCACAACTCGCTGTTGACACGGGGAGAGCCCAACGACACAGGCCATCCGCCTTCCCGTCGAACAACGGGCGGAAGCCCAAATTCTAATTGCAAAGAGGCCAGTTCTCAACGCAGTCAGCCACTTTCTTTGGTCTCTCGATGAAGCTCAACTGCAATCTCATCAAGCCAGCCTTGTGTTGAGGTACAAGTATGGCCTTTGGATCAGTGCGTGTGAGGAGAGAAGTGGCATCAAGATTGGCTTTACCTTTATCGAGACTGTTGCCGCTAAAAGCATCTGTTGCCGCAGAAGAACAGTCTTGCCCGAGATGCGGAACATCCGAGCGTCGCCCCGAGCGCGTGCAAATATTGTGGCTGAGAGACCCTCTCGTTCGACGCCGAATCGAGCAACAAGGTTTTCCAAGAAAAAGAAAAAAAAAAAAAAAAAAAAAAAAAAAGAAAAAGAAAAAAAAAAAGGGCTCTCTTTTCTCCCTGGTCACGACTCTCTTGATTAGTCATGACAAGCCTCTCTCCGCCTGTTTCGTTCTTTTGAGTCGGAGCTCGAGCGGACAAAGCGTCTCATCAAAGCTGTGGCGCGCTCTAAACGTTAAAGTGGGCTTCCCGCCTCTGTGCACGAGCCTGGGAGCAGCATTGGTAAGGTGCGTCGCTTTGCTCTCCAAGTGATGAGAGTTGGTGTCTGAATCAGAGAACACTCGATTTGCTCGCATCTTGCTCACACTCCGTCAGCAACTTGAACGCAAACAAGGATTTGCGAGCATCTCGTACAACGAGCTGTACAAGCAAGATCCAGAGAACACAACACTGTCACACAAGAAGCAAGCCGAACTTGCAGGGTCCGCGTCGAATCTGACTTAGCCGAGGACGCCTGCTTCTATCGCCAGACCTTTTCCCTCTTGACCCTGATCTTCCTGTAACGACAACTCAACGTCAATATGGGAACTTGCATCATGAGGTTGATACCTTCCATATCTTTTGACACGCTTTGAGAAGCCTTTCTTTCTTTGTCCCTCGCTGTACAGAGCCGGTCTTGTCATACGTCTCCTTGTCTACTAAGAAGCTAGTCACGCCAGATGCTACGCTTGCTTGTCTGTACCTTGAGTGTGTACCAGTGACTCGGGTTCTCTGGGCTGGAGAGCCGCAGAGTCGAGACCTTTTGATTATATGAGCTCATAGCATATACAACGAGAGCAGATCTTTGTCAGTTCCCAAAAGCGTGAGACAGGGGCTGCTGCCTGAGACTCCTTGGTGAGACAGCGCGCTGCGACGGGCGCCTGTTGCTCCTGTCTCTCCGTTACTTTCTTCCTGCATGCAGACGAATTCGACTAATCTGATCCAGTCGTTCTTGCTGTGACTTGGTTTTTGAGCAACATACCAGACGCTTCGAAGCTCAAGATGAACTCATGCAGCAACATCAAGTCCACAAAAGCATCAATCAAGCAGGTCGCAGGATGAGGCCGTTGCCGGCAAGAGAGAGATTTGAATCGCGTTCCAGCCTGTCACACACAAAAGCTTCTCCTCACTCAGTCACGCTTCCAGATAGAGAATGCAATTGTCCATTTCCAATAGTTATGCTACATGATCGTTCTACTTCTGCTCAGTAATGACGACGAGGGGATGGGCTAAGAATATAGCCTCCGCTGCTCTAGCCGGCGCCACGAGGCATGGGCGCATACGTGGTGTGCTGATCTGGTACAGCGGCAAATGGTGATGCGATCGGCCGCTGAGGCAATGCATAATAGCCTTCACTCTGTACCATCATCCGTCCGTGTTGGATAATAGTTGGCATTCGGCGTGTCATATATCCTTCCAGAAGGTCCTTTACCACCGGCGCCGCAACCTGGGTCTCATAGTTGGGACTGTACGGCGTTAAAGGTGACGCTCGTCTTTGTCGCCCTTCTTTGTGGTGAACTCAACTGACAGGCCTCGAAGGAGTTGTCCCCTATGTCCACTTGTGCGTACCTCTGTGACATGTCGACAGGTCTCTTCAGTGGGCTAGAGAAAGGTGTGCTGTAGTAGTCATCTGCTGCCTCATATCGGTGGGCATCGCGTTCATCGTAGTCTTCTTCTTGTTGTGCTGCTTCTGTGTACGAGTGACCGCGAGAGTTGTTGAAGGACCTGCAGCAAATGGCGTTGATCACAAGTATCGATTGCGATTATGATCATCAACTAAGTACAAGACGATACAAATCTATATATGTCTCTTCCGGCGTTCTGTGTATACGTGTATGATACAGGGATGTTGAAGCTGAAATATGACGGGCCAACTATACCGGATATCAGATAGCCAGTATGCCAATGCCTGTCGCGATAGTCGATCCGGGCAATGTGATACATATCCGAGTGAGCGAAGTTGGTGGCAATGTGAGATCGGACTACAAGTCACATATTTTCACTGTTGGCAGGTCCAGCTGCACGCGTCGCAGGTCGGCTGACGGAGCGTCGAGAGCTCTCGTCCATCGCTTCTTCCTCCATCGTCGCATCCAGCTGTTGACATCGGCATAGGTGCTTTGATCATTCTTCAGGGCCAAGCCCGCCATCAGGATGACAGTCAAGCCAGGGAGGCTGGCGGTATTGAGAAGCTGATTTGCTTCAAAAGTTCTCCTCTATTGATTGACATTCAACATGGTCTTGTCTAGCAGACAGCTTGGCTGTAGACCGTTGACACCTCTTACACATTGAGCAGGAAATGCAAGGAAATTCATGGAAAAAAAAGCAATAATAATAAATATATACAAAATTATGTTTTTTTGCTAGAAAAATGGCAAAAAAGGGGGGGGGGCCAACCCGGAATCGAACCGGGGACCTCTGTCAACTTAGGATCGTGGTTGCAACCTCGTAACCCTAAGACAGCATAATAAGCCACTATACGATTGGCCCCTCTCAAGAGAAAAGCATTATACGTTGCATACATGTTAATGTATAAATTTTTGCCAAAATTACAAAGCACCTCCACCTGTAAAACGCGTGATACTGCCCGCACAGGTCACCGCCTCATCACTTCACTGCTCCGTATGTTGTTGGCAATCCGCTTCGCCATATCAAAGCTAATCATTTCACCCCTCATTCCGTCGCAGCTCGACTCCAGACACGGCCTGAAGAGGGCGCGCCGCAGTAACACAAGTTATCCACACAGGAAGTCAGCGCTCCGCCTTGCCTTTGCATCCTGACATATCACAGTTCGCAGATCCAGCAATACCATCACAGCAGATCTAATACACCATGCCGTTGGACGACTGGCGAAAGAACTTCAACAAGAAGCTGGACAACTTTGGCGAAGATGCGATGAAAAAGGTTCGACAGCAGCGCGAGGCAAATGCTGGCGGTAGCTCTGCTGGTGGAGGTAGAGTAGGACTTCAGGATCGAATGAGCATGCTCAAAGGCGAAAACCCTAGATGGAATCGAGATGTGGATTCTCGAACGTCGGCAGCAGGAGGGGGAACCGGGTCAGACTATAATCCGACAGTTGTACCAGAGAGAAGTCGAGTGCCACCTGCACCACCATCCGCATTGAACAAGGGTCGTCCACCTCCTCCTCCAGCTAGACACTCAGCCACAGGGTCGATCGGATCGGTGGGCTCTGCGTCTGGACATGCCCCGTCGTTGCCTCCACGCATGCAAAACGAGGATGGGACGAGCAATCCACCCCCACCTTATCCTCCGGCCCAGCATGTGTATCCGACTAGCGAGGGCGCAGGTCATATCGAGTTCTCGCGCTTCACGAGACAAGACAAGGCTGCCTTCTTTGAGCTTCTTGATGAAGTGAGTATTCTCCGTTGCAATTGAAGATTATGTGTGTTGCATTTTACTGACTCAGATTCTGTTGCTCATCACCGATTTGCTCTTCGACAACAGTACTTCGATCAGCGAGAACGTGGTCTGCGCTGAAAAAGTGCTGCAACACTTGCAATCACTATCGCCGCTCTCGAATAGCTGTGTCCATTTTCTTGTCACTATTCTTCTGATTCTCACCACGTCCCTTGGAGCATTCATTCAACCCAAACTCTCGTAGAGTGCTTTCGGCGCGCACAAAGATCACACACCATGCCTTGAGCTGATCCTCTGCGCGGTCAATGTGTATGATTTGCAAAAGTTTGACACGGAACAAGGAACAAATGCGATCGGAAATCTGAACGATCAAGAAGGTGATTTGGAATGATGAGGGAATGATGCACTTGTATGCCGTATACTGTCCGCTCACTTGCTCGCGGAAGAGCTGGCTTGCGCTGGCGAGTCGACACTCTTAGGCGAAACAGGTGATGTGATGTCGTTTGCAAGCTTTTCCAAGTGCTTGTCGTCAGCTGCATCGGTACCTTCGAGCGCCTCACGAATCATGCTGACGGTCGACTCTAGTGAACGACGACGGTTCGAGGGACTGGACATGGTCGTGCCAAGACTGCTCGTCCTAGAGTGTCCGCGACGGTGACCACCTGCGATGGGCGAACTCGGCGTCGCAGGCGACGCTGGACTGCCAGGCGAGGCCATATCCTCGAATGCGGGGGAAGAGACACGGGCGCCATCGGCAGGTGAAGCGGGTCCAGCCTCGTCGGCATCGATCAGGTCGGGAGGGAGACGCTCGTTCTCGATATCTACCTTTCGGGCGTCGTCGAAGTTGGCAATGCCTTCCTTGACTCCTTCAGAACCAAGCACGAGCGTTCCATACGGCAGCTTTGCGCTAGTCGCTGATGATTTGAGTTCGGAAACACGCTCGGCTTCTTCTCGCAACAGGGCAAAAACACGAGACATTCTGCCGACAGCAAGAATCTTGTTCTTGATCATTGTCCTGCGCTCTGCGGTCTCCTCTTCGCCCGATGAGGTGGGTGTGGTTGGGATCTCGTCCTCTTCCTCCTCCTCTTCGAGCTCCTCCTTGCTGCAGACGTTGAGAATGGCGATGAGCATGTCCGTGATCTTTTCCCCGACGAAGGGCAAACTCCATGTGAAGACGTCCATGAAGTTAGGAAGCCAGTATGGATGTGGTGTGCAATTGAATTGCCGAATGTTCATGACGTTGTTCTCGTACTTGAGAACGGCAGCCTTGTTGTTGTAGACGTCGAGATAGTTGGGTGCCGAGAAGATTGTCATGACGGAAGGGAAGCCGGTGGTCTTTGTTTTGCGGTACATTCGATAGCCGGCATCTTGCGCTTCGTGCGCTCGAATGATGGAGAGAAGCTGATTGCGCTCGAGGAACTGACATGCTGCATTGTAGGTGAAGAAATAGGAGCAACCTCGGACGTGATTGTGGATGAAGCTCTCGTTGGTCTTTTCTGAACCAAAGTCTTCCAAGGGGTCGGCCCAGAGGATGTCGCACATGATGCCATGTGTCGGAGGCTCGCGGAAGCGATCAATGCTGCGAAGGTCGTCAAGAGTTTGGAGCTCGGGAGAAAGGCCACCATGAATGCAGAGGAACTGCTTGTTCATGACAGCGGCAAGCGGCAAGGTGCAGAAACTCTCCATGACAAGGTCGTAGATCTCTTCTGAATACTTGTGTTTGCATTCGAGCTTGAAGGTGAAGTAGTCGGTCAAATGACGACATTCGTGATTGCCACGGAGAAGGAAGAGGGTGTCGGGATACCAGATCTTGAGGGACCAGAGGTAGAGAACGCACTCGATGGAAAAGTAGCCACGGTCGACATAGTCTCCCAAGAAGAGGTAGCGGGTGTCCGCAGGGTTGCCGCCGACTTCGAATAGCTTCATCAAGTCATAGTACTGGCCGTGAATATCACCGCAGACGGTGATGGGAGCGTCGACCTCGAGCAAGTTGGGTTCCTGTCGGAGGATTTCGGTGGCTCTTGTGAGAATGAAGCGAGCTTGATCGTCGGTGAGGCGGCCTTCGCGGTAGAAGTGGTTCTTCAAGAAGGCGATGTCGGGCTTGGTGGGATCCTTCTGACTGAAGAACTGCTCGTCTGTAGGCTTGTGGAATGCTGGTGCTTGTACATCCTTGATGACGCGTTCCTGAGTGCTGACTTGGGTTCCATCGTCAGTGGTGTGAACAGTGAAGTCGATCTCGGGAGGTGCGGGCTTGTTGACCATCTGGCCAATGGCTTTGACTAGCCTCTGCTGCCTCTCGACCCGGTTGGGATTTGACATGGCGAATTGTGGACACCAGTGTTTGAGCAGCTCTCAGAAAGCGTTGAGCAGGGTTAGAGGTACTGTTGGTCCAATTATGCCTGTTTGATTAGGTGCGCCATTCAGAGTGAAAGATGATGCCAAACGAGTCGTGGTGGGAGGATGATAGGTCGTGAGGAGGCGTGTACAAACGAACAAAGATAGAAATTGAGGAAGGACAAAAGTCAGCATCTGCAGCAAACGTTGGCAAGAATGGCAAGAGCATACGGCTTGATGTGATGTGGATCTTTGAGAGGGCTGCTTACCTATTGTACGACGGCGAAATATGCCGGAGCAGTGAGCAAGGAGCCAAGCGGGCGCTTTGTCGTTGTATGAACGAGACGGGACGCCGGAGAGCTTCCGAAGAGGCTGAGATCACAAAGAAGGGGTTGATCGACTCAGCCGGGAATGGTTCAGACCTAGCTTCTTGAGAGTGGCAACACGGCAAGTGAGGGAGCTGTGTCGCAGAGATTATGGAACGTCTCTCTGCTGAGCTTGATGATGATGCTACCGTGTTGGTCGTTAGATGCCTTACGGTGTGAAGCAAAGGTGAATGGCAAAAGCAGAACGACGCGAAGAAAGCGACCTCTAAGCAGAAGATGCACGACGAATTCGAGTTGGACTGACACTGCACGACACAGTCAATCAAGTCTTGCTAGGCAAGCGTGACAGCGTTCGTGTGGTTCGAGACTTTTGCTTTGCTTTTGGCCTTGTTGCGTGTGTGTGGGCTGGGTTGAGTGTTGGAGTGTCCCAGCTGTCTCTGCCTCTCAGAGTTTGGCGCGCTGCAGCGTGCAGGCGGGTTTAAAAAAAAAAAAAAAAAAAAAAAAAAAAGAGTCGAAAAAGAGAGAGAGAGAGACACACACACAAGGGGGTTTCAGTTATCTCTGAGTTTTGAAAACACAATACTTTGAAAATATGTTTGGGCCCAATTTTTGACACCCCAAGAAACTGCACAGGCCTGTGACACGTGCATCTTGGAGTTTCACTTGACTCGCCTGGTAAAAACAATCTCTGATTCCCTACACCAGGTCAAGATCAAAGTGATCATATCAGATGTTGTTGAACACTATACTGAACAATGCCAAAACCTTTGATTGAAAAGCTAAAGCAAATAGCTTACATCACACCTGTTCTGATCGCTGTCTTCTGCGAGCCTCATGCCATCGGTTTTGTCTCTCCTGCCATTTGGCAAAGGCCAATGTTGTCATTCCCATCCTTTGAGATTCTGCTGTTGTGTCCTCAAAAGGGCAGCCATGAGAAGCAAAGAGTGCAGTGAGCATCTCCTCCCTAAGATCCAGTGCTTTCTCCTGCCTGAACTTCTGGACTCAGTTCTGAGACATGCCCTCCATGGCAGCAGCCTGTTCCTGTTCATATTGCTGCTGGTTTTCCCTTCATTGTATCCTTGCATCTTCGGTAGCCTGCTGATATGCTTCCATCCCTGATGTGGTCTCCAGCACCTCAGCTTCAGATAGAGTTTCTGATGCCTTAAGGTATTCTGCCACCTCATCTGGTTGATCATAATGGCTTGCGAATGTATGTGCAATGATACAAGCCTGGACCGTATGTGCAGCTTTCTCGTGGTCCTCTTCTCGATACAGGTTGCCTTGAAATCCCATGAGACATTGGAAGCGGTTCTTGAGGTAGGCAATGCCATGTTCGGCCTTGACACGAATGCAGGAGAGTGAATAGTTGAAGTAGTGGAGATCTCTGCTCTTTGCAGCTGCAGTGTTGCTGTATGGTCCAACTGTGTAGCTGGAGTAGCCATAACCAGCATCAACCCAGACAAACTCGCCTTCATCAAGATGCAAACGAGGCTTCACAACAATACCACTGCCTGAAGCCCAGACTTGCACATCATGTGATGACCCAGGATGTCCAACCACCAACTCGACAATGTGCAAGGAATGAGGGAGGAAGACAAGGGCAATGTTGAATGTATAATCACCCTTGTATGAGTAATGCTCATGAGCATTGAGTGCTGGCTTCCAAGCAAGATTGATGTGTGTACCATCTACCACCAACCATCCTCTAGACCATTCCTTGACTCCACTCTTATCAGCAACCCATGCTTTTGCCTTAGCATGCTCATCTTCAGTTGCAAAGGTTACTACCTTGCTGTTCAGCTCGTATAGGCCTGCAATAGTCCTATCTGTCCACACATGAACTGAGCCCCGACTGCAACTGCAGGCAAATGCAACATCACGAACTCCACCACCATTTCCTGACCATCCAAGCCGATATAGACCAACTGCCACTTGCTGCTGAACATGCCGAAAGCTTGATATTGATCTGAAGGCATTGGTTGTGCTGAGTCTGTAAGTGAGAGCTTGGAATGCATCTGGGGTCATGCGAACAGCCCCTCGAAAGAGCTTGTGGTTGATGACAGCATATCGATCAAGCATGTTGATGAGGGGATCCTTTCGTTGCGGCAGTTGAAGGCGTTCAACTGTGTATCAAGACTGGCTGATGATGTCGTAAGTCCTGATGAGTGCGAATGAGATAGCATGATCGAACATGTCATCATCAGAATCTTCAAGGTCATCATTAGGGTGCCAAGTGGCATCGACATCCATCAGATCAAGTTGCATCTTGGATTCCACCATCAATGAGTGCATGATGGTGGTCTCAATGTCATCCAGGAGGTGCTGTTTGTCGGAAGTGTGCACCATGGTTGAAGTAGAGGGCCAGAAATAGGAGAGGATGATGTGGTCTGAAAGAGAGTCCAAAGCTACAAACACAACGCAGCTGAGTTCTGCGCAGCTGGGTTCTGCACAGCTGGGTTCTGCGCAGCTGATTTCTGCGCAACACACATGCTCGGAACCGGGGCTACACCGATCAGCATCTTGTATGTGGAACAATTCATCACATTGAAGCAATCTACATTTGAGAGATTACACGGAAGACTGGGTATGGGGTATGCTAGTCATACATATTGAGAGCTAGCTTTACAGAGAGCAATGGTACAACAAGTTGGAAACACAGGAACAGAACTTGGAGAACTCAAAAGGAACACCATTCTTGCCAAATGGTCTACTCATGAGCTGAATCGCTATTGTCCTGCTGATCCATGGCAAGAACCAGTGGGTCAAGATCAAGATTGCTTTGACTACTTCCAGTGATGTTGCCAAAGGGTAGATTAGGGTTCATCATCTGCACCATCTCCATGAGCCAACCATGCTCTTCAGTTTGCATGTGCTCTTGTCTCTCACTTTCTTCCCTGGCAAATTGAATGCACATTTCCTCCCTCTTCGTGCATTCCTCCTCAACCTTGATTCGTGCCTGAAGCATGTCTTGGGTGCAGGCCCGCACAATTTCCAACAGCTCTTCTCACTTGCTCTTGGAAGTGAAGGGTCGAGACTTCTTGGGTGTTGTACCTGTGGCTGGAGAATGGTAAACAGAGTCACCATCACCATCATCCACTTCATCAGCCTCAAAAGCGGTGCTGGATGAGCGCTGGTGGGTTGGAGTGTCTATAGGGGTAATGGTGAAGGGGGTGGGGCCAATCAAAGATGGGTTGGATGAGGAAGAGAAGGGTGAGCAGGATGAAGATGAAGCAGCAGCTGGGGTGGCTGCAACTGAAGAAGAAAAAGATGAGATAACTCTTGCTCCAATGGGATCATTTTGCGACTCCTCAAGAATGGATTCCATGCCAGGAATGTTGTGTCGCTGAGGGTAGTGAGCATCGCTGGCATCATCCATGTTCACATCGGCATCAACCGAGTTATTCTGAGAGGAGGCAGGGGTGGCATCATATGGGTGACCAGTGAGAAGAACAACTGGACCAGTCTGTGCACAGTTGGTCATCATCTTGTGCCAGTGCTCAAACCAAGGGTGGCTTCAAGCAATCGATTCACATGTGGCATAGTCCTGCAAGTTGATAAAGAAGCATAGACAGAGATATAAAGTATAAGAACATTGGCACACTTAACATGAATCAACTAAGTTGTACTTACCGAGCTGTTGTGATCCATGTCTTGAAGAAGTACTCCAGCACCGGTCTGCTGCGAGATGGTCTTCTTGATGTTGTTGTATTGTTCAGTGAGCCAGTGAATCTTAGTCTTTACTTGACCAGCACCACCAACAGTAGACTCGTCTGGGAACAGCTCCTGCCATATCTGCCCACAGATAACATCTTTGTTTGTCTTCAGACCCTTTTCCTGTTCTGCAGTCAAACGTCCTGGCAATAGAACACGTTGGTAATGATCATTATTGTAGATGATATCAACAAGGTTATTTATGTCGCTAGGCGACCAATTGAAGTAGGCAATACAATCTGTTTTGTTGAACCTGCTGCCACGAGTACTGGCTTGATGTCTGCAAGTTGCAGAGATTTGAGTTGGCCAGGTAGAGGTTTGGCGAGGCAAAGAACCGGCAGATGTGGTGGCATTGGAACCAGAAGGAGTGGAGGAGGACAAAGGGGAAGTGGGAGAGGTTGCTGGCTGAGTCAACTCAGCCCCAGCCAAGGTGCTGGAAGTTGCAGAAGGGTGGTGCTGATGAGAGCAATCAAGGTTGGACTGAGCTGACATTATTGTGTTGTGCTGCGAAGCAGTTGAAGACTGCTCTGATGCTGGAGCCAATCCAGAGGCTTGCTGCAAAGCTGTGAATAGTGTAATGTTGTTGATATGGTTGTGAGGGGATGGCATGTCCATGTCCTGGCACTGACAGGGAGGAAATGCTACTGGAGATGGTGATAGAAGTGAAGCAAGGACAGATGTAACTCAAAGCATGAGAAAGTGTAGACAGTGCAGAAAGTGGAGGTCAAGGGTTGTGCACAGAATTGTGTTAGAATCACGTGATATCAGCACATGACAAAAACTCCTGCTGAAAACTCAAATATTCAGAAACCTGGGCTCATGGCAAAAATAAGTAGGGGTTTTCAAAACTTCTGAGCTTTTCTTTCCTGGCAGAGCTTACTTAAGCAGTGAGCTTTCAAAATCCAAAAAAACCATGAAAACTCGGAGTTTTGAAAACTCAGAGAAAACTGAAACCCCCTACAGAGACCCTCGTGAGGTGAGGTTGGTTTCAGGAAGCTTTACCGGAGGCGCGTGCGCTGCTCATCTGAGAGACACAGACACACAGACACACGCAGACTCGTCGAACCGCGCTGCCTCTACAACTTGTCCATTTTTTTTTTTTGTGGCGCAACGTTGAGCTGGCCTAACACACAAGCGAGCAATATTAGTTGAGAAAAAGGAAATACCAAGTGTTCATGTCATGTCATGCTACGCTGGGCAACTTGAATCGGAGAATGCTGAAACGTTCATGTGAATGCTTCCGGTGCTGCTATGGCTGCTTCTGCTGCTGTCGCCTTGTTCTCGTAGCTCCCTTCCCCACCATGCTCAAAGGCTTGGGCAATCAGCTGGGACACTGCGCCCAAGTAGCCATCGTTCGGCTCATTGCGGAAGAAGAAGAGTAGCGACTCGCTCAGCCGCAAGACCTCGTCTTTGGTCAATGATGGTCGTCCATCCGAATGAAGCTCGAAGAACCACTGGATGTTAGCCATCACATCGTCCTGGTTGAACATGATCGCGTCCAGTCCTGTCACCATGTCTTGCAACGAGAGCGTCCCGCGCTTCTCTTTGTCCCAGAATCGGAAGAGCCGAGCTACAGTCTCGTGCTCTGGCACACGTCTCTCCACTCTCTCTTGGAAGCCGTTCGAGACGACATATTCGTCGCGCGCCCATGTCGCTACCTCGCCCAAGAAGAGCCGGAACGTCTTGAGGTCGATTCGCATCTCCTTGTAGTCGTTCAGTGTCTCCTCCTCGTTGCTGTCCTTGTTGTGCTCTCGTGCCAACGCCTTCTCCATCACCTCCTTGGGATCGTTGGCAACAATACCTGCATTCGGATCCGCCTTGACATCAGTGATTGCCCCCGGCGCGTGCCTGGCTCGATAGATGGATTCGACGACCTGATCGTAAATCAGCCCGATCTGCTCCTTGGAGAAACGGCCGTGATTCTTAAGGTTGCGGATGGCGCTGCGCTTGGCAAACAGCTCGATCTCTTGCACAATCTCTTGACGAAATCGTCGACGCTCGCTTGCGATTGTCTCGTCCGTAATGATACCAAACTCGCGAAAAGCAACCACCAGCAGCTCTTGGAAGTTGGTGATCTGGCGATGACGAGGGTTGGTGCTGTTGGGATGTGCGCTGTCACCCAACGATCGGAAGTAGCCCTTGATCAGGTTGATGAATGCACCATCGTCGGTGACCTGCAAGAGCTCTTCGCCATTGATCTTGAGGATAGCAAGACCCACTTGGAAGAGCACTTTGGGTCCCATAGCCATGAAGCAATCGACGATACGAAACGCAAAGATCATCGGCATCGAGTTGATGTAGAGTGACAGAAACCATGGCAGTGATGCGACACTCAGCTGGATGTCGGTCTTGACAAAGTGCTCGTGGATCATAGGCAGTGTGCGCTGAACCAAATTCTCAAACACTTTTTGATCAAGTAGTGTGCCTGACATAGACTGTGTGTAGTAGCCAGGAAGTAGCCTTTCGCAAAGGGTATCGAGCAACCAGAAGCATTGCTCCTCGCTCATGTAGATCAAAATGGCCGCCACGACAATGTTCATCGCCTGACAGTAGCCTAGTTCTGGATTCTTCCAGCTGTATGCTACAAGTACTCTGCGCAGCGTTTCGATGCCTTCCGCAGTTTGATAGGCGGGGTACTCCGGCAGACTACGATTGAGATCCTTCTCAATTTCTTCCGTGCTCGTACTGGTGACGCCTTCGTAGCGTTTCAAGATCGCTTGGTATTCGCCAGCGTGTGCGAAGCGATTGTAGATCGAGCCACAGGTGAGCTCCCAAATCTCACCGCGCAGTCGATTTGGAAGACCAACCTGGACAAGTCGGAGGAATTGCGGATATCGTAGTAGTGTGAGGTTGCGTCCATGGGCAAGGAAGTAGTCGCGCCACAGTTTGAGTTTGCTCTTCTCTCTTAGCTTTCGTGCATCGCCGGGGAAGCCAAAAGTAGCACCAAGTCCAGCTTGATACTTGGCGGGCTCCTTGGTGTCGGCGGATGCATCTGCCTCGGCGTTCCCGGAGGTGGCGGCAGGTTCATCGGCTGAGGCAGATTTTGTTGGATCATCCTTTTCCGATGCTGGTGTTAGGGAGGCATCTGTGACAGCGCGCTTGCCTTTGGGATCCGACAAGTCGTCCGCGATGAGGAACTCACTGTAGCAGCCTGCGAGGAAGGGTTTGAGAAGCTTCATGTTGCCGAGCTGGGCACGAAGCTGATCTCGGAGCACGGCACAGAAGTGCTCGCACGTGGGTCGAAGAGCGTTGAGTTGCAAGATAATCTTCAGTCCGTGCCATACGACGATGCTGAGGGCAAAGACAGTGCCCTTGGTGTTGAGCCGCTCGACCCGGCGGACGCACCACAGCGGCAGATTCATTCGACAACTGCGGCCGCGGTCACCTTGGCTTGCAAAGCAGAGGAAGGACTGCGTAAGCGTTAAGCGGCCCGCATAGACCTGATCCTCTTGGAGTCCATCCTTGGTAGCCGCTGAGAGCGATAAGATGGTCGATGTGATCTCTGCATCTGTGATAGGTGACTCGCCTGTTGGCAAGGAGAAAGCGTTGGCGAACAGCTGAGGTCGAGTCGGCGAGCGATAGTCGCGCAACGAGTGCGCAATCGTTGACATCACGCTTTGATGTGGTTCTGCACCTTACGAAGGACAGCTTGTGATCAGCGTTGTGCCTTGCTTGATATGATGTTAGTTGTACTGCCCAATCAAGTGCGTGTGCTAATGGTCAGAAGCATGTTAAAGGCTGCAAGCAGTTGTGAGTGCGTGACGTTGGCGAGCTCAGGCCGCACGGACATTCCTGAGCCCTTTTTTTTTGTTTCTTTTTTTTCTTTTCTTTTTCTTTTTCTTCTCTGCAACAACCCGAAACACAGTCCTGTAGGTCTAACAAAATGCATAAAGAAGAAGAAGTCCCTTAGGCTCAGAGTGAAAGGTATGTGACTTCTAGTACGATCTCACATTGACGCCAACTTTTCTCACTCGGGATAGTTGCCCCGTCATGTTTCACATTCATCAGGGCAGCACATCCCTGTATCATACACGTATGCACAGAACGCTGGAACATATATATACTAGTCATTGTCTTGCACTCAGTTCTTTCCTCGAAAGTCGCCTTGTTGATCTGCGGATTGACAGACGCCATCATGCCTTCATCAATGATGCGGGCGGATGGGCAGGAAAGAAAACAAATTGGCAGACGACACTGGGGGAAACGTCTCATTCGATGCTGATTTGTTGTGGATTGATTGGTGGGACGCAGCGACTGAAACGCTCGTCAAGAAGGAATGCAGCCCAGCAAGAAATGCAAGAGGAGAAGAAGAGGGAAAAAAAAAAATCAAAAATCAAAAAATCTGCTCGTTTTCAATTGGATGAAGGTAACACTCCCAAAGTGCCCTCTTTCGCTCTCCTTCTGCTTCTTCTTCGCTTGGGCCAGGTGTCAAGTGGCGAGTGTCGTCCTCAGCCTGCTTCACGCTTCACCCAACCGTCTTACACCTGGCCCTAGCGCAGCGCAGCCCATCGACAAGAGGCCAAGCTTCTAGATCGCTTAAACTATATGATCCCACTTCTTGCAGCTTAGAATCTTTCCCTCTGTTCTTCCCACACCAACCATCCCTTCCATCCTTCATCCCTTCCCTCACAGTAATTTCTTCGCGCTTCGTCGCACATCACAAACACATCTCCACCTTCTTGCTCGTATCTACGTACACGCATAGCCTCGACCCTTTGATCCAGGCTTTTTTCTCTCTTTATCATTCACCTTCCTCCTCTTCTCCGCCCCTTTCACACATACAAAATGGCGTAAGTACCCTTCTGATTTGCTTGACTCTTGCTGCATTTGCGGATGTAGCCTGGTCAGCTTCGTCACTGCTTCGCAAGGCACCAATTATTGGCGCTTTACTCACCGCCCACGACCAAGTTGCTGACCCATGTCTCATGCTTCGTTTCCTCGACATTGCAGTACTTCCACCGTCCTCGGTTACCCCCGCATCGGCCCTCAGCGTGAGGTCAAGAAGGCCCTCGAGGCCTACTGGGCTGGCAAGACCTCCCAGGAGGAGCTCCTCAAGGTCGCCAAGGAGCAGCGTCTCCAGACCTACAAATTCATCAAAGATGCTGGCGTTGACGTCGTCCCCACCGGTACCTTTTCGCTCTACGACCACGTTCTCGATGCCTCCAACACCTTCAACCTCATCCCCGAGAACTACGCCAAGTCTGGTCTCGATGCCCTCGACACCTACTTCGCCATGGCCCGTGGCCACCAGAAGAACGGCGTCGATCTCCCCGCTACCGAAATGCAGAAGTGGTTCGACTCTAACTACCACTACCTCGTCCCTGAGTTGAGCGAGTCCACCGAGTTCAAGATCAACAACACTAAGCCCATCGACGACTTTGTCGAGGCCAAGGAGGCCGGCTACAACGCCCGCCCCGTCCTCGTCGGTCCCGTCACCCTCCTTGCCCTCGGTAAGCCTGGCAAGGATGCCAAGAACGCTGAGTTTGACCCTGTCTCGCTTCTCGAGAAGCTCGCTCCCGTCTACGGTGAGATGCTTGCCAAGCTCGGCGAAGCCGGTGCCGAGTGGGTTCAGATCGACGAGCCCGTTCTCGTTCTCGACCGTGCTCAGCAGTACGCCTCCGAGTTCAAGGCTGCCTACGAGACCATTGCCAAGGCCGCTCCCTCGGTCAAGATCATGATCGCCACCTACTTCAACAAGCTCGAGTCCAACCTCGAAATTGTCAAGACCCTCCCCGTCGCCGGTCTCCACGTTGACCTTGACCGTGCTCCTGAGCAGCTCGACGAGGTTCTTTCTGCCTTTGCCAACACCAAGCACGTTGTATCGCTCGGTCTCGTCTCTGGCCGAAACATCTGGAAGACCGACCTCAGCGCCGCTCTCAAGACTGCCCAGAAGGCCGTCGATGCCCTCAGCGGTGACGCTGCCCGTGTCCAGATTGCTTCGTCCTCGTCGCTCCTCCACACCCCCATCACCATTTCCAACGAGAAGAAGCTCAAGCCCGAGGTTCTCGACTGGTTCTCGTTCGCCAATGAGAAGTGTGCCGAGATTGCCACCCTTGCCGCTGCTCTCCGCGACCCCAGCTCTGTCGCTGACGCTCTCGCCACCAACGAGAAGAGCATCAAGGCTCGTCGTGACTTTGAGAAGAACTCTGACCCAGCCGTCCGTGAGCGCGTCGCCAACATTAAGCCTGAGGACCTTGCCCGCAAGTCGCCCTTCAGCACCCGTAAGGAGGTCCAGAAGGAGCACCTCAACCTTCCCGTCTTCCCCACCACCACCATCGGTTCCTTCCCCCAGACCAAGGAGATCCGTCAGTACCGTGCTCGCTTCACCAAGTCCGAGATCACCAAGGAGGAGTACGAGAAGTTCCTCGAGGACGAGATCAAGATGGTCGTCGAGAAGCAGGAGGCTCTCAACCTTGACGTTCTCGTCCACGGTGAGCCCGAGCGTAACGACATGGTTCAGTACTTTGGTGAGCTCCTTGACGGCTTCGTCTTCACCCAGAACGCTTGGGTTCAGTCCTTCGGTTCGCGTTACGTCCGCCCTCCCGTTGTCGTCTCGGACGTCAGCCGACCCGCCCCTATGACCGTCCGCTGGTCTTCGTACGCCCAGAGCCTCACCAAGAAGCCCATGAAGGGTATGCTTACTGGTCCCGTCACCATCCTCAACTGGTCGTTCCCCCGTGCTGATATCAGCAAGGAGGTCCAGTCCAAGCAGATTGCCCTCGCTCTCCGTGACGAGGTCATCGACCTCGAGAAGGCTGGTGTTCGCGCCGTCCAGGTCGACGAGCCTGCCATTCGTGAGGGTCTTCCTCTCCGCCAGAAGGACTGGGCCGGCTACCTCCGATGGGCCGTCGACTCTTTCCGTCTCTCGACCTCGGGCTGCTCGGACGCCATGAACATCGCCTCGCACTTCTGCTACTCTGACTTCTCGCTCATTATGAAGTCGATCATCGAGCTTGACGCCGACATGATTTCGATCGAGCACTCCAAGTCCGGTGAGCACCTCCTTGGCGCCTTCAAGAAGGTCGGCTACCCCTCGCACATCGGTCCTGGTGTCTTTGACATCCACTCTCCTCGTGTTCCCAGCAAAGACGAGATGGTCGGCCGCATCAAGGCCATGGCCGAGGTTCTCCCCAAGGACTCGATCTGGGTCAACCCAGACTGCGGTCTTAAGACCCGTACCTGGGAGGAGTGCACTGCCCAGCTCACCAACATGGTTGCTGCTGCTGAAGAGTGCCGCAAGACCCTTGCCTAAGCGCGAGGCTCTTTCTCTCTTTCTTTGAGCTCTGCTTGCCCATCTAGCATCAACTGCTTGAGTCCGGGTCTGAAGTAGTCTTGGCTCTCTCTCTTCTCTCTCTGTTTCTATCTGCTTCCCTATACATCTTTGGTCCTCCATTGTCGTCATTGTTCTCTTCGCATCTTGTTCCTCCTAAATGGCGTCTCCGTCGCCTTCTGTATTTCGTACACATTCAACATGATATCCCGCTCCAAAAAGCATTCAACATGATCCTGTCTTAATTCCAGCATTTCAACATGGGTGTTTTTCTATCGTGTCGCTTGATAACGCCATGAATTGAAGCCGACACAGTCCGCATCATCTCTGAGAGCAACACGCAAGCGAGACCGAGTGTGGCGAAGAGAGATGGCGAAGGCGGTCGCGATACTGAGTTTTTCTTTCTTTTTTTTTTTCGAGACACGCGAGAGATCTTGACTTTCGGCGAGACGCGTGAAATTTTCCGATCATGCATGCATGCACAATTTGACAAGCACGTGGACAGTCTGAATTTGTTGTTTGTACGACCCCATACCCCGCAAAGAGAATCTCTTGCCAAAACGATGTTTCCGACTATATGCACTGTGCATGGAAACGAAATTTTTGCTTGCTGCGGTCGTCGGTGGACTTTGAGTGATGATTGAGGCTCAAAAGCGACAAGCTTGAGCCAAAAGTGGGCGAACAAGTGAGCGAAAGTTTGATCGAAAGTGTGCCCGCCGAAGTTGGGTTGGTTCCGTAACACCACGCCTTCATCCACCACTTCAACGACAAACTCAACGTTTACGCTTTCAACAGTAAGTTTGTCGTCCTGCAACTGCAAACGACTAGTTCGAAAGGCCAACGATGTGCTTTTGCTCTACGTACATTGACACCTCACAAGCGAATCGACTTCTCGACAACTTCAAGCGGGCCAACTGCAACAACATCAACAAAGCTGTCCGTGTCTAGGCTGTGCCCAGGGTCAAGCCTGCTTCTGTCAAGACGTCAGGGAAGTCAGCTGCTCCAGCTGGCGGCCTCTCCAACTCCCATAACGCCGGTGCTGCTGGTCATCGTCCCCTTGGCAAGTTCACTAAGTACTTAGTCGATCGTCGCCGTCCTCGCTGCAGCCCTCAGCCACCACTAGCCTCCTCACGGCCACCTCAAACCTACCTTCATCGCACCCCTAATCGCATGTATCTGGTTACACAAAATGGATCGCTTTATCCATGCACAGAAAAAGATTGATCGACCTGTGGAAAGACGCATCTATGCAGGCTTCTCGCTGCAACTAACATTCGATAAGGTTAGAAAACAGTAAGATGAAATCATAAAAACCAAAAACAAGCAGCTTCTCTGGCTGTCAACTAAACGGCTGGCGGTGCCGGCTCACTGACGGTGACACGAAAGCAAACCTGAACTCGAGATTTGGCGAGAAAGCTTGCTGAGGTTCCGCTGGCGGTGCTACTGATACAGTGTTGGGTCTTGGACACTGACTTCAACGCATTTGCGATCAGGCACGTGACCGGTACACGTGTCACCCATCGGGAGCGCAACTTTAGCGCAGGCTCACCCAACATCTCTCTTCCTTCACATCCATTATCTCTCTTTGCGCTGGCCACAGGCAGCGTTTTCGTCTCACCCACCACTCCCATCCCCTTTTTTTGTTACATAGGTCTCACACGCATTCCACCTCGCTCTCACGCGACGCTCGACCATCTGTGGCCCTTACGGCCACGGCTGAGAGCTCGCAAGCGACTCACCCGAGTTAGGCAATCAATTCTTTTCTCATGATCTCTCATGACTGCCATTTCTTGTGTATCGGCCAAGTGACCAGCGAGGACGTTGAAACAAGGAAATCGGATCGGCAGGGGGATCTTCTTGCAATCATCGATGTGGAGGTTCTACATTTAGCACAACGGTTCACGGATCGCCGCATGGACCTCTCACACGGCGTTTGATCTTATCTTGTCCCGTTTCACTCGAGTCCTCACCACCATCCTACTTTTCGGGCAGAGGAAAGAGTAGCTCCTGGAGGTGAAAGCGAGCACCCATAATGTTCTCAAAGAAAGAACGCACCCAACCGACGCCCTCCTCATTAGACCTATCCTCGCTGCAATCATACTCGCCAAATTGGTCACCTCACCTTCGACTGGCCGTCTGCACCTCGATCAAGTACGCTGTAAGGAGGCATGCGGAACGCGCTGTTGCTCTGACCCAGAATGTAGGTCCGTCGGCTCCAACAACATCCTCGTTGGGTTCTCCGGTCTATTCACTCGAACAAGAATGGTCCGACTACGGCGAAAAATTCTTGTCAGCAACATGTCAGCATCTCGGCATACAAGAGAACTCATTGCCACCGAATCCGATCAGTCTAGAGGACGTTCTGTCTGCTGCACGAGGCCGGTTGGAACACGCAGATACTTCCGACCCCATCTGCAAGCTTGAACCTCAGTACGAGTCGGGCTCAGACCACTCTCGCCGTTTCCCGAACCTCGACCTTCCCATCAAAGGCATCGACGATTCCGAAAATGCTCAAGGCAACAAAGAGAGATCACATGATAGTGAAGGGCTCTCATCATCTGCAACAGCTGAAAGGTCTGCAAGCTTTGAACCTGCCGCAACTCTCGAGAGCCTGCGACTCAGTCCGTCTGCTACCACGGCTTCGCCTGCATCCGAACACCTGTCAGATGGCTTCTCCTACGATCAAGACGCCCAGGAATTGCCCGACTACTTTCACAGCCAGGCTGACTCGACAGCCATCTCCAATGCCGACAACGCGGAGCGCAATCGCCAACGAAGGGTTCGAACCTGGTCGCAGGATACGCAGGCCTTGGGCCCACCAAAGCGCATGCAAGGCGCACTTGATGCAGAGTCTGGTCAAGAGATCGAAGTCCCTCATGAGCTGCTACTTGTCGCTCTCGGTCTAGGACAGTATCGTGCTCAGGACGGGGCTTCCACCCTCTTTGAGCAAGACATCCTTTTCGGAGAGACAGGGCTTGACTTGCCTCGCTCCGAGCAACATAATGCTGAGGATGCAAAAGACCCAGAAGGCCCGCCCTTACCTCCACGTCCTCGACAGTCAGGATCGACTTCTGACAGAGCGCCCTCCATGGTAGAAGCGGCTTCCGCAGCCAGCTCTGGAAGTAACACGGACGATTCAATGACAACTATGACCGAAGCAGGAAGAAAGATTGGAGACGTGCCCAAGAATGCATTTACGTCACTTAAAGCAGGCACTTTGTCTGGTTGGAGCAAGCTGTCATCCGCAAGAAAGGAGCTGGTGGACCCGCAGAGTCAAGCGAAGCATGCTGACAACTCAGCAAAGAATGACGCCAAGCAGCCAGTCAAACCGAACGAAGTATGCCACTACGACGCACGTGCACGCTCGCTGATCTTCGTCGCTGTCTCTGCCATGGGCATCTCTGCAAGGCAAGTATGGATGGCAGAAAAGGTTATGGCTCAAACAATATTCTTCATCATGAGCGAAGGAGACAAAGCTTCGGTCTCCGAGAACGGCAAGAGCATCGTCGAGCAACTTCCAGCAGGAGCTTCGCTTGATGCACGTACCGGCTCGATCACACAAGCTTCACAGCGCTCAGAGTACATGAACCAGCATTCAGGATCGGTTGTTCAGCGCGAACGCGAGAAGGTGACCTGGGGTAAGTGGGCAGCGATGGGAGGCGGCTTCCTTGCCGGTGGCCTGATCATCGGTCTCACAGGAGGATTGGCAGCTCCACTCATCGCTCCAGCCCTCGTCGGTCTCACCGGTGCCTCATTCCTGGCCACGTCCGGAGGTATCATCATGCTGGGAACGCTCTTCGGCCTTGGCGGCGGTGGTCTTGCTGGCTACCGTGTTGAGCGACGCCTGAGAGGGGTGTCCTCATTCTCCTTCGCAGAGCTGGTCACCGAGGCGCGCAAAGCCGGCGTTGCCATTCCAAGTCTACATGCAACCATCTGCTGCAGCGGTCTGATCCTCGAAACGGAGCAGCAGATCAAGCCGTGGATGCAGATCTTCGAAGGTGCCAAAGACGGTCGGGATGCATTTGCTATTGAATGCGAGGCAAACATGATGAAGAAAGCAGGCCAGGGGCTTCGCTCATACATGCTTGACAACTTGATTCGGACTGGAGGCACCAAGGCCGCCGAAGAAGTGGTCAAGAAGACCGCACTAGCTGGTATCGCTGCGATCACATTGCCCATGACCGTCTTCAATGCAGCTTCAGCCACACTCGATGGTGTCTTTGTGCGTGCAAAGACCAAGTCGTACAAGGCTGGTCTCATCCTCGCAGAGACGCTGAGGAATGAGGTCCAAGGCCATCGACCCGTTGTGCTCATCGGAACATCTTTAGGTGCTGCGACGATCTTGACTGCGCTCACGGAGCTGGCAAAGGATCCCGAACGTACCTCACATCTAGTTGACTCGGTCATCCTGATCTCAGCGCCCATCACACCCTCTCCATCCACGCTGCGCAAGGTACGAACAATCGTACAGCGTCGCTTCGTCAACGTCTTTTCTTCCAAAGATATGGTCTGCGGTATCGCCGCCTGGCTGGGCTCCGGCATTTCCGTAGAGGAGCTAAGGTCAGGCAAACTGCCACGAGTCGCCGGCAGTCGTGCAATCGACGATGTACCGGGCATGGAGAACATTAACGTGTCTGATATCATTTTTAGCCACTTCGAGTTGCACGAAGTCGATAAGCTGTCTGCTATTCTTGCACGCTGCGGAGCGCTGGACGACTGAGGATCACAGGCTTACAACGCATACTTGTATTTAGACTTCATCACATTCAAGAAACAACTTGCACAGAATCAAGGGGCGTGCTGTAGTACATAAATGCGATTGCGATTGGAAGAATGGGGTATCATGGGGGAGGTGCGATGGGCAACCTTGAGAGGGATTCAGACCACTTGGTGACCAGGCAATCATTTCACTTCGAACCAGAACGTTGCAAACGATCGAGTTCACGCTGTGCACGAAGCATAGCGTTCTCGTCCCGCAGGCGCTCCACCTCAGCACGGAGCATCTTGACCTCTGCTTTCAATTCGAGAACGGTTTCGCTCTGCTCGGACTCTTCCACCTTCTTGACCTGACGACGTATCCGCTGATACTCAACGTTCCGCTGAGCACGACGACGTTGAGCCTCTCCTGGCTCGAGAACAGGCTTGCGACCTCGCTTGCGAGGAGTACGGGAATCTGTGTCGGTGTACTGTGCTGTTGTTGTTGCTGCTTGCGCGCGTTGAACTGGAGCGGATAACGCCCGTGAGGGGACGGAGTTTTCTTCTCGAGCTATGAGCTGCGAATGTGGATGAGTAGACGGTGTTGAACCCTGTTGCTGACCTTGCTGGAGCAACTCAGTACTGTACCTTCGGTCGAGGCCTGCGTCCTCGATGCTGGTGAACTGTAGATCACGGCCAGCTGTACGCGTTTGTCTCGTGTGAGACGCAGGTGTTGGTGAGCCTTGTGGTTTGCGTGATGCCCTCACAGGTCGGCCGGAAGGTGAGAACAAGATATCAGGGACGGAGAACGGAGTGTCTCCTAGACCAAGCGTTGAAGCCGAGGCACGTATGGTCGCCTGCCTCCTTGGTGAACGGCTTGTCGAGCCCGTGTGCGAGCGTGTCGTCGTGTCTTTGTCAAGTCGAAGGTGTTCCGCTGGTGTCTGTGCCCCTGATGGCGTGCCTGAATGCGATGTTGCAGCAGCTGCAGCTGCAGCTGATGCTGCTGCTCTAGATTCCTCTGAAGCAACAACATCTTGAACCGCAAGTGACCACGCTGAGGGCAAAGGAAGATCAGGGTTGAGGTCCGGATTAAAGTCTGGGTCGTCCTCATCCTCGTCCTCGAAGTCCAAATCAGCAAATTGGAGCGACTGATAGCCGTTCTGTGCCGTGTGTCCAGTGACAAAGCTGTCTTGGAAGGATGAGCGACTTGAAGGTGTATGAGTGGATGCTGCATGCGGAGCATAAGCGAGGCCCGTTCCTGAGCAAGTGTTGGCTTGTTGTCCTGGTCCTGGTCCTTGATTCAAGTTTTGCTGCCCTTGCTGTAGCTGTTGCTGTCGCTGCTGCTGCTCCATCAAGGTTTGCAGTAGAGCTGTGAGATCTTTCTCGCCCACTGGTCGACGAAGGAATGGCTGATCCTTGCCTAGACGAGCAAGGAGTGCCTGTATCAATGGCTGAAGCGTTGACAGCTCTGCTTTGCTGCCAGCGATGTTCCTGACAGCTGATCTTTGACTCTGGCTCGGTGTGTGTGCTGGACTGCTTCCGTAGTGTCCGAAGGGTGACGGAGCAAGCTGCGAGCCGGGTGTTGCTTGGTATGGCCAGGAGATGGCAGCTTCCGAAGAGCCCAGAACATGCGTGAGCATTTGGATCATCGAGCTGTAGAACTCAGTATCGTCAACTCCAGCACCAGCTTGCCGCTCCAAGAGTTTGAAAGGAGAGTTGTCTGCATCTTCTGCATCATGCTCGTCCTCTTCTCCATCTTCGTCCTCGTCCTCCTCCTCTTCATCCTCATCACCTTGATCATCTTCGTCACCATCGCTCCCTTCTTTGCTACAATGACTGCTACTATCGGAATCAACCGTGTTGGGTTCCGCTGAATCACGGGGTGTCTCTTGACGAGCAGTGCTGCGTCTCGATGCTCTTTTCATTTGGCCTGTGGCCTGCATGACTTCGGTGTTCGTCCATTAGATCTCTCGAATGGCCGTATGAGGGGTATGAATGAAGGGAATGAGAGGGATGAAGCAGACGTTCGAGTCTTCCGTTTTAACAACGGGCACTCGTGGACATAACACTTTCGACGCACGCGCGAGGCGCGTCTTCTCGAATCTATACTGTAATTTTCTTGAAACATAAAATGTCTAACAAGATTTCGTCGTTCACACTCATATCATCACAACGAAGCCAATCTTTGACCAACCTTGTCTACAGACATCACAAACGAGCAGAGTGGGGGATGATTTTGAGTCTGCAATTCGAACAGAAAAAACTACAGACAAACAAACTTGAAAACAGGGGGGGTTTACATTTGACTCCGCGTTGAAACCTGAGAGAAAAACGCGGGCAAGAGGGGGTTTTTGACTGTAGGTACACGAGGTACTGTCGGGTCGAAGGAGATCATGATGACAACAAGCCATCAGATTACTTCTTCTTCTCGGCGGCCTTTGTTACCTTACCACTCTTACCGGCGGTCTTCTCGACTGTGAATCGCAAGTAAATGAAAGCAAAGAGAATGGTGTTAGTGAATGGACATTCGAGATGCTATGGTAAAAAAACCAAAAAAAAACCAAAACCAGTTAAAACACTTACCCTCCTTGATAACTGTGGTGCATAAGTAACGAATGTGGTAAAAGAACGAGAAACGAGCATAATAGATGTCAGTAAATCGCTCAGATACAACGAAAACAGCGATAGGGATGTCGATGCCTTACCTCCAACAGCAACTGTCTGACGCATATCTCTGACTGCAAAGCGGCCAAGAGGGGGGTAGACAGAGAACGACTCGACACACATGGGCTTGGTGGGGACCATCTTAACCAAAGCTGCATCACCGCTCTTGATGAACTTGGGGTTGTTCTCGATGGACTTGCCGGTACGGCGGTCGATCTTCTCGGTGATCTCGGCGAACTTGCAGGCAATGTGGGCGGTGTGGCAGTCGAGGACGGGGGCGTAACCGTTACCAATCTGACCGGGGTGGTTCATGACGATGACCTGAGCAAGGAAAGAAGCGGCCTCCATCGCGGGGTCGTTCTTGGAGTCAGAGCAGACGTTACCACGGCGAATGTCCTTGACGGAAACGTTCTTGACGTTGAAGCCGACGTTGTCACCGGGGAGACCCTCAGAGAGAGTCTCGTGGTGCATCTCAACGGACTTAACCTCGGTGGTGACGTTGGAGGGGGCGAAGGTGACGACCATACCACCCTTGATGACACCGGTCTCGACACGGCCGACGGGCACAGTTCCGATACCGCCGATCTTGTAGACATCCTGGAGGGGGAGACGGAGGGGCTTGTCGGTGGGGCGGGAAGGGGGCTCGATGGCGTCGATAGCGTCAAGGAGGGTCTTACCAGAGACTTTACCGGCCTTGGTCTCACGCTCCCATCCCTTGTACCAGGGCATCTCCTTGGTGGGCTCGATCATGTTGTCACCGTGCCAGCCGGAGATGGGGACGAAGGCAACTTGCTTGGGGTGGTAACCGACCTTCTTGATGAAGTTGGAGGTCTCCTTGACAATCTCGTTGAATCGGTCCTCAGAGTACTTGGTGGTGTCCATCTTGTTGACAGCGACGACGAGCTGACGAACACCGAGGGTAAAGGCAAGGAGGGCGTGCTCACGGGTCTGTCCGTCCTTGGAGATACCAGCCTCGAACTCACCAGTACCACCGGCGATGATGAGAATGGCGCAATCGGCCTGCGAGGTACCAGTGATCATGTTCTTGATGAAGTCACGGTGACCAGGGGCGTCGATGACGGTAACCATGTACTTGGGGGTCTCGAACTTCCATAGAGCGATGTCGATAGTGATACCACGCTCACGCTCAGCCTTGAGCTTGTCAAGAACCCAAGCGTACTTGAAGGAACCCTTACCGAGCTCGGCGGCTTCCTTCTCGAACTTCTCGACGGTACGCTTGTCGATACCACCGCACTTGTAGATCAAGTGACCGGTGGTGGTCGACTTACCGGAGTCGACGTGTCCAATGACGACAACGTTAACCTATTGTAGTGTTTGGTGATGATGCAGTAAGAGGAAGGTAATCAGGTTAGTGACTTGCTCATGGGCTTGCAACTTCTAAAAGTAACGCCCGCCACAATCCCACTGAAACCTGATGATGGCGAGATGAACAGCGACGGCGAGCAGAAACTATAAAAGTCATTGCAATCATGGTGCTGAATGTTGAGTACTTACGTGAGCTTTTTCTTTACCCATTTTGGATGATGTTTTTGGTGTATGTTATGATACGATGTATGGGGAAAGGAAGGAGGGTAGTGACGAGACACTCACGACCTTTATTCAGTTGGCCCGCTCTGCGTAGAGGGAGCTGCAATGGGGCGACGTTGGACAAAGGGAGAAAAAAGAGGGAAATTGGGCCATGTTGCCGCGCGCAACGAAGAAAATTTTTCTTGCTCTTCCAACTTCCATCGCGCTCTGCTCTAGAGCCTCGATGATCATTGGTCGAGTGGTTGGCGCAAGGACGAGTGAAACTGGAAGAAGCGCAAGGAGCCTATACAAATTCAGTTACAAGAATAGCAGGGCATCGTGACAAAATACAAACTGTCTAGCAAGAAGACACTGTGGAGGTGCCGTCAGAGATTCTCTGCTTTGACCTTGTATTAAGGTCTGAGGATGGAGTTTCAAAAAATTGTAATATTTCCAGAGGTCTCCCGGCTCAAATGAAATTCGTAGCAAACAGCCACATCCTAGCATACTGGCTGTATGCGTTCAAGGAGCTTCGTAGGGCTGAGCAGTTCCCACAGCCAGTCAATCGGACCAGCATACAACCCTTTGAAACCAGCAAGGAAGATTACGCACGTTCCTCTTCCAAGCAATCAGGCAGCGCTAGAAGTCTCATTCACGTATATTCTTTCGTCCCGTCTCGTCGATCTTCCACCCTTCTTGTCGATCTGATGATCAGCTGAACTTCATCGAGTGCACAACCTGACAGTTGGCGGCACTCCCATGAGCGGGGGATGACTTTCGTACCACAGGGGGTGAGGGCAGATTGAGGGAGAAGACGAGAGGGCACGGCCAATTTTGCTATGCCGTCGATCTTTGACTGACTGCGGCAATGGAAAAAAATATTGCTGCCTGAAAACTGAAAATAGGCCCATGCAATCGGGTCAGTCACAATGACAGCAATGCAAGCGGCAAAATTCTAAAATACGAGGAAGATTCGCGGTTGCAATTCAATTCAGTTGGATGGCCCGTCCTCGCTTACAATTGTGAAATTTTACGGCGATTTTTTTTTTTCTTTTTTTTTTTTCGAATTCCGGAAGCTCCAGATCTGTTGGGCAGAAAGAGGCAAGCAAGCAATCAGGAGGAAACTCTCGACCGCTGTGTGCAGTGTTTTGGTATGAGATGCAGAGCCGAAAGCGGTGCCTTCTCGGATGTGACGGTCTTCAATTCCACTTCCTCGACCCAGGGCTGAGCGGGTGGCCTATCGGAATATCGAGATTTGAAGTGCTCTCGCCATTCCCGATCTGGAAGCCTGCAGACGTTCCTACCGAGGCCGATGTCGCTGCTGTGTTCCCGATGGCTCATTGGATTTGGGATCTATTTGCACAAGCTGGCAGTTGAACTGATTGTACACATCGTTGGTGATGCTGATTAGTGATACAAATACACTTGAACGAGAAAGGGACGGACATGGCAGTCGAACTGATATTGCTGTGAGCTGAGTACGCGGCAGTCAAGCGAGAGCGAGGCAGCCAAGCCTTCGCGGATGTTGTTGGAAAAGCAAGGAAGCTTCACGACTCCTCCTCGTCGTCATCGTCATCCCACAGGTCGCTGTCGCCTTGATCGGCTTGCGTACCAGGTTGATACGAGCTTGCGGCGGAAGCTCCTGTGTCAGCTGCATGCGATGATGACTGCGGCACGGTTCGACGTGCTGGTAAAGCGGGCGGTGGCATTGATTGAACCGGTGTAGAAGACTTCGGATCTTGACCACCAGAGCCAGTTGCGAGATTGCTTGCGGAAGGTTCTGCAGAAGGAGGCTGCTGCTGATGCTGACCTTGCGAGCTGCTAGCTTGCCGCTCCAGTGGAGGACTTGTCTTCTCTTCTCCGTTTTGATTAGCTTCCATCTCAGCTTCATTGGCGGCAGCCTGCTGCGCTGCCTTTGCTGCGGCCAAGTTGGCTTCCCTGCGTTCTTTTCGTGTCTGCTTGAGATCCGCGAGCTGGTTGCGCTTCATGTCGCGCTCAGTGGTGAGCTTGCGCAGCGCTTGCTGATGGCGGTTCTTGATGATCAGGTTCATCGTTCCGTCCACATCGGCCTGCTTTCTGCGAACCAGCGTCTCGAGCTCTCGACACTCAGCCTCCAGCTGTGCTTCTCGCACGCGCTGCTCCTTCTCTTCATCATTTTCACCCTCCTCATCCTCGTCATCTTCATCGCCATCATCTGCTTCATCGTCGTCGTCGTCATCCCAGAGATCTTCCTGATCGCTGGCACGACTTTGCGCCTCGCTGCCTACTCCTCGCGTAGACCCAACATCATCATCGTCATCTTCCTCCTCTTCGAGCGCGGCGTCCAGTTCTGCTGCGAGATCCTCGTCGACATCGTCCTCATCTTGATCGTCATAGCCCCCTTCGCCTCCGTCTTCATCCGTGTCTCCTACGCCGGCACGATGTCGACTGGCTCGACCGCCTTCCTCTCCATCATCGTCGCCTTCATCTCCATCTTCGTCTTGCGACCCGGCGTCGGAACCGTCAGGCATCGGCGTCTCAGCTTGCGAGCCTCCTGGAGATGTTGCGCCTCGTCGATGCTGGTGACCTCGCTGGTCGACTTCATCATCTTCTGAACCGCCTTCTTCCGCAGCATCGATTAGCTCGTATTCCACCTGGTCCGCTTTCTTGTCGGCTTTGAGCAGCCGTTCCACTTCCTTCTCCACCGTCTCGATGGCTCGACGTGCAGCGCGCTTGCGGAATCGACGTTTTCTAGCCCAGTGCATAGGTGGTGTGATGCCGTGAGGATAGATGAAGTCATCAATGTTGAACCCTTTCCCTCCTCCACTTGCCGAGGCTTGCGATTCGTCGGCGATCTTGCCTTCGACGACGAGCATCTGCGCAATATCTCCCACTTTGAAGAACTGTCGATTGTCGAGTGTCTTGTGTGACTCTGTGATCGTTGGCAGATCGACAAGCTTAGCCGAGAATAGCGAGTCACCAACATGAACCACGGCTCTTCTCGAGTCCTTGAATTTGAACCACACGTCGTCGCCTAGTTGTCGCTTCTGAATCGCCTCTCTGAGCTTGTCACATTCCGGTCCTTCTGGCATGCGGAAAATGAGCTGTTCCTCAAAGGCGAGACCTTTGCCGGTCTCGTCGTCTTCTGAGTCAAGCTCTCGGTCGTAGCCCTGCATGTATGCTTGTGTCTTTGGGCCTTGACCTGCTCCGGCAGCAGTGCCTCCTCCTGATGCCTTCATCTTGAGCTTGATCTGCGGACGTGCTCCCGATGAGGTGCGGATGGGCCGTGAAGGCTGTGATCTCCTCGATCCGCCATGTTCCCAGCCATCCGGAGACTGTTCCCTCGCTAGCAAAGCTTTGGCTGTTGGACGGACAGCTCGCTTGGGTCTTGCAGCACCCGCTTCGTCGAGTGGCGCTGGAGATGCAGAGCCGCTAGCTTCGCTCATGGTGGAGCTATGTGTCCTGTTAGCTAGGTCGTGGATGCGACCTCGATGGCGGACAGTTGTGTCGTAACGGGACGGCTTGCGTTTTTCGTTCTGAGCCAAGAGCAGGCTTCCGTTGATCGTCCTCGCCTAGGCAGGCGGCTTCGATGTCGTGCAGCTTGACGTGCTACTGTTGGTTGCGAGTTGCGGAGATCATGGCGGGAGAAGTGTGGGTGCTGAGTCGAGACAGTGTCTCTGCTCGGAACAGCAATTTGTGACTTTGACACCGCGCTCTACTCCACACAATTGACGCGTCCAAGCTCAGATTTCGGATACATGGTCGTCTCTGTTCGACTATCAAAAATGGCCTGCCATTCCCAGTGTGTCGGCAGCTGATGAAACGCTCAACTTCAAGCTCTTCGTTGCCGAACGCAGTTCGTGATCAGCGCGGCGGCTTGCCACGATTTGTAGCGTGCTGCGCTATGAGCAGTCTCTCTCAGCTATCAAATTGTCGCATCGTCAATGCAATCCAGATTGAAACGGTCAGCATGAACACTGAACTGTTGAGTCTGCAACAGCGAGGAAAAGACTTGCTAGTCTGTAACTTATTGACTTTGGTACAGCTGGAGCTCGTGGTAAACATTCTTATCACGAAACTGTCAGCTCATGGTCATCGACGAGCCAAAACACATCACTTTGCACAGTCAAGTCAAAATGGTCGATCGATCGGGCCCGCACTAGGGGGCGATTGATATTTTGCGCGGAGGTCGGCTAAAACATCCGCAAGAAAGTGTGATTGGTGATTGTACATGAAGGTGCGAGCGTAGGGTGGACAAAGACATCACGATCACGACAAACTGAATTGGGTTCAGATCGTCCAGTATTGCTAAAACGTGACTACGGATCCTGTGTGATGATGAAGAGTGGGAATGATTTATGCCTCCTGAGCACGAATGCGGGCGTTGGCGTTGGTGACCTTGACCCCGAGAACCTTAGCCTTCTCGAGGATGTCGATGCGCTTCTTGGACGAGACGTTGTGGGCGATCTCGGCAGCGTAAGAGCCGTTGTGCATGAGGAGGAGCTCGACGTCACGGACGTTGGAGACCACGAGGCGGCGGTAGCCGTTGGGCATGAGGTGACGGGTCTTCTTGTTGGAACCGTAACCGATCTTGGGCATGCGGACAGTGCCGCGGAAACGACGGCGGACAGCACTGTCGATACCCTTGGGCTTGCGCCACGACTCACCGACACGGTGGTATCGGTCAGAGTGGTGGCGCTTGAAGGCCTTGGTGCGCTTCTTGACGATGGGGATGGAGGTGGCAGCCATCTTGACAATCTGATGCGAATGGAGAAGGTGATGGAGGACGAAGAGCGGGGGCAAGTCAGTACTTGTAGTCAAAGTTATGAACTTTGGGAGAGGCAGATGTCTAGTCTTTCGCAACCAGAGTCGTTTGGCGATATCTGGTGAAAGAGCGAGGATCTCCTGCGAGGTGATGGGCGGATGAGGTCAATGAAGGTGATGGACGCTGCGTGTCGAGTACGAAAGAAAAAAAAAAAAGTGCCGCATGGATGGTTGCAAATGAGTTGTTCTAGTCATTATAGGTGGCTCACCTGCGTCTGCGAGTTGCTTTAAGTTGTGTGTGAGGACGAATGCTCTCTCGAAATGCTAAAATGAAGACTCGCTGATGCAAGTAGACAGGGTATGGCAAAGGTGCGCTCGCAAGATCAAGGTCCCCTATCTTGTCCACTCCCTGAGCCAAACATCCTGATTCGGCTGCAATGAACCGTCTGACAGACAAGTCGCGCGGCCTCAAAGATCGATCGCGGCGCGGATGTTCGAGACGTCAAGGCCAACCACACAACAGCTCTGCTGATACAGATGCTTGAGACGATGTTCCTCCTCGTATCTCCGATCTATCTGCGTTGCCCGGTTCCGTGTTGTACCTCTCTATGCATTTTCAGTTACACAGTAGTTTCTCTGAAGGGCCATAATGATGCATCGTCCTGACATACTGTGCTTCGTCGTCCAGTTGGTGCGGCGATCGATGACAATACTATGTGATATTGGCGAAGGCGGTAGGCTGGATGCGTGAATTGAGGCAGATATGCGATTCGTCCTGCCTTCTGCGTTGCTGGACGTTTGTCGCTGTTGACTGATGTTGCAAACTTGGCGGTGTATACGTGGACGAGATGTGGTTGCGAAAGACGTCGTAATCTGCTTTTTGCAGCAAAACTTACCTTTCTTAATGGGTGAGGATGGTGGTGATTCGAGATGATGATGAACAGCCTTCACTTCTCACACTCCAGACCCACTCAGCGCTCACACTGGCTGCTCTGGTCTGATCCTCTGTCTGACCTTCCACTGAGCGCTGTGTAGGCAATGTTTCGGATGTCCGCCTCTGACTCTCTCTGTAAATCCCAAACGCCTGGCCACGAAACTTCTAACATCTTTGGTCCATTTTTTCTCTTTTGGCCTGGAGCTAAGGTCGGCCGAGGTCATGCGTTTGGTCATTTTTTTTTTCCATTTATTTCAAGCAGGCGAAAGAGCTGAGGACTGGATAATGTCGAGATTTTGAATGTTAGTCGCGAGTTTGGAGGCTGAGAGGCTTGGAAACTTCAGGTCTGCTGAGCCAGAGAAGACCTTGTCAAAGTTGGAGCTGAAGCTGGCTGCTGGCTGGCTGAGTATTGCAGTTCGAGCTCCTCATCATCACCTTCGACACCACCACACCCGTCAAGAATCATATTGTCAAGGTTAGTATATGCTAACTTTACCTGCTGTCGCTCAACCACACCGACATACACACAGCGTCCAAGCATTTCAAAGCAGCCGCATTCGACACGGTACGATTCATTGCATGCCCGACTATTAAAGTACCAACATCGCAGAACCGCAGACGGCTTGATAAGGAGGGAGTGTATGGACGACACATTGTAGCAGCAATCCGCAGGTCATCATCACGATCAGGATGTATCATGGATAGGACCAACCAAAGGCTTGTGGGAAACAACACAGCATCAGTTTGGGCATAGATGCATTGACGTTCCGCCGCAGATGATGCATTATACAGGTCGCTTCGCCATCAGGATCGATCCACCGCTGCTCACCTCTGCGACAGAAGGCAGAGCCACGCACATCATAATCGTTGTCAGCATCAACAGACAATTGACTTGAAATCGACCCATGACCCAAGTCAGACAGTTTTGCAGGAACACCGGGAAGCAGATGATCAATATGTCTTGCTTGTCGACACAACCAGTATAGACCATTCAGAAGGACGTGGAATATTCAGAATAAGTGTTAAAGGCTCATCTTGGATGTCTTTCAGATTGGTTCTGGGTTTTGGTAAAGAATTCAGCTCAAAGTTCTGGTCTCGGTCGGGTGCAGCAGCGGGTTTTTTTTTTTTGGCAAAGGGAAGAACAACCAGTCTGACCCTGTGTTGTTTTCTTGGTTTCTTTACAACCTGTCTTATCACCTTTCGATCGCACAGATGTCCCTCCAGCAGGCAAACCCATACATCGTTGACGGCAAGGGACACCTCCTCGGTCGTCTCGCCGCTACCCTGGCCAAGGAGCTCCTCTCCGGCCAGAAGGTCATTGTCGTTCGATCCGAGCTCATCAACGTCTCCGGCTCGTTCTTCCGCAACAAGGTAAGCATCCACAACTAGAGCCGGAATCGAGCACCGAGCATTTCGCTTCGTTTTCGGCTGATTTCCCCATCGCAGTCGTCACCACACACATCAACCAACCATCTAACATCTGATTCCGTCCCTATTCGTCACGCTCTCCTCGACCACAGTTGAAATACCACGCCTACCTCCACAAGCGCCACTTGGTTAACCCCAAGAAAGCCGGTCCCTTCCACCACCGTGCTCCCTCGCGCATCCTCTACAAGGCCATCCGCGGCATGCTTCCCCACAAGACCGCTCGTGGTGCCGCCGCCCTCCAGCGATTGAAGGTCTACGAGGGTGTCCCCCCTCCTTACGACCGCAAGAAGCTCATGGTCATCCCCGCCGCTCTCCGTGTCCTCCGCCTTAAGCCCGGCCGCAAGTTCGCCACCATCAAGCGTATCTCGCACGAGGTCGGCTGGAACCACATGGAGACCGTCGACAAGCTCGAGGCCAAGCGCAAGGTCAAGCAGCAGGCTTACCACGAGCGCCAGGTGGCTGCTTCCAAGAAGCGCGCTGCCGCTCAGACTGCCACCGCCGACAAGCTCAAGGACGTCAACGCCCAGCTTGCTTCTTACGGTTACTAAGCGGTTGCGCTACCCCAATAGAGGCGTCACCAGTGTCAGACGTGGCGAAGGATCGATTCCCCTTTCATTCGCGACGTCAGCGCTGGCCCCTTTGACGATACCACCAAGGTCTCTTTCCCGGCTCATTTCTTTGGTCGATCAAGCTTTCTTGGTTTCCTGCTTTGCACGTCTCACTTCTCTTTCGGATACAGTTTCCATTCGCTGCTTTCGAGGAGGGCGAGTCTTGTGATTCACAAGGCTGCATGCAGGTTTAGCACTCTGCACAACAGTCCATCCCATCTCTCTCGACAAACCTGGACATACATCAGGTCCAAAGTTCACACTTCACTTCCGCCACTGTGTATTTCATACTCTCCCCTGTTACCGTTCAACACATGAACGACCACACCATCCCAAAGTCCTTTTATTGCATCACAGGACTCAAAAACACCCACTGCAAGCATCAGATGATCAAACGAAACTCTCACTTCGCGTGTGTACAAATTGCGTGCCATCGAGGTTTTGAAGAACCAGAATTGAAGCTTTCGTAACGATCAAGTGTACAAAGGCATCTGGGGGAAACTAGCCATGTTGCGACAGGTCGAAAGGTGTGATCCAGGTGGCTAGGTCTTCGTCAACGACCCTGCCGTCCGAGTTGCGCTTGGCAAGACGACGTTTGACTTTCGCTTTGAGCCGCTGACGTCTGCCCATGAGAATCCTGTCCTGCGCATCAAACGATCCGTTGGCAGCCAAACCGTTCTCGAGCATGTTGTAATCATTGAAGTCAAGCTCTTCGTCGTCATCATCTAGATCATCATCTTCGTCCGGATCCCGATGGAGGTCGGTCGAGCTAGAGTTCCGACCTCCACCCTGCGTACTCGAGCAAGGGTTTGCCAAGGTGAGCGACGTAGTAGAAGCCAGAGCGCCAGACTGGGTAGCTAAAGCGGTTCCAGCAGCTAGCATGGCCTTTTGCTTGCACACAAAGCCCTCGTCGTGTCTCTCGATGGCGTGGTGAAGATCGCGAGGCGAGTGACGAGCCGTCGAACCAGTGGAAGGACAAGCAGCACTGAAGGTGTGTGATGCATGAAGAAGCTGTGCGACCTGAACTAGCGCTACTGGCAACATGGGGGGTTGGCGTGGGAGCTGCACAAGCCTCCTGATAGAGCCTCTACTGGCGTACCAGGCATCCAGCCGTCTCGACTCGCGTTTGATCGTTTGGTATTCGTCCGACTTGAGCCACGCGTTAGCTTCACCAGAGGATGAGGACTTGGACGACGAAATAGGCAGCAGTGAGAGGCACAATGCCACATGGGCTGGACAAGGATGCTTGGGCATGACACCATTCTGAGCAGCTTTCGCGTACTCGGCCACACCATACCCCAAGTCCGTCCGTGTGGGCGTGATGAACTCCACTTCCACCCGCAACAAGCAACGTGCTCGTCGATCGCTTGCCGTAGCAACTTCTTCTGGCGCGGCTTCGACTCGACTGTTGCCGTACCAAGCGAGGGCCCGAAGCAAGCTCTTCCAGGACCGAGCTCGGATGGTGAAGAAGCAGCTAGGGGAGCTGTTTTGCATGTCACTGCCAGTAGACCCGGACGACGCTTTCATGATGTTGGCCAGCTCAATGGAAGCCGGAAAGAGGACCTTGCCTGTGGACGGCGAGGCAGTGGTAGAACAGGAGGAGCTCGATGCTGTTTTTGATGCAGACTGAGCAAAAGGCAAGCGACTCTTATCGAGCTTGGGCGCAAAGGGCAAGTCGCTGTGGCCAAACTCGATGCCTGCAAGTGCGCGCTGACCTCGTTGTTCTGAATTCAGCGAGACACTAGACTGGCTGAACCGCTTAGATGCGGGAGTGAACTGCGAACTTCCACGATCAGGAATCGACGGCGAGACCAAGCCCGTCGGTGGGGCGGGGGAAGAATCATCCCAGCTTGTAGGCAATGGAGATGCAAGAGGGGAGGTTGGTTCGTTCGAAAGAGAAGGGGTTTCTGAAAGACGTCCAAATCTCTGGCTGTGACCCGAGCTTGAGGAGGATGACCGCTGCCGAAGAACCGGTTGGTTGAGGCTCTGCAATGCGTGTGAATCGTACCGCTGCGACGAGACTTTCTCCGGTGGATATGCGTCGTAACGACCTTCGGATACGTTACTGGCTCGTGTGGATGGGCCAGCCTCACTCTCATCAAACTGCGACGTCGAACCAGCTGCTTGTCCATGCCCTTGCTCAGAGGACTGCGTATACGCAGGAGGAGGAGCCTCCTCGACAGTGTACAGGTTGACGGGCTGGATCGCAATGGGACGTGGGTCGAGCTTGGACGGTGAAATGGTAGGCGGATCAGTGCTGCCGCTCGCAGACGGAGCTTGCGGCAATGGCCTTCGAACTCGGTAGCTGGAAGGACCTGGCGAGTTGTTGGTTTGAGCATCGTCGAACGAAGCTTGGTGCATCTGTAGCGCAAGCTGGTAAGCCTCGTCATGGCCTGCAAATCGCCAGTACTCCGCGTCGAGGTTGCCAAACAAGCCAGCCTTGGACGATAATGACGAAGCTTGCTGCAGCGACGGCGCTAGTTCTGCTGGTGGCTGCGATGCCATTGCTGCCGCGGAAGGACCTGCCGTAGACGATGGCGTTGTAGGGCGGCTAATTGCATTTCTTTGATCAAGGAACTCGAGCAAAGAGCGCTCCGCACTTTCACGGCGTTCCCACTCTTCTTGCTGTTCTCGCAAACTGAGCTGCAGCGCTCCTCGTTCAGCTTCCTGCATCGCATCGAACTCCTGGCGTCTCTTCTTCTCCTGTGAAACGGAAGCAAGCTTGGCAGCTTCAAGCATTTCAGCTTCGAGCCGTGCGTCCTGTTCGCGCTGACGTAGAGCATATTGTCGTGACTCTTCAAGGAGCAAGTTTTCCTCCTGCGTCTTGCGCTGCAGTTGCATCTCCGCTTCGCGTCGGCTGTCCTCGATGGCTTGTTGCAAGAGCTGCTCTTCCTCCTGTGCGAGACGGCGTTGACGTTCGTTCTCTTCTGCTTTCAATGCAGCAATGCGATCGAGCTCAGCTTGCTCGCGAAGTTGACGTTGTCGGAGCTCCTCTTCCTGCTGAGCAGATTGCAAGGAAGCCTGGATTGCATCTTCGATTTCGGCACGACAGCCTGGACAATCGTCAAATTCGTGTGCTGGTCCATGTGATGCTGTTGGTGACGAATTGTGACCAGCTATTCGGTGCTGGAGTATTGCCGGACTGGTGCTCATTGGTTTATTCGGTGCAACAAGATACGTAGATGCGCTCGACATGGTTCGCTCTGCAGGTATCGGTGGTGTTGCAGAATGAAGAGGCTGCGGGACTGGGCTGATCATGGATGTGGGCCTCCGTGATGAAGACAGTTGAGGACTGCGATCAGAAGGGTATGCGGCCGATGGTGCACGGGCACCTGAGAACAGCGGATCTCCTGGCCCAAAGCTGAGCCTGGAAGCATTGTTGCGGTTCGAGTTTTGAGCGACAGACGGTGCCGGCGAAGCTAGGGATTGCTCTCTCCGTTCGTGTGGGTTCACTAGCTGCGTCTGTTCATGCGGATTTGGCAGGTCCCTCTGCTCGTAAGGATTTACTAGTCGTTGCGGTAGAGGTGACTGGGGCCGATGCGCTGACATGTGATTCAACGGCTCTTGTGGTTGTGGACTGAGTGGAACACTGGGGCTCTGCGGTCGGGCTTGGAAGATGGCTGGTCCTCTGGAAGAGGTTGGAGCAACGTGTATATAAGGGAATGAGATCGATGATGGTGTTGGTGAGGCCAAAGATTGTTGCAGGCGGTTGAGCTGAGGTGGGGGCAGTGCTGGTGCAGCCGTAGGCAGTGGTATGAACGCAATGTTGGCGTGCGAAGCTGACGAGGAGGATGCTACACCAGCTAATGTGTACGGATCATCCGACTGCCAGCCTTCTTGGCGGTAACTTCGCTGCTGGGGCTGTGTTGTAGGCCTCATCTTTATCTTATCGGTATTATTGCAACCTCTTCAACATGGCCTTGGAAGTCGTGGAATTCGTGTATGATGTATGCCAGTATTGTGCCAGTTCCGTTGCTTGGCGGAATTGAGCACTTCGATAATCAGCAGTCCGGCATGGAATGGCTAGTGATGTGAATGATTGACAAAAGTGTCGTCGGTTTTGCAGTTCCGAGTCGTCTCCGCCACGAAGCGGCAGTGTCGATGTGAGTCAGAGAAAGATGGACCCGAGGATCACGAGGATGTCAAGCGATGAAGCCAAGAGAGCAATGCTATCAAGGCTGTGCTTTCAGTCCCTGCCGGCGTCTGTGCATCTGAAACCACAATCAAGCTCCGGGAAAAATTAGGACATGTGGAGACGTCACCTCACCTCACACGTCGGCTGTCATGGCCGAAGAAGGTTAATGCTGACAAAGTTCTCGGGAAGCAATTGGTCTCGATCGAAGGCTGTGAAGCTCAGAGTAAGTCTGTCATTAAAGAGCACTAAGTTAATACAGCAATACGCAGGCCTTTTGTGTCCCTTGCAAAAAGCACACACGACCGAAGGAGAAGGCTGAAATACGGCTGTATACTGGACAGGGAGAGGATCCTCAATCATCACCTTGTTTGGTGTCATCTTCAGTTACCCTGCGGCGGAGGGTTCGGGTTGTCCAGCAAGATACCGATAGCACCCTCGACACTACCGCCAGCCATGAGCAGCGCTCTCACATTGGCTTGACCATCGTAAAAGCCCATCGACTGCATCTGCTCTAGTTGAGAAGAGAAACGCTCCTCGGGTGGCCTTGTGTCGCGCGAAGCCGCGCCTCCTGCTCCAGCCTCAAATCCACCAAGACCGCCAAGACCACCAAGGCCCCCAAGACCACCGAACCCACCTGCTCCTCCACCACCACCACCGAACATCTGTTGAAGGAACGAAGGATCTGCAAAGGGGTTTGGCGGGGCTGCACCGTCGCCGCCCGTGTTTCGGAGCCCGCTGAAATTGCCGCTGAAGTTGCCGGTGTTGCCCTGGCCGTTGTTGCGTCCACTAGTATTGTCGTTGCCATTGTCGTTACTGTTATTAGCGTTGCCTTCGTTGTTGCCGCCGCTTTCACCGAAAGCACCAGGAGGGGGCCATTGGCGATTACCGCCGTTGCCTCCACCGCCGGCTCCGAATCCGCCCAAGCCTCCCAAACCAGCCATGCCGCCCATACCAGCGCTCTCCATCAGCTGCGACATCTGAGCCATCCTCTGCATGGTTTCGGGGTTGGTGATCATCTCGCGGAACTGTTCTGAGTGCATCATCTCGCGCATCTGTGGTGCCATGCCTTGAAGCTGCGGGTTCATGGCAAGCATCTGGTCGATGAACTCGGGACGAGACATCATATCCTGCATCTGACGTTGCACCTCGGGATTCTGCATCAACCCCATCATCATGTTTGGATCGCGCGGGTTGAGGCCCATGCCACCAAATGCGCCTCCGCTCTCGTTGAGCAGTCTAGCCATGTGAGGGCCTGCATAATCAGCCCGGTTAAGCGCAGAAAGCGGATTGTTGGTGAAGTTCTGACCTGCAGAGAAGTTGGAAGGAACACCATGCGACTGTGACGAGGCAGCGTTGTTGGAACTGCCAGTGCTTGATGGTGCTGTTCCAGGTACCGATGGATTACCAGTTGTGGGTGCGGAACGAGCGGCTGACTTGACCATATGCACAGTGTTGCCGTCCTTGATCTTGTAGACCGAGAGGGTCTCCTCATCCTTGAGCACTTTACCGGCATAGATTAGTCGCTGCGAATCGGCAGGGACGTCAGGCTTCTGCTTCTCGATCGCCTCTTTGAGCTGTCGAACCGTCTGATCCGAGGTGATGTCAATGCTGAGCCTTAGCTCCGAGGGACCCTTGATGTTGATCTTGAGCGGTGACGCCGAGTCATTCGAGTCTGCCATGTTTGCTGTTGGCCTGTGTTGTTGCGAGTATGTAGGTGTAGGATTGATGACGATCTTGTCGGATGACTTGGATGATCGCGGGAAGAACGCAAGATCCGCTTTGACTGTGAACTGCGCAGTCCACGCATCCTTCACTGAGCTCCCGCTTCCCCGACAAAGGCCATGTGGAGTTTTCTGGTTCAGCTCAGCAAACACAAACTCTAACAGCTGTTGCCAAAAACAATATTGCTGGTGCTACGCGTGACCCCTGAGAAACTGCTCATTAACGCGACGCTTCCCAACACCATCACAAACCTATCCAACATGCGGTGATGGACGATCCCGCCCCGCCTTCAAGCAGACGCAAGGCGCGACTGCTATGGCGTAGCGATCTGGTCCTCCTCGATGGCACCCGCCTACCAGGACTAGCTATCGTCTCCTACGCCAATCCATTTGGCGGTCCAAGCAGCAACGATGGCGCGGGCAACAGCAAGATCCACGAGGATGAGGCCGACCTTTGCCTGGCGTTGGAGATGCTGCGCAACCAGCCTTTACGGATCTCATCCTTGATCACTGATCGTGGACTCGTAACGGAGCCAACGTCTGTCGCCTACAGTCACAAGCAGACTCAGACGCACTGGGTCGCAAGCGGAGATGTTCACATGTACATCGATCCGCACGAGCCCGTCACTTCGAGCTTCTTCCAGCGCATCTTTTGCTTCGATGCTGACTTTGTCGAGGATTTGGGCGCGAAGCGATCCGCGCAGGTGGTTATGGTCTCCCTTCAACCGTCTTTGCTAGCCCCTCTGGTCGACTCTGCCGCATCGGACCCTTTCGCCATTGTCAACACACCCACTGCTTCTCACTCCGAGTTCGCCATCTTTGCCCAACCAATGCCCACGTCAGATCATGACGGCAATACTTCCATGCCCATTCGTCTCGTTCTCGGCCGCAAAATCACCGTTCATGCAAGAAGGATAGCCGCAGGTATCGCTAGCAAAGAGCTTTCGCGATCGCGCAGCTTTCACAGACAGCAGAGCATCGGCTCGCAAAGTCTCCATGATGTATTCAGTCAAGCAGGCTTGTCGCTTCCAGCGTTCGGCGGTGTTCCCACTCTGGCATCGAACACAGCACCTCGCCCGGATGACCCACTTCCACGTGGCTCGATATCAGCGCTCCTACAAGCTCGATCGAAACGTAAACCTTCGCACACGGAACGTCACCGAGGTGCTGAGCCCGCCCCGACAGCTAGCTTGACACCAATCGCTTCAGCAGGCACACATACGCCAGGTCGAAGAGGCGAGAAGCGTCGCTTGAACTCAGATCGAAAGATTGCAGGCAGTCCAAGTCTCAAAGAGGCTCTAGACGACGAAGAAGACGTCAAGCCTCTCCTCTCGCCAACAAAAGCTATCAAGCAACGAGCCGATTGCATTCTATCCGAATTGCCTCGACTGAATCTCGGCAAGCAGCCAATGAGAGCCATTGTTGCTCCGGCTCGAAGCGGAACTCAGCTACTCGACGTCAAGCCGGTCAAAACGGAGTCTGTTTCGCCAAAGCCCTTCCTGGTCGATTCCAATATTCAGCGAGATGAAAGCGTCGAAAAAACGAACCGCAACATCATCAAGAAGATCGTTCACACTCTGCTAGTCCGCGAGCACGGCCTCACCAAGTCTGACGCAGACTACATCGCAACTTACAACCAGACATGTTCAGGTACTTGGTGCACATTCCGCAACATCGCAACTGTCAAACCGCTCGCTAAGGATGCTGTGGAAAATGTTGTTCGCATTCATCTATCATTGTACTTGTATTCTAGCCAATCTTAAACAGAACATCGAAGCCGACAAGACAGACGACTCGGAAAAATCTGTGACAGATACGTTGAGGAATCGAAGTTCATGTCGCAGTCGCAGAAGCGGAGACTTCGCGGTGACGATCCTCCAGCTGTTCAATCTCCTGCTTAAGCTTGTTGACATCTTCCTGGTTCTGAGTGAGGAACCGGTTCTCCATCTTGGAATTTTGCAGGTCGCGACGGGTGTTCTCGAGCTCATCACGTTCAGCACGACATTCGGCCAAGAGCTCATGATACTGGTTGGTTAGGAAAGCCACCTTCTCAGTGTGAGCAGCGTGAAGACGTTCCAGATCGCTCATCTCCTGGTTCTCCTTGCCTTGCCCGTCGAGCAAGCTGGCAGCGGTGGTAGCAGTGTTGGCGGCAAGCTTGGAAGCATTGAGCGCCAGCTCCTTGTTGGCAGCTTCGAGGGCTCGTTCCGCCTCGTCTAGCTTGTCTTGAAGATCCATGAGCTTTTTGAGATCCTGCAGACCCTTCTCGCGGAAGGGAACGAGTGCCTCCTCATGCTTTTGTGTGAGCTGACCGACCTCTTCGACGTGCTTCTGCATCAGAGCCTCCTTGTCAGCCGTGTGTTGCAACGAGATGGCGTCAAGCTGCTCGGCGAATGCAGTCTGTGATTGATTGTGCGCGTTGCGGACTTCTTCCAGCTCCTGCTCCAATTGTTCGATCTTCGTTCGCAGAGAAGCAGTCTCGGTCGAGCTGGCAGCAGCTGAGTCCGAGACAGCTCGCTTGACTTCATCCTTGGCTGAGGCGAGCTCTGCTTCAAGCGCTTTGACACGTGCTTCGCTAGCCTCTTTCTCGGTTTGCAACTGAGCACACGTATCCTTGATCTTCTTGAGATCGCCTTGTGCGGCGCTAAGCTCCATTTGAACGCGCTTGAGGTTACCAGCGTGTCGCTGGTCAGCTTCGGACAACGCTGTGGCATGACTTACCTTGACTGCCTCCAATTCATCAGCGTGAGATTTGCGCATCTGCTCGACCGTCTTGGACGACTGCTCCTTGAGGCTCTGCAGATCGGTCGAGTGATTGTCACCAGCTTCGGCTCGTGCCTTCTCGAAAGCGTCCATGACCTTCTGGTCGTGCTCCGCTTTGACCTCGGCAACTTGAGCAGCATATTTGGCTTCCTGACCTGCAAGTTGTGCCTTGACCTGTTCGAGAGTCTGCTGCAACTCCTTGACACGCTTTTCAGCGGCATCGTTGCGAGAAGCAAGTTCAGAAGCGTGCTCGTCACGCGTCTGCGAAAGCGTAGTCTCGTGTGCAGTTGCCAGGGTGGACAGCTCTTGAGCATGTCGCGACGCGTCCGCAGCTCGAGCCTCTTCAAGAGCAGACTCGTGCTCCTTTTGCAACGCAGCGCGGGTCTTCTCCTCGACCTCACGTCGGACCGCATCGAGTTCACTTGCCTTCTCCTCATCGTGCTTGGACTTGGCTTCTTCCAGTGCGCGCTCGAGTGCCTTAGCGTGCTCCACCGAGAGCTCACAACGTGCGTTGCTGACAGCATCTTCCAGAACGGCTGCATGCTTCTGCTCCGCTTCAGCACGGGCTTGTTCGATCGCCTGGGTGAGCAACTCGCCGTGCTGGGTCTCGCTCGCGGCTCGCTCTTGCTGCTGGTCTTGCTTGGCCTTCGCGAGAGCCGCCGCCTCTGCCGATGCCACAGCTTCAGCTAGCTTCGATTCGAAGGTGGTTGCATTGCTCTTGATCTGGTCTTGGAGCTCCTGGTTGCGTTGTTGCAGCTCGGCGAGTTCCGAAACCTGCTTTTGGAGTTCCTCATTCTGTTTCTTGAGAGTCTTCAGCTCAGAAGCCTGCTCCTGAAGCTCGCCGTTCTGCTGTTTGAGGGAGATGAGTTCGTCTGCCTGCTTCTTCAGCTCCTCGTTCTCCTTCTTCAAGGCGACAAGCTCTTCAGCCTGCTCTTGCAACTCCTCGTTGCTCTTCTTCAGCGCAATGAGCTCGGCCTCCTTGTCGGCCAAGCTCGAATCACCTTGTTCACCAGCTGCGCTTGCTTCAGAGGCCTTCTTCTGCGCATCCTGCAACTGTGCCTTGATTTCGTCGAGCTCAGCCTGCAGCTTGTCGCTCTGGGAAACCAACGCTGCTTCCTTGTCGCTGGCCTCTTTGGCAGCAGCAGTAGCGGCAGCAATCGCGGACTCGTGAGCCTGGCGCTGTTCAGCGAGCTCCTCCGATGCAATATCGCCATCGCTGACCTTCTGCTCATGCTGGAAAGACAATTTCTCGATCTGCTTCTGGAGCTCGGCCATGCTGCTCTTTGCGGCCTCGGCTTCCTCGCGAGCTTGCTTGGAGTTGAGCTCGTGTTCTTCGATCTTGTTGAGACTTGCGTCGAGCTGCTGTTTCAAGTCTGCGAGGGCTGCAGCCTGAATTTGATCGCCCTCCTTGGTGCTTTTATTTTGAGCAGCCGAGGCGCTATCCAGTGCCGAACGTGCCTCTGTCAGCTTCGACTCCAGGTCGTCGATCTTGCTCTGCGCAGCTGCGATGGCTTCCTCCTTCTCAGCCAAAGCCGAATCTTGCTGGGATGCTTGGTCGGAGCGCTGCTTATCCTTCGAGCCAATTTGGGCCTTGAGTTGCTCGATCTCAGCTTCAAGCTCTTGGATGCGATCTGAGGAGTCTGCGGTCGGTTCAGCGTCGTCCTTGGCCTCGGCCAACTTGGCTTCTGCAGCAGAGAGACTGACAGTCTTGGCCTGCAGCTCTTCGTCCTTAGTCTCCAGGTCGCTCTTGAGTTGGTCAAGCTGGTCGCTCTGCTCAGCAAGTTCGGCCTCGAGCTTGGCCACCTTGTCTTGCAGGTCCTTCACCGCAGACATCGCGGAAGCTCCGCCCGGCGCAAGGCTTCTACGAGCGGCGGCAGCAGCAGTGGCGGAGGAAGCAGCGGCGGTGGTCGCACCTGCCCGTGCTGTGGGAGCCAAGCTGGATCGTGCCACCGACGCGGGTCGAGCAGCTGCTCCCGTGTTGCTTGTGCCGTTGCTCGTTATAGAGGCACGTCGAGCAGCAGCGGTAGTGGAGGTGGCAGCACCACCCGATGAGGCGCTTGAGCCAGCCACCGAAGCCCCCTTTGCTGCAAGGGAAGTGGCGGGCGCAGCAGCACTCGACGACACGGGCGGCCTTCGGGCAGCGGCCGCGGTTGTGGTCGCGGCAGCAGAGGCAGCTCCAACAGGCCTACGCACGGCGGCAGTGCCAGTGGAAGCGGTCGATGCGGTAGTTGAAGCGGCTCCAACCGGCCTGCGTGCAGTAGTAGCGCCAGTTGCGCTCACCGTTGAGCGAGCAGGCGAGGCAGGCACCATAGAAACTCGTCGAGCTGCTGCTGTGGCTGCGATTCCGGTCGCTGCGGTTCTAGCGGCTGTACCTGCTGTGGAAGGTCTAGCTGCGGTGGTGCCTGCTCGTGCTATGCCACTGGTTGCGGTTGTACTGCTTGGAGCCAAGCTGGCTCGGGCAGTGACTCCTGGGCGAGCGGTGACCGTGCCTGCCGTGGTCGTGCCGGGTCTGGAGGCGGTTGTGGCAGCAGAGGAGCTTCTGGGTGCGGTCACACTTGGTCGTGCTGCATCACCTGGACGAGCTGCACCCGTCGCAGCAGTGGTGGTGGTCGATGGTCTGGCGGTAGGGGCGCCTATCACGGAGGGTCGGGTTCCGGGCACGGCTCGACGAGCTGCGGTTGCAGAGGTAGCGGCTGCACCAACAGGACGACGTGCAGTGATTGGCGTCGCGCCGACTTTGCCAGCAGCAGGACGTGTAGGTGTTGCGGTAGGCGTCGATTGGGCTGTGCCCTTCGCTTCCTCGACCTCTGCTGCATCTTCTTGGTTGTTCTTGATGTCATCTTCGGGCTCGTCAGCTTGTTCTACGGCTTCTTCGTCTGCTACAAGCTCCCCACCTTCCTTTTCAGAGGATGTGTGGTCACTCTCGGCAACAGCGCCGTCTAAGGACACCTCGCCGTCAGCAGGTGATTGCTCTAGCTGATCACTGCCTTCGTGTTCCTCGGGCATGGTGTCGTCAATGTGTTCAGCGCCGTCGATGTCGTTGTTGTACTCTTCGGCGTCCGACATGCTTGAAGATGCCAATTGCTGTTGAGGAGAAGGGATGAGAAGGGTACTGATGATGGTGTAGGGACTCAAGGGACCGCGCAGGGAGGGAGACAAGAGGTTTAAGCCCAAGCTGTTGCTTGTTCCGAGACACAGGACTGTGCATGCGTGTGTTCACCTGAACGTGTGTGTGTGTCTTTGTCTCTTTCTATGCAACTCGCATGTGATTTCCGAGAAGTGTCACTTTCGAAGTCACACGCGCGTTGAGTTGTTCCCTGTGGAAGCAGGGTTTTTCACCATAAGTAACAGAACAAGTGCAAAAATTTCATATAAAAAAAGAGTCCTACGGGGATTGAACCCGCGACCTGCAGAATACCCTCAAGGCATCTTCGAATTAGAGAACCGAAGTCTGCCGCTCTACTGCTGAGCTAAAGACCCTTTCTTGGACCTTTAAGAGCAAATTATAATTATATATTTATATACGTTTTCTTCGCACGGTAGACTATGGTGTCGGAAGCAGCAAAAGAAGAGGCTTGCAGGTCTAAAAGATTTTTTGCTTCTCTTGTGCTTCTTTGTTTTATTTTTATTTATTTTTATTTTTATTTTTATTTTTATTTTTTATTTTTTATTTTTCTTCTTCTTTTTCCTTTTTTCCGGATGTCAAGACAGCTGTCTCTCTTGATCACTCTATATCTTCCTTCCACCATCACCGTCCAGTCCATCAAGCAACCATTCTTATCGAATGCCTTCATCGTCGACCTGATTGTTTGTGGCTATTCCTTGTTCAGCCTTCTGCGCCGTCAACATTCTCTCGCACCCATCACACCACCACGTCGATCTGTCTCTGTTTCTTCCCCTCTCTCCTTCCGATCCCTCAGCTTCAGCTGCCCTTATAATAGAGTCCATTCGATGGCATCCACATCTTATGTGACGGGACAACCTGGGCTACAGCAGCGAATCATCACGGCATATCGTCGTTGCATCAACCTTGTCATAACTATCCGGCTCGTCCTCCTTCAGTGGATGACTCGGCTGAAAGACCTGGAACATCTCTTCACTCTTTATTATCAACTTCTACGCGCGGTTTGTAAGCGCTACGATTGCAATTAGAGATGGCTGCCAACAGTGCAGGACATGGACAACTTCCCATATCAGTGTGTGCTTAGACTATCTTAGTGGGATTAAATATCAACCTCGAGTGATTGGACTTGCATTTTGACAAGATACAGAGCTCGGGCAAGCGCCTGTGCATTTGCTAGTGCGGGATGCTTCTCTGCTGGGTTGCCGTGAGCAAGCTGTTGCTGTGCGATGGGATGAACCACTGCTGCACTTGCCGCAGTAGAGCCGGACGAGGTCGCATTGGATCCCTGCGCTTGCGTTGTTGGAAATCCAGACATGAATGGCCACTGAAAATTCAAAGGATCTCCATTGCCATTTCTATTTGGTCCACGATCATTCTCTCCACCCGGGCTACCCTGATGCCTTCTTCGCTCTGCATCTTCTCCAGCTGTCTCTTGCAGTTGGGCATCCGAGGCAGTTCGCTTGATCCCGACAGATCGCTGAGGGTTCTGGCTGATGCCATACTCTCCAGCAGCCGAGTGGAAAGAGTGACTGGTGATACGGAACATGTAAAGCTGTACAAACTTCTCCGTCGTCTCCAACAATGACTCTGCTTCTTTGGCCATGAGGAACGTCTCCCTACGCTGAATCAGCAGCAGAAGCAATCCAGCAGCATGGCCAAGCAACCAGTGATAGAACTGTGGCAGATACAAGAGCTTTTCGCCAAACTCAGTGGTTGCAAGCTTTAACGCGAAAAGGGCTGAATGTTTGGCGGTGGAGATCGTACGAAGCTGAGCAATGGCCAGACGGGAGAATTTGGGCGAATTGGCGTTGGAGGCGACCTTGAGTGCATGCTGAGTCTCGTTCAAGATGTCGAGCTCCGGATCCAGAGGGTGGGAAGCAAGGAAGGTACGAGAGAGATGATAGAGCAGAGACAGGTCGATCGACTCAAGTGAGCTGTCTGACAGGTCAGAGTACTGTGAAGTCAGCAAACGCCATCGATTCAGCTCTTCCAACCACTCTCGCCAACGCTCTGCCAGATGAGATGCATCGAACAGCCTGGAGTCCTTGGATCCCGAGTTTGCTGGCTGTTGTTCGGAGGGTGTTGACTTGTTGGAAGCCACGGTAGCACGTGCTGAGCGGTGCAGGTCTTGAGCAGCAAGCAGGATCGACATCATGCGTGCATGCGCAACCAGCTGCCGGTCTGAAGCGACAGAGCCAATACCGCCTGCTGGGTCGCTTGAAGCCGGCAGCGCGGTTGAAGAAGTGGACAGTGTTGAGCCGGGTGTGCCATCGACAGCACTGAATGCTTCCCTCTTTGCTGCTCCGTCTCCATTGGCGAGATTGCTAGCCAGCTCTGCGCTATGGCTGCTTGCATTGAGCAGACCCAGACAGTAGTGAGCCGGCTGACTCTCAGGGAACAAGCTGGGCTTGTCGTTGATGACGGCCTGTTGCGCTTCTGTGATGTACGACATAAGCCAGATCCGCAGCTTGCCGACGAGGTCAATCTGTCGGAACGGCGGGAGGATGGTCATCCACTCTCCAAGGGTCTGTGCAGAGCGGACTTCAAAGTGCTCGAGGTAGCCTATGGCCCAATAGCGAGCCAAGCGCGCAATCGAGAGTGCGGTCTGGCCACCAAGCCACGACGCTGCGATGCAGGCGCCTGTAATTTCTTCGACACCGATGCCGAGTTCTGGATCGAGAGGAGCGTGGCGATCGATCGACTGGTCCAGAAGCAAGGGCGAAGAGAAAGCTTCGTGGCGAATGCGCTCGAAGAGTTGGCGTGAGTTGGGCTCGTGCATGGATGAGACCATAAGAATGCATGCGATGATGAGCGGTGTCATCTCTTCTGATGCTGGATAGGCGGGGAAGCCAAAGCAATGAGGCTGCAAGTACCGTGCAAAGAACTTGAAGAGGTGACGAGCTTGATCCATAGACACAAGGCCCATAGAAATGACTGTGAGTCGAGGGTCGTTGCGTCCGATGTAGTGAGATGGTTTCGCATAGGGTGACGCGGAGTGAGCACGTGATGCTAGCGACCGTGACTTGGCGTCTGCAAGGTTGTTGTAGGGTTGGTGAGCAGCATAGATCATGGAGGACGGACGGCTCTGCCCGGGCTCCAAAATAGGCGCAGGTTGATGGGGTGGTGGCTGCGGTGGGCGACGAGGGCCCGAGGCGGTCCGAGACGCAACAGCGGGATTGCGGTGCGAGGTTGCAAGATGAGGGGCGGGGGCGTGGGCCGACGGCGGGAAAGCCACGGCTTCGGAAAACTGATCGTAATGTACCGAAGACGGAGGCAGTGGCGGCGGTGGTAGATGAGAATTGTGCAACGGTCGGAAGGATTGTGAGGCCGAAGACGGAGACCGGTAAGGACGATGGGCCGACATCGGACCGGATGACGAAGGTGAGGAGGCGGAGCGAAGATGGGGATCACCCGGACTGAGAAGGCCAGCAGCACCATCGAAGCCCAAATACGTGGTGGACGAAGGTCTTCCGTGTGATCCAGATGCGTGGTGAGGTAGTATGGGCTCTGGCGGTGGTGGGGAAACATGTTCGGCATTCGGTGCAGACTGATATGGATGTGCTTGCCAGGGATGCCTTAGAGTCCCTCTTGCAGATGGCAGAGGCGGCCGGTAGAGACTAGCAGGATGATGTGACTTGCGCGGTGAAGGAGCGGATATGGGAGAGCTGGTCGAGGCCGTTGTGTCTGATCGCCTTTGGTCCAGCTGCTGCTGCTGCTGTTGTACGAGCCATTCCACGCTTTCGCCGAGCTTGCTAAGAACCTCATCAGTACGTTCTCGCCAGGTCTCATCATCTGCTCGAAGTCGGAACTTGCACTGAGCTTCCTGATTGGTGTCCTTGCACCGCTTGCAAGGAGGAGCGCCATCGTGGATGCACTTGACCTTGGAACGTCGACACAGTACGCAGGCCTTTTGAGGCTTCACTTCGATGGGTGGCAGTGATGATAGTGAGGAGAAGGAAGCATCTCGATTGACGTTGACAGAGCTTGATGAGCCAGGAGGGTCAATGTATTTGGCCGGTGATGCAGCGGAAGCGGGTGATGTCGATTGTGCAGAATCCAAGCGCGATGCTGACGCTTTAGTTTTGGGCGGCATTGTTCACCGCTAGCGAACAGGAGACGCACGATGAAGAGAGAGAACGGCTGCCAAGCCCGAGAACCTTGATTGTTGGCAGGGTGGGAGAATAGTCGAAAGAAGCTAGGCGAGCAGATCAGCTGTATGACATGGTGCCGTGATGAAGCAAGGACGATGCAGTTGCTTGATGTCTCGTCATCGTACCAAATGAAATGATGCAGTTCCGATCCGGAGAAGCCGGAACAGTTGAGTGTCAGTCGACCCTGACTCGGCTGCTTTGCCGGAAAGCTCAACAAGCGCTTCTGGAACTCACTTTTCTTTTTCTTTTTCTTTTTTCTTTTTCTTTTTTCTTTTTCTTTTTTCTTTTTCTTTTTTCTTTTTCTTTTTTCTTTTTCTTTTTCTTTTTTTGGCTTAAGCGCAACTGTAACACATTGGACAGCTTTTCGGAGTCATGTGGAGTTCATTGACTCACTTCTTCTCCGTTCTTGACTCTGCTTCATCACTGCGTCACAACACACACACACACATACACACACCTTCACATGCCCTAAATGAGCGGACCAAGCGGCAAGAGTCTTCGACTCAGCTTCAAAGGCGACAAACCAAAGAAGCGCAAGCGAAGCGGAGAAAAGTACAGCAACGGCGAATCTTCATCGAGCTCTCAAAAGCGTAAAGCTGGCCGAGACGTAACTTCGGATGTCGAAGAGGTCGGTGGAGACGAGCAAGCATGGGTCGCTGTCGAGTCAGAGCTTGACCTCACTGGTCCATGTTTCATCTTTCGGAAGGCGTTGAGGGAGCTGACTGCTCCTTTTCATTGCGTCGCCTTTCAACCAAGCCTGCAAAGTGTCGAAGCAGCTACGATCCTTCCAGGGTCCGACGCAATTACGACCGATGAGGATCGAGTGACGCTATTGGCTTCCAACCCAAAACTCGCGGAGGAGCTCGAGGATGCTGAGATTGTACCATCAGCTGAATCGTCTGGCATCGACACTGCTACAATAACGCCGCAGTCAGTGTATCAAGTATGGGTAGCTACCAAGGTGCCAGGCAGCTCTTCCCCAGCACACTTCACTTTCAAGAGCGCCGAGGGCAAGTTCTTGGGAGCTGACAAAATCGGCTCGCTGCAAGCATCAATGGCGGCGAGAGGTCCGCAGGAGGAGTGGACGCTGGAAAGGTCGCTGGATGCATCGGGCCAAGTAAAGTGGTCGCTGCGGTCTGTACATAATCGATATCTCGCTTTAGATCAGGTGGCTGGAGGCAAGACGGTGGTTAGAGCAGATGCTGATAGCACGCAAGATGAGACAGCTCAATGGGCTCTTCGGGTACAATGGAAGCATCGACATGCTGCTCGTCACTCGGCTCAGTCGACGGGCTCATATCGCTCAAAAGCAAACGATCCAACGGTGGTCGCACTCAATGCACGCGATCAAGTCTTGGTTCAAGAGCTCGAGACCTTCCGTTCTCGAGCGGGCTCGCAGTATCTTCCCTCTGACTATGCATCAAGCTTGTCAAAGGAAGAGAGAAGAGCACTCCGGAAAGCGCAGAAAAAAGGTCGACTCGCCGAAGAGATGCTCGATCGGCGCAGTAAGATGAAAAGGTAAGCACAACGCGAGAAGGACGTGCAACACTGACTTTCCAACTGTGACTAACCATCACACACCTTCCGCCTCCGTTTGCGACCACTCTCACGTCAACAGCGACAAGTATGCTTGAACATTTCGATACCCATCGAAATCATAATCATTTCTTTGAAGCGTTGTAGTATACAGTGTGTCCACTCTGTGTCATAAGGCTACTTGCGGCAGAGTGACCGTCGTCAAATCCACACTGATGCTGCCGGAACTGAGTTCTCTCGCGAAGGCTGATGGCTTGACTGAGTCAATTCGAGTGAGTCGGCTTCGGAAAGTCTTGGTCAATGCTTCACGAAGATGCTCGACACCTCCTTCGCTGCTGAGGCGTTCAGGCACTGAGAATGCAAGCAGCTCCATCTTGTCAGTGTGATGAGACCACGTGACTCTGTACAGCATCAGCGGCTGCGAGCCGAGGCAATTCGTTGGTGAAGCTGAAAAGCTAGCCTCTTCAGTCGGCTTTCCCTTGAGCTTCAGCGGTCTCACTTCGTTGTGGTATTCCTCTACATCTTGGCTGGGCGAGACTTTATGGAGACAATATACAGCACCGTATTCGAGCAGCAGGCCGGCAAGCGCCACACCGACTAGCTGAAACTCTTCGGTGTCGATCCGAGCCTGGTCTGGTTGAAAAATGACGAGCGCATTCCCGGGGCCCTCCCTCTGAACAGCTTCGGATATTGCCTCGATGAGCTGGGTTGTGTGGGTATCAGGAGTTGTAGCGGTCGGTGCGTTGTGTTGGGGAGTAGATCTTGCGTCCACCCATAAGACGGGATAGCTCTGGCTCTGTTGTAGAGATCTCTCCTTCAGACTTGCAACGTCGTTCCAGAGGCTGTCTCTTGTGCTGACAATGAACGTTTGCGATGTCGCTGCATGATATAGAAGCCGAACCTCTCGCAGGGCCTCGCTCTCGTCATGAGCCTGCTTGCTGAGAGAGTCGAGCGCCTCACTGATGGCAGATGCTTGAGCCGCGGACAAGCTGAGCGCGTCCACCAGAGCAGCTCTTCGAAGCCCATGCCCGACCAAAAGCACCTGCAATGCGATCTGGCTGCATCCTGAACGAGGTGGCTTGACCTTTCTCCGACCTGACGCCGACTGGAAGGCCACCACCGAGATGTGTTGGGCCAGCTCAACGACCGCCTCACTCTCGAGCAGCCGATGCTTTGACATGGCCCGAGTTGACGGCTTGATGGTGGCAAGAAAGTAAGAACTTCGATGCCATTTCCTTGCCCGACATCCTGATATCTCGCTCACTTCTCATCTTGGACTATGATACTTTCACATTTGGTTGGCACAGATGTTGGCGGCACACATCAACGGGGAGCAGATCTAAAAGGCTGAATTTTATTCCATGCTGAGGGACATGCACAGAAGGGGTAGGTAAAAGAGATAGACGGTAGGAAAGAGAAATCAAAGGGGCTGTTTAGCCAGAGCCGCCCTTGTAGACCTTGCCGAACATGATCTCCTGGAGCTTGTCGTAACCGGAGAGCACACCGGCACCAGCGATACCACGGAGAATGTTGGCACCGGCACCCTTGAAGAGCGACGAGACGCCCTCGACGGCAACAATGGAGCGACCAGCGTCGAACATGTTCTTGTAGTGAACCTTGCCACCGGAGGTCATCATCATTCGTCGTCGGATGGTGTCGAGAGGGTAAGAAGCAAGACCAGCACCAGTGGTAACACCCCAACCGAGCAAGAACGAGGCAAGGAAGTTGTTCGAGAGGTTACCAGTGAGGAGGACGGGCTTAAGCGAGTCGTACATTCCGAAGTAGAGACCACGGTAGACAATGATACCGACGACCGAGGGAACGAAACCACGGTAGAGACCGGCGATACCGTCCGAGGCGATCGTCTTGCGGTAGACGTCGACGAGACCGTTGAACTGACGGTCTCCTCCGCCCTTGGCAGCGGACTTGGCGTCGTTGGCAAGACGGGTACGGGCGTAATCGAGGGAGTAGACGAAGAGAAGGGACGAGGCACCGGCAGCACCACCAGAGGCAAGGTTGGCGGTGAGCGACTTCCAGTAAGGAGCAGTCTTGGGGACAGCGAAGAGGGACTTGAAGAAGTCCTTGAAGGCGAAGTTAAGAGCCTGGGTGGGGAAGTAACGAATGACGTTAGCAGTGTTACCACGCCAGAGCGAAACCAGACCCTCCTGCTGGTAGGTGCGAACGAAGCAGTCGCCGATACCCTTGTAAGGGGCGGCAAGACGGCCCTGCTTGATCATCTCATCCTGATTCTGGATAAGGAGCTTGATTCGCTCAATGGGGGCGGCAGCGGTCTTGGAGACAGCGGCGGAGACACCACCCATGAGGAAGTCAGTGGCGAAACCACTGACGGTCTTTTTGGTCTTAGCGGGGTCGGCAACGGTACCCATTTTGACTGGTGGGGGTAAGGAGTGAAAGCAAGTAGAGAAGGGAAAGCAGGTTAGCTGCTGTTAACGTCGAGACAAACTAGTGCCACAATTCTCGAACCACATTTCTCGGAACAGACAGAGCACAGTGCTGGTAGCAGATCAAAGCCACGTCCTGAGCTCAACCTCGATCGAGGACGATCGAAAGTGTAGATCATGACACGACGAAGGATCAAGGCCAACTACGATAAGCACAAGAGCGGCAATCAATCATGCGCAAAGCCAGAGGAGTGATCAGGAGAAGAAAGGCTTGCCCTTGTCCTGAGCGTGCTAGTGGACATGGACCATGATTGTTGGCACTTGTCTACAGAGCCTGGCTAACGCCAGGTCGATGATCTCGACGATGACGACGACGACGACGACGAAGCAGCTCGATGCAGCGATGCTATCGACGATCAACCGTTGATGCTCCAAACCGAGAAGGATTGCGGATTGAAAAAGGGGCTGCAGCTGATGCTTACCTTGACTACGGTATGAGAGGTGGTAGGTAGGTGGGGAGGAAGGAGGAAGGGGACCGAAGAAAGGTATTTTTGAAGGGCTAGCGCGAGGGCGAAGACGAGATGAAGGCGAGATTCCAGCCAGAAGAGCGAACAACGAAGAAGCGACGGTTGATTGGGCGTTCAGACTCTGTTTGAATTGCGCGATAGCGACAGGCACACACACACACACACCTATCTCTACCTCTCTCTTTCTCTCTCTTTCTCTCTCTCTTCTCTCTCACGCAGAGGAGCGTCCAAGCGTGAATTTGTTCTCAGGCCAGCCAAAAAGGAAGAAACACCAAGAAGAAAGAAAAAGCAAAATTTCGAATTCCAACAGACTGGCGATGCGCCGAAAACCCAACCAGATCGCGCCGAGTAAGGAAGAGACCGGAGCAAGCCAAAAGTTCGATTTGCAGCTGGCGCTGCGTGTTGCCAAGCTGGCCATCGTTGTCGTCGACAACTTCCAGCTTCCAATCTGAAAGAAGTAGAGTTGCTGTCGGGCATGTGGCAGCTCTCAATTGAGACCCTGGTCAAGGGAAGAGTTCGTTCTCTTTTGCCGTCACTGATGTTTCCGTTAATTTTGCATTGTTAGCCTTGAGTCGTTCGTGAGCTTGCCTATAGAGTGTTGTACCATTACCATTATGCTGTGAACAGCCCAAGGCCGCACTGACCGGTACCACAATCCTGCACGGTGCACCGACCGACCGACAAGGGTCAAGCCCACTGAAGCGAGAAGAAAAACTTTTTCCCTGCCGCTCGCCTGTGTGTGTCTTTGGTGTTGTGGGGTCCTGGCGTGAATCCACGAGATGCAGCGAAGAGAGAGAGAGAGAGAGAGAGAGAGAGAGCATGGGAGAGGCTTTTCCACGCGCCCACAGTGATTTCTTCCACTGTTGCTGCTGCTGCTGCTGCACCGGCCTCTTCGGAAGAAATCGAAGACCTGGCGCGAGAAGACAGCCAAAGCCAAGGTGAATACAGATTTTGCGGAACTGAATTCAAGTTGACGAGAAAGAGGTTGGAACTCAAATTGAAAGATTCAAGTCATTTTGGATCCAAGCGCAGTCTTCCGGTCCATTCCTTCCGTACTGTATGGTAGACAGAGCAGCAGTGTTGCTTTGCGGCTTTCTCGTTCGGGTCCGAAACACACACACATACAAGGCTAGGACCGATCTTTAATATCGGGAAGAGTGCTCCCCAGGGTATCTCGATTAGCGTTTCCTATCCCAAAACTGACATCTTTGGCTGGCTTCGCTTTGAAGTCACAGAGCGGGACGTGTCGACAGGCTGCAGGGTCAAGTCATCTCTTCGAAGAGCCGCTATTAGACGAAGAGGCATTCAATGAGGAACCAAAGATTCTCTCGCGCGCTAAGCGGTACTCTTCCTGACGTTGCTCGACCGTCTTACGCTCTTGGGATGCCGAGTTGGACATATGAGTTGAAGATCCGTCACTGCGCATACCTGGCATCGCCTCCTTGGGTCGCTGAAGTATGCGAGGTGGTGCCGCTGCTATTGTCACACCTGCCTGTGGTCGTGAAGAAGAAGCAGATGTTTGCTGGTTGTTGTTAGTGTGCAGACGTGATCCATACGCTGCGCCCGGTAAGCTACGACCATGACCAGACGCTACGACTGGGATGGCTGCTGGGGCTTGCAAATTGCTGCAATCGTCGTCCATTTCCATCGTTCGAGAAGGTGAGACGAGTGATACAGCGTCAGCGTGGGAGTGTTTCAGTGTCAAATTAGAGGTTGAGCCGATACTCACGCTTCCGTCCATTGATCCTTGGTTGTTCGGAAAACGTCTACTTGCTTCATATCTGGCTTGTTCGAGTCAGAGACATCGTCGTCATCGCTGCTTTCAGCATCCCAGTCATCGAGCACATCGTCCTCCTGTTGGCGTTGACGAGCTACGACACCTGGTTTGGACGGCTTGAACTTGATCGTGGCAACGATCTCATCTTCACCTACTGAGGAAACCATCTGTAACTGGATCCTGTTGCAGTTCGAGGATACCGCGGTGTCTCTCGATAACGTCCAACCTCTCACGCTTCCTGAGGCGCTCGCTCGTGTTGTCGTTGCTCGTTCAAAGGTTACTCGCCGAAGCCTACAATTCGAGCATTGGCCATGCGATGCACCTTGTCGCACACTTCGACGTTCGTTGAAGGTCGCTTTTCGTGTTGCTATTTGTGCCGCTTTTCGTCTGTCTGGAGGGTCGGTCGCCAAACAGAGGTTTTAAGGTGCGAGGGGAGGAGGCGACAACCCTAGATGCGAGAGAGACCCTGAACTCCGAGTTCCGAATTGGTTTGAAGTATTGTTTTGGAAATTCGACTTTTTGCGCCTCTATTTCAGTCTCGCATTTTAGGCTCATTTTTCCTCTTCTTTTTTTTTTTCTTTCTTTCTTTCTTTTTTTTCTTTCCCCCTCTGATTTCTGGCGTGGGCTGAACTCAAGTCTGAGTGTGGAGGCTGCAGGCTGAGCTCAAGGTGACTGCGCTTCCCAAATGCGCCCAGACCGCGCCACCTTTTCGCTCAACACACACACCAACAGGTCTGCTATCAACCCCCTTCATCATCATCGTCGCAACGAATTATCTCGATCGGGAGAATCTGAGCAGTCTCGGTCGACTGCGACGAGCATCAGGGTGAGACGACAGCAAGTCTGACAGGTGCAAGGCCTATTCACACAGATTCTCTTTCACCGCTAAGCTCTCCAACTCCAGCGCTTGAACTCGAAGCTGCATTAAGGACTGGACGAACACGAGGCGACGTCCCGGGTGACTCGATTAGACTAAATCGTGTCTATAGCGCATATATGCAACATCATTCACGGAGTTTATATCAGACCTTTGACAGGGCTCTTGTAGCACCTCTGCGCAGGATCAAACACCAGACAGCATGACCGACCAGTTCCATCCCGGCGGCGGCCATCATTTCAACGGATTCCAACCACACCCAGCATCAGCATACACCTACTCAGACGAACAACACTCCCTGCCATCGATTGACTTCAGCGCTTGGCAAGCCTACTTCAGCGGTGTTACAGAAACCCAGCCCAGTGGATCCCACCAGAACCACTTTGATGGATCGCCGCAAGCTTATTTTGGCGGATCACCGCAAGGCTACTTTAACGGATCGTCGCAAACCTCCTTCGGAGGATGTCCTCAAGCTTACTTTGCAGTAGCCGGGAGCTCGTGCTCACCGAATCGGTTTGAAAGTTCGGGTGCAGCTTGCTCATTGAACGCTAACGCCCATCAGAATCACGCAAGTCCAAGACCTTCAGAAACCAGCGTGTCTGGTCTAGATCCAGTCAGCGACTTCGGCTTCGCATCCAGCAGCAGCTACAACCGCAACCAGCACGATGTCAACGGCTTCAGCGACGCAGAATTGTATCAGTCTCCGCCGTGGTATCCTGGCATGCCGCAACACCATTCGTCTAGCCATTCATACGCAGCATCCACATCACAGTCTCCCGAGAATTCACATCACCGTCAATCCCGCAGCAGTCCATCCGAAACTCAGCAGCGGAAAGATGATGCAGCCCACCGAAGCGCCGAGGTAGAGCGTCGCAACAGACTAAGGGGAGAGGAGAAGGAGCGCAGAAAGGTGGCAATACAGAAGCAAGTCGATGATGGCATCAAAGCTTTCAAGCTCGAGAAGGAACGCGAAACGGCCCGCTTAGAAACGTATCGCGATGCTTGCCGAAAGTGGCTGTCTGAACCACAGCCTTCTCAGACAACCTCGTCTGCCGAACCTTCAGGTGAAGCTGTGGACGTATATGCGGCCCTTGGGCGTCAGCTTCGAGGTTTCTGGCGGGACTCAAGACCATCCCCATCACGGCAAACACAGCGCGACGAGGTGATTGTCGACGTTCAGCGTGCGATCAATCGCAAGTGGCCTGGCCAGGGGCTCAGAGTGGCAGCGTTCGGTTCCAGCGTGACGGGCCTCGCCACCGAGTCGTCTGATTTGGACCTGGTCTTGCTCGACCCTACGCGTCCTTACGGGGTCGGTGCCCCTTCCGAGCTGTGCCGTCAACCCAACAGCTTTGTCCGTCATTCCAGCGGGATGCCAGAATGGTACAACACTCACCAAGTTGCTAGCGCGATCAAAGCTTCCAGCAAGTTCCGCAACGTTGTCTCCATTAGCGGTGCCAGCGTTCCTATTGTCAAGATGATCCATGGAAAGTATGACATTCCTTCCGATATCAACATCAATGAGCGCTTCGGTCTCTTCAACTCTCAGCTTATCTGCGCCTACGCCGACCTGCAACCCGACATCGTACGTCCACTGATCTTCTTTTTGAAGCACTGGTACTCTCAACGCGAGTTGAACGATCCAGCCGGAAAGCGCGGCTCGATGACGTTCAGCAGCTACACTATCGCACTTATGGCGTTGCAGGTGCTTCAGATCGAAGGACTGCTGCCCAACTTGCAAAGTACAGATCTACTCAACCGAATAAATGTCCGACCCAACTTCCTCTATTCCCGACCAAAGCGACCCAGGCGGCGCGGGAATGGTCGACACGACCTAATACAGGAGACAGTTACACCACCACAGAAGTACAATGTCGCATTCGCGTCCAGCCAGATCGACGTCGAGCAATACAGGAAAAGGGCGATCGAGATTTCCAACAGCGACGCTTTGGCGACAACTGAAGGTACGCAGGCATCAAGCACAGACCGAGTTCTTGGTAAGGCGCTTGCCTCCTTCGTGCGCTTCTATGCAACTCTGGATCGTCGCTCGCAAGTCATCTCAGTGGTCAATGGCGCACCGTCACAACGCAAACGCAGCTCGCAAGGGCACCACGTACTTTTCGACTCTGCTAGCGAGGACGAAGCTGAGATCAACGGGAACGAGCGAGAGGAAGAGGTTGCTTTCGAGTCTCACCAGAGCGCGTCTAGAGATGCCGAAGGACGTGCGGCTGTGCGTGCCGAACAGGCAGATGTGTGGGAGGGCGATGAATTGGTTGTCCAAGATCCATTTATCACCGACCGCAACACTTCGCGAAACATCAAGGCTAATTCCATCGAGAGATGGCAAGGCGAGATGAAGCGTGCTATTCACTTGCTGGGTCTCGACAGGTTCGACAAGGAAGCGACTGTGCAGTCGGTCAAAATCCCGCTGGTTCTCGACCTTTGCATCCCGCAGACAGTGCTAGACGACTTGGAAGCTACCGGACGACAACAAGCGAACGAGGTTACATCATCAGCAGCAGCTCCAAATGAGCCTTGGCGCATCGAAGAAGAAACAGCAGCCGCAGAGAAGAAAATCGCTCGGCAAGCGGCTGAAGCATTGCGCAAAGAGAAGAAGAAGAATGCAAGGAGAGCCAGGAGTCACAACGCTCGACTGTTGCAAAAAGAGGCAGCCATGGTGGAGGATATGATTGATGGCATCGAGACTGGCCGGATCACTGGAATGATGACGGGGGATGATCGACATGAGATATGGCGCTTGAGGGCCGACAACAGCAACAATGGTACAGTCCAGAAGCCGACGCCGATCCCGTTTACCTTCAGCGTAGCTAAGTCGCCCGAGAAATTTGCGGCTCAAGCGATGGCGGCTGGCGACGCGACACTTAGCCCTACTTCGTCTGTTGGCACCAGCAAGACAGACGGCTCATCCTCTTCTGAAGACATCGACCTTGTAGCTCTACGTCTGAAGCGGGACACACTCACCGCCGAGGCATAGCACAAACAGCATTCCATGAATCGAAACATGACAGCACACTCCGAATCCGACGACCGCGTGAATTGGCCGTGCTCGCTAACTACCAAATGGTTGTCGAAGATATGTACTGGATCACTCGGGAGGCTCCTTCCTCTTGCTGGTTGAAGACGATGACGCCTCTGCCGACTGGTTCGCTTTGTCGCTCGCGGGAGATTGGGAAGCATCACCGTCGTTAGCTTTCTTCTCGTCCAAGATTTTACGCATGACCCTCGCCCAGTCGTGGTGTTCTTCAATGACGGCCTGGAATTCGTAATCGCTCCGACGGTCAATTCTTGAGACCCTCTTCCACCCTTTGAGCTGCGATTCTATTGTATCGAGACAGTAATCAGCTTCGTAAATGCCGCGGCACATCAGCCTGATGATCTGCTTTCGCATCCACAAGAAAAGCTCCTCGCTTCGATCGGACTCGGAGGCGTGCCAATTTGCTACGGCGAAACGGTGCATGATGCTGGCCTCCGGAGAGAAGGAGACATGCAGTTGGCCGGCGGGCATGTAGAGCGTCTGTCCCGGCGTGAGAATGTTGACATAAGGCTGTTCCATCACATGCATGGCGAAAAAGATGCGATCCCAGACCAAATGAAGCCCGTAAACATCGCTAAAGAGGTCCATAAATCATGTTCTTTTTGGTCGGCGGCCAAGACACAATGAGCTTGTGACCAGACATCATAGTCGAACAGCTTCCAAGAAGGCTGATGTCGAATGGGTCCGCCTCGATTGTCCCGATGCCATTCAAGAGCAACGAAGAATAAGGCTGGTCGAGTGATGCATCGACGTCCAGGCCCATCCTTGGAAGATGGATGCTCTCGACGCCCCTAGGCTTTCAGGCATTCATGCCTTTATGGTCAGAGTTCTTTCCGATATAGATTCGAACGTAGTATGCAATGTAGTCTTTGTCAAGCACTGGTGCCCACATGTTTTCCTTCAATGTGTTCGCGTCAACCTCGAGTTCAATCGTGAAGTCCTTGGTGTTTGTACACTCGTGCCCAGCGCGAATTCCCAGTTCTGCCATTGCATGACGAGGTCGAGGGACCGTTTCGAAGAGATTCTTGGAGCCATCTTCAACGACAGGAAGTTGGTCGCGAAACACACCTTCATGCGCTAGACTTTGCACGAAGCGAAGGAAGTGGTCGCCCCACTGGTAGATTGCAGGGGTTTTGTCGCGATATTTCTGTCAATCGTCGAGGATAGCTTGCATCGACATCGTGTCGGTTTTTGATATGATGTTAATGCGGCGTGGCGGATGATGCTCAGCAAGAAAGACAACGCACGCTTGAGGCTGAGTTCCGAATCAGTCATTTATTCATTTCCCTCCACACACGCGTAAAGTGGCAGCAGGCGCGTCTCGTCTGTTTGTGCGTACATCTTTCGCGCCTGCGCTGCGTTGCGCTATTCGAAATTGGCTAAAGCTTCCAACTCGAATGACACACCTTGCTCCTACACCTTGCTATCCAACACTCTCACCATAACATACACACCATGCTCTTCGTCGACAAGTACCGACCAAAAGCGCTCTCAGAGCTGCACTACCATCAAGACCTCTCCAAGCGCCTGTCATCACTCGCAGACCATGAAGACTTCCCACACATTCTCATGTACGGCCCCTCAGGAGCCGGCAAGAAGACCCGCATAGCATGCCTACTTCGCGAACTCTACGGTCCAGGAACATACAAGCTCAAGATCGACCAACGAGTCTTTGTAACACCCTCAAATCGTAAAATCGATGTCAACATCGTCTCATCCAACTACCATATCGAATTGACACCTTCAGATGCAGGCAACTACGATCGACTCGTCATCCAGGACATCTTGAAGGAGATCGCGCAGACTCAGAATGTCGACTTGAACGCTAAGCATCGCTTCAAGGTGGTAGTCATCAACGAGGCGGACTCATTGAGTCGAGATGCACAGAGTGCGCTGCGTAGGACGATGGAGAAATATATGGGCAACTTGAGATTGGTGCTGTGCGCAACAAGTACGAGCAAGATCATCGGTCCTATTCGATCGCGTTGTCTGCTGTTGCGGGTGGGAGCGCCATCTGATGAAGAGGTATGTCCAACGCACTCTATCTTCTATCTCTGCGTCAAATCCTGATGAGCATACTTGATGCTGATATCTCTCCTGTCCCTTGACTCAAACAGATCAAGACCGTCCTCTCCCACGTAGCGAAGAAAGAACGATTCAGCATCCCCGACACAGTCCAAAATCAAATCTGTGACGACTGCAGCGGCAACCTACGCAAAGCAATACTCGTCCTCGAAGCACTCCGCATGCAATCTCCCGATCTCTCCGCTGGCATCGCCATCGCTAAACCAGATTGGGAGATTTACATCTCCAAAACCGCCGACTTGATCCTCTCAGACCCTTCGCCACAGAATCTTCTTGCGGTTCGATCAAAGTTGTATGAGCTGCTCGTACACGCGATTCCACCAACACTCATTTTGAAACATTTGGTAGATAACTTGGTCAAGAAGGTCGATGCACAGGTCAAGGCGGCGATTGTTCAGAAGGCGGCATTCTACGAGTTGAGGACACGGACGGGTAGTAAGATGATCTTCCATCTGGAAGCGTTTGTGGCGGCAGTGATGCATATCCAGAAGAGCTTCTTGTTGGGGATGGCTTGGGATGATTAGATGTCTCACAGTTCACAGTGGTGGGGGGAATGTAGCATTGATTCATTTCTGGCCTCTGGGTAATACATCGCTTTGATACCTTCTTTGCTGTCGCTGGTGTTGATAGAAAATCTGCCTATCTCGATCACACCGTGCTAACATGCTCGTCTGTCCAACGTCTCTGCTTTCGCCACTTTGCATGCTTCTGTTCGACCGTCCTGTCTTACTTGGCAGCCGTTTTTGATTCACCATAACTCGACACTATCCCTGTCCTGGTGCCCGAGGTTCTCCTTTCACTGCTGAGGCTGCCTTTTCGGCGATCCACCCTTAGTGCGCAACGGCTTGAGCTCGGTATCCCAACGCTTGCTTGCTACATCGCCGCCCGAGGCTTCCTTCAAAAGTTGTCGGAGCTGTGCGTTTAAATCACAAAGCAGGGGAAGGGGTGTCAGTGGTCAGCAAATCAGTGGAGGGGCGAGATTAATGACATACCTTTACGAGCAAACGACCCTTGACTTTCCAAGGAAGGAGGCTTGGGCTTGCGTCGTAGATTTCGGATGCCTGCATGTACCCCAGCGGAGTGCGGAAAGATATGTCGTGGTCAGTTCGATGTTTCATGATATCGAGATTAGCATAACTGCGGGAGTAGATGGGTTGGCGTGATGAGGCGACTTACGTGTTCGTGTACGACCTTGAGAATGGCAAAGTTGAGATCGTTCCAGCGGTCGGGTGACCAAGTCTGTCATCCAGTCCCAGCATTGAATAGAGTTGTGATTGCGGATGTCAGTATCGTCTTCCAATGTGCTTGGGTATGTGCGTGATAGTTACAGAAGCAAGAGGAGCATGTTCAGGAGTCCTAGGAGTATTCGGACCACTACCAGGTTCCTTCTTCGTCGGAGTCTTCAACACGTCCTTGCTTGACAAAGCGATTGCTTTAGATGGTCTACCTTTCTTCGGCGTAGTCGGCTGCACAAGAGCAGCAGTATCAGGCTTGACATTTTTCATCTCACCTCCGATCTTGCTGACTTTACGAGGAGTGTCGGGTTGCATCTCATCAGCATCCATATCTTCATCCATCATCTCTGCCTTGCGCACTGTAGATCTCATATCAGAGACAGGGGAAGCTATTTCTCCGCCTGCGACTACCATTTGGGGTTTGACGCCTCGTTCGGTATCGAAAGCACGGGAGGAGGAAGCGATGCCGGAGAAGAGATCGTCTTGTTGCACGTCGGCTGGTTCGGCTTGGGGTAGGTTGGCTAGGAGGTGCGTGGAACGACGCTTGTGCTTGGCGGGTGTGGAGGGGGATGAGGTGGACGACATAGTGTTTGCTCTTTTAGGTAGTGCGGGACCTCCTTTAAAGATGGCCATGGGCACCCGAAACAAGGGGGAGGGACTTTAAACGGCAACAGGTGTTGAAGTTGATCGAATGCTTTGTGTTAGAGAGCTGAAGGGCGAACAAAGGCGGAGTGCCGGTTGATGCTACGGAAGAGGGAGAGAGAAGCTTTGCGGACCACTCATACTCGTACTATGTAGACAATGCTGTTGACCTCGACTGCTGTCAAGAGCGGACAGCTTGTCAATATCGTTCCGCTCCGCTCAAATCCACTTTCTAACTCGCGCTCGCAGAGAAAGGCAACAGCACAGTCTTTCTGGGAAGCACAAGCATCGAGTCGAGACGATTGTGTGATGAGGAGATTGACACGATGACAAACAGCGTTGTCAAAGCATTCTCCGCGAAGTGCCGGCTTGAAGCTCATGTCAAAGCTCTGCTCGGTGAGTTCTAAAGCGCTACGATTGAGTATTTCCGCTTGCATCAGGAGACTCGACACAGTAGCAGGATGAGGATTGTCCGTGTTCATAGACGGAAGCGGTCCATGATTGCTAAGACAAGAAGTCTCTGCGTTTTGCAGCTGCCAACACAACCGACAAAATGCACTGACACCTGCACGCAAACCTTATCCTGCCGAAGATGATTGAAAATGAGGTTCACGACATACACGGAGGTTCACTGATTGCGATAGAAATTAGCCATCCTGTCAAGAGCCTCTTCATAGGCCTCCCGCATCTTCCTCAACTCTCTTGTCGTGGGATCGTCAGTAACATAATCGACAGCATCCTCACCACTCTCCTTCAACTTCCTCGGCTTGATCTTGGCAATCGCAGTCTGCCTTACAATCGAGCGAACCATCTTCTTGAAATGCCTTGCCTCCTGTTCTTCCACCAGCGTCCAAGCATCACCGTGTTTACCGGCACGAGCTGTTCGACCAACACGATGAACGTACTTAGCAGGATCAATGGGAGCATCATACGACACGACATGTTCGACTGTCGGCAAGTCGATACCTCGCGAAATGAGGTCCGAACAGACAAGGAGGTCGATTTCACCTTGTCCGAATTGCGTGAGAATCCGTTGGCGTTCGGAAGGTTTAAGTTCAGACGAGTAGTTCTTGACGACGAATGGTCTGCTGCCGCGCTGAATCAGCCCACTTTCGCTTCGCACCTGCTCGAAAATCTCGATGAGCTTGACTAGTCTTGCTGCTGAATCGACAGATTTGGTGAAGCACAAAGCTTTGCGAATCCTGCTGCTATTCTGCTCGACATCGTCCGGTCGGTGAAGGAGATACAGAAGGTGAAAGGGCTTGTCTGCTGATGTCGTGACAAGCATGTGCTCGTGAAGCGAGTGAGGGAGCGAGAAGCGTTCGTGTTGCTGTGAGCCATTCGATCGTCCGTCCTCTTCGTCTCCGGCCGAGTGACTGTCCTGAACCGTGATGTAGTGCGGATTCCTCAAACCAAGAGCTGCAATCTTCGCTGGATCGCTCGTGAGTGTTGCAGAGAACAGGAGCTTCTGGACGGAGGGTACAGCTTCTTCTTGCAATGTCGACCAAGCCGCTCCTCCTAGTCCTGACGCATTGCCCGACAACAGCTCGTGCGGCGCTTGGGCCGCAGCCTCTCCTTTCCATTGTGGAACGGCATCAGTTCCCTTCCCTTCCGTAGCAGCAAGCACACGACGCAGCCATTCCTGAAACGACTGATTAAGCAAACGATCTGCTTCGTCAATGACCAAGAAGCGAAGATGAGCGAGTGTGAAGCCTGGAGTTGAGTCAAGGTGATCGATCAGTCGACCTGGTGTTGCGATCAAGACGTCAACCTTGGACTCCTTCAATGCATTCTGTTCCTCATAATCATCACCCACACTAAGCGACCATACCAGCTGGCTTTGTTCGTGCGCAAAGCTGTGCTGACCAGTCGCTGTGCCAATCCTCAGACCGGAACCCTTCGCTACTAGCTCTAACGTGCTGCGTACCTGAGACACGAGATCGCGAGTGGGAAGTACGATCAGCGCACGAAGACGAACGATCTGGCGTGTTCGAAGCACTTCGACAATGGGTACTGTGTAGGCAAGCGTCTTGCCACTTCCCGTCGGTGCTGAGACACATAGGTCGCGAGGTGGTGCGAATGGCCGGTACAGAGATCGGCTCTGTGGCTGGGCCAGCAGACATGGAATGACGGAAATTTGGACAGCGAACCACTCGCTGACACCTAGAGCTTCAAGACGAGAGCGGACAGTGTCGCTGAGAGTTACTTTTCCAAAGTCGTCGGTGGTGGTGGTGGTGCGAGACGAGATTGTCTCCAAGTCCTCATCACCCGAGTGGTTGTCTGGCATCTCCTCGTCTGTCACCGCTTCGTCTGCTTTTGCTGTGGAAGGGACTGCCTTGCTCGAAAACATGGCTTTGATGGTCGACGCATGTTGCGACAGAGGCCGAGAAAGGGTGGGGTTGACGACAGTACGATTTGAAAGACCTTCTGGCAAGCCGAGCGAGCCGATGAGCTTTGGGTCGACAACCTTCTTGACTCCTGCCAGCGGGAAGCGCTCCAATGTTTTCACCTCTTTGCCATTGGCAGTGCCTGATTCTTCGTCCTCAGAGCCATCTGCGCCCTTACGAGCTCCAGCACGATTCTGTTCCGCTGGAGCCGGCGAGCTTGATGAAGACGTCGATGCGGAGTCATCATCGTCATCATCCGACGAATCCGAGTCCAAATCAGATTCTGAATTGGCGTCTACGCTTGAAAACGCTTCTGACTTTGCTGGCTTGTGTTCTTTCGCCTTCGATAACTTCCTCTTTGCAGCCTCCTCAGAACGGTGCAATGCCTCCTCCTCTGGCAAGTGCGAGATGATGGAGTTGTCCTCTCTAGCAGCCGCTTGCTGCGCTTCGTCTTTTGACTTCTTTGGCGCAGCACGAATCCTAGCCTTGCGACGTTCCTTCTTTGATTTTAGGTATCTCTGCTTGGCTTTCGTCTTCTCTTTTGGGCCTATTCGTGCCTTGTTGACGGATTGCCGGAGCAATGGTGCAGCGTTGAGTCGTGATGGGTGAATGTTGAGCGCTGGTCTTGCTGCTGTTGATGATGGGCCAGCGTTTGTGGAGGACGTTGATGCTGCTGACGAGGTAGTCACATTTGCAGGAGCGCTTGGGGTTGATGACTCTTCGCCCTGAACGAGCTTGCGCTTCTTGAGGATGCGCTCGTTGAGAGCATCGAGCTTGGCCGTATCAACCGAGTCAGCCTTCTCTCCATCGGAGGGTCCGCCGAAAGCGTCAAAGCGCTTGATAGAGAACATGTTGGACGAGCCTGTAAGGGCGGAGGCGGATGTTGATGTATGGCTTGGTCAAGAAGCAGAAGCCGTCCGCAATGCCTTGAAAGTGTGGAGCAAGAATGGCCTTCCAAAGCGCCAACCCGAATCAAAAAGCGCCGACTCAAGAAAAATTCCCATAATTTGTTCGGAAATCGGCCATCATGCAGCTGACTTGTTGTTTGTCATCTGGCTCAGCCAGCCTTCTCCACATTCAACTTGAAGACACACTCAGCACGACCTTCCCATTCGAGACTCACTTGGGAACATCACCATCTCCAGCATCAGCCTCAGAGTCGAGCGCTTCAATACAGCGCAGAGGGAGAACGTCAAGATGCCGGCGCCGACAACGCAGGCTAAGTCGACAACTGAGATTGCCAATGCGGGTTTCTCACACATCCAGTCCACCAAGACAAGCGCAGCACGCACCTCTCCGGACTTCCTCGTGCTTGTACTCGACATCAACCCACTGTCATGGACGCGACGGTCCGAAGCACTCGGGAAGGGAAAAGGAAAGGAAGTGTTAAGCGATGTAGCTTTGGAAGATGCACTCTCAGCAATCATGATCCTGCTCAACGCGCACATGGCGATGCAACATGAGAACGGACTGGCAATCTACGCTGCTGCAGGAATGGGCACCGCACAGCTTCTCTACTCGACCGCGTCATTCTCTGCGAAAGCTTCACTCTCAGGCTCAGCGAGCGCTTCGGCATCTTCGAGTGCTCACAAGCCCGATGCGAATACATATCAGCACTTCAAGCTGGTGGACGACAACCTTGAGCAAGGCATTCGTGATACATGCAGGTCGATGTTCGATCGAGCTCGACAAGCGCAAGAAACAATCGAGGCTAATGCGGGCAACGAAGCGGCGAAACATGCAGCTCTTGCACGGTCTGTCAACGTCGGTGTTGTCTCCGCCCTATCACAAGCACTGTGCCATCTTAATCGGCTTGGCTTGAGCGATGCTTCGGATGCAGCCAACACTGGTGGCAGTATCGCTGCAACGGCACAGACAAGAGCAGGCAGCGGGAACTCTTCAGGTGGCGGCGGAGGTGGTGGTACTGCTGGCATCGGAAGCTTCAAGTCTCGTATCCTAATCCTCAGTGTCACGCCCGATGCGTCGACGCAATACATCCCGATGATGAACTGCATCTTTGCAGCTCAGAAGAAAGGCATCACCATTGACGTCTGCAAGCTCTTCGGTAGCGATACGGTGTTCCTTCAGCAAGCATCTTACCTCACATCGGGGACGTACTTCCGCCTTTCCGACGATTCGGACGCTCTGAAGGTCAACGGAAAGGAGGGTATAACAGATATGCGGTCGAGTTTGGTGCAGACGCTATTGACGACATACCTGCCGTCGAGGTCGATGCGAGGAGTTATGAACCTGCCGACGCTGGAAGAGATTGACTTCAGAGCGGCATGCTTCTGTCACAGGAAGATTGTAGATATCGGATATATCTGCAGCGTCTGCTTGAGCTTATTCTGTCAGCCGAGGCCGTTCTGTCTGACATGCAGGTCTAAATTCCCCAAAGACACACTGGGCAGGTACGAGAAGGAGCTCGAGTTGACGGCAGGTATGGATGTCACTGCGATACTTGATTGAACTCCGACGATGGCAGTTGGTTGCTCACCAGCTTATGTCCTGCTGCACAAAAAAGCAATCGAAGAAGATGGTAATGTGCTTCCCTGTATCAGACAAGCTCGAGGAAGTCGAGAACATGTCTATTGCAAGTCAGACCTGCGGAAAGGTTTGCATCGGGTGATGAGTGGAGGTATCGGTTCATACGGATCGGGATGCGTCAACGTTTGCAGCACCCAAATCTCTGGTTCTGATTCAAGCGGAGAAAGACGAGATGCAGAGCCGAACAAATTAAACAAGAAATAGGCTAACTAACGACTACAGATGCTGAGGAACGCGCAAAATCTGAACAAAAGAGTGCAATACCAGGAACAACGGAACGGAAGGCGAAGAGTGGACAAGCGAGCCAAAGTGGCGGATGGAAGATATGCGAGGAGATCAATCTACGAGGAATGAACCATGCACGCGCGCTCTTCTCTCTACTGCTGCCTATGCCAGCTGTCACACTCCGTTGTCAATGATCGTCACAGGGATGATCTGCACGAACACGGATTGATCGACGCTCACAGGGAGAGAAGAGAGAGCAACCTAGCCTCTATCGGGATGGAAACCAGCTAGCAGCGATTACAACGTCGAGACACCTTTGTGGCCCGGTTTCTCGCTGGTCTTGTGCGGGGAGTTGATCGCAACCGCTCTGGCACATTTGTTCTCGCTAGGCCAGGGTCCTTAGCTGGACGTTGGCTGTGAAAGTGAATAGCGCACTGAGCCGCTCAAAGGTGGTCGAGGTCTGTGAGGTCACGCAGTGCGAAGCGCAGGAACAGGCGTCTGGGCCTAGTGTATGAGTGTGCATGGGAATGTCAAAAGGATCTCTTGAGGCGCTGTGGTCGGCTATGCACAAGAACATTTCTTGCAACGCATCTCGTTCTCCGTGCTGCTCCTTACCCCTCTCTTCGGCCTTTCGGTTCAATGCTTGCGAATGCTCTTTTCAGGAGAGGGAGCTGAGTGAAGTGAACACTCTTTGACGGACTGGTTGAGTGAGTGGGTGGTTGGTGAAACGATCAGTGGTGCGGGTGCAGATCTTGAATGCTGATCCTCAGGGAGACAAATCACATACCGTTCTCCCCGCGTTTATTTGCTTGAGCTATTTCCTGCCTTTGAGAGCCTCCTTCATGCACACAGCACCTGAGCAACGAGCAATGAGTAAACCACATTGCATGCTCGAAGCTCGAGTCGAAACGAAGCTGATCAATCCAAGGAACGTCAAGTAAACCAGACTGTAGTCGGATGCAGCTTCGTTGATTGTCGTTCAACTGATTGAGACCGCTCGTCATCATATGGAAAGCCCGCGATTGACCGATACCATTTGCAGAATCGAAATTTCGAACACAACATATCGTGTGTTACATGCGCGGGCTATATGCGCGTTGTAACGGTGTGACGAAGTAGTATTGCGGGAAGGAGGATCTAGACGGAAGCTAGTTTAAGTACTAGCTCCGTACAAAGCAAAGATAGGTATCGAACTTCTTGTGCGAGGTATCGAACTTTCTTGTGCGGCGTGTATACGCGCGAGAAGATATCGATCGAACGTTCTCGTGCGGCACGTATTCGCACGAGAGAGTACCCAGGCGTGACATCGTGGGTGAAAAACGGCTCTCGGTCCACCCAACGGCAAAGCCCACAGCATGTCGCAGCGAAAGGCAGACAGTATGGGTGCGGGAGAATGGGATCGACAGCACGGATGTCTGAACAAGAGTTCGATGATTGTTAGTTTCCGCTTCGCTTGATGAAGCCATACCTTCATATTTAATCTTTGTGGTCCAACTTACGTCGTTTAGTCGTTAAGAAGAAACTGTCGCGCAGAGGGCCGTGAGCTGTCAAACAGAGCATGAGTGAGCGCGAAATTGAAATGTGAGAGACGAGTCTCTAACAAAATAGGGTGATTTTCACACGTGATGCTTTGGCTGAGAAGAAACAGAGCTGCAGGTAAGTGAAAGCGAGTTCTGTTTCCTAGGGCCTTCAAGTACGTTAGAAGGGAAGCTTGGAATTAAGACGTGAAGGGGTGCGAATCCCCTCTATATATACCTTACATGTCTGGCTGTGTTCTAACTGTGTCCTGCTGAGCGCCCGAGGGGCGCTCCTAAATACAAAGGGGAGCGATAGTGATCAAAGGGAAGCGATGGTGATCAAAGGGTGATAACGAACAAAAGGTAGTGAGGATTCGTGCGAGAGAATCAAAGGGTCCGTAGGGGCTTCCGACACGTGCTCAGACAGGCAGTCTGGAACAGTTCCGAGATACTTTTTACCTTCCATTCCACCTTTTCTGACACGATCCCAACCATCATCCTCGTCGTCCATCGTTCCTCGCACCCTCTTACAATATACAAACAGGTAAACAAGATGCTCTCTCGACTCACAACGGCCACGCTGGCCCTATCTAAGGCCTCTACATCACGAATGATCACAACAACAGCCACTGCAGCAGCAGCTAAACCCATCCCACAACCTCGAGGTAAGCTCCCACCCCGATCTTCCATCATCTTTAGTTCGAGCATCACTGACAGTCATCTTTCCTATCCCCTTCTATTTATCATCTCAATTGCGCACACAGGTACGATTCCGGACCCAGAATCATTCCTCACCGCAATTTCACGCACACGCCGCGACCTCGCATCCAACTCTTCCCTCACCTCTGCCATCGGAAAGAAATGGTCCAACATCTTCACCATCCGCTCTGAACAGCTAAAGGAGGCAGGAGTCACGGTAAAGAACAGAAGATTTTTCCTCTGGGCAAGAGAAAAGTTTCGTCAAGGAGCAAACCCAGAGCTGTTCATCACAGATGCGAAGCCGAAGAAGAAGGTTCGAGGGTAAGTATTGCACGCAGACTAGACTAAGGTTGTTTCGGCGAAGATGAAGGGCTGGCAGTTCCTCTTTTGACACATTTGTTGCTTGTTCGATACAGATGGGGGCCAAGAGTACAGACGGCTGAACGCATTCGTGTGCGTGGTGTAAGGAGGTCCGGAGAGAAGTAGAGCTCTCTTACCCTCTACCAAATTCGATTCCAACCAGCACTCTCATTTGTACCAATATCTCAGACATACGCAATTCACACGATGAGGAACCAACAAAAAGCATGTTCATGGGTTGTGCATTGCATGGATTATTGGCCGGTTGGTAGCTTTCGAATGACGGCAGAGCACTACCTTCGATGTTGTAGTTGCTGCTGTAAAAGGTGCTGCTTGCGAGCAACTTTGATCGCTTCTGAGCGACGATCCAGCACAGCAAAGACGGAGTTCTGAATCATGGTATAGATACCCGATGAGAGCCAGTAGATCACCAATACCTGCAGGATCAAACGAGAGCCACGAGACGGAAAGGTCAGTATACTTTCTGAGTCGATCTACGAGAGTGGCTTGACTGGGAACTTACACCAGGAGCCTGACAAGCAATGGGAATAAAGGCAATTGCCATCACCCTCAAAGCATTGGTAATGATCCTCATCCTTCTTGGCTCTTCCTCGGCCTTCACCTCTGCCCCTTCCTTGCCTTTCTCAGCCAACAACTTATCCGCCGTTCTCGAAGCTCCATCTTCCTTACCCGAACTCACCGCTCTGATCTTGGCGATACTCGTCCTACTCCAACTGTTCAGTTCGGTGTTCGCTAGAGTAAGGATACCGAATGTGACGGGACCAAGCATAGTCGAGTCTTTGTCGACAAGTGTTGGTCCACCCATGGTGCCTTTCAACTTGGCGATGGCTGCTTCGTCAAACCCGCGGTCAGCAAGAATGGCTGTGCTGGCTTTGAATTGCTGTGCTAGCTCAGGAGAGGGCGACCACCAGGGCAAGACTTCCGAGGCGAAAGGTGAGGTGAGATCGAGTGCTGATTGACGGAGGAGAGCGGTCATGAGAAGGAAGACAGGGATGTTAAGTGTTGCTGGGCCGATGAAGGCGGGTAAAGGTGAGACGTTGTGCTTTCGCAGTAGCTCTGCTAGCTTTGCTTTGAGCTGTCGGTATAAGATGCAGGCGCGAGACAAGTGGTAGGGTCAGCATATCTGAACTGTTGAGTCTTCCTTGCATCCCGGCTGATTCAACTTACCTCTTTCTTGACTTCCACCTCGAATGCTTCATACGACATGCCTGCTCTTCTGCACTTGGCACGAACCACCAGTGGGATCTGCTCCTTCATGATCTCCCATTCGGGCAGCACATGTTCGGTCAACTTCCTTGTCTTGCTCCTCTGCCATATTGTGACAGGTAGCGTGACCAGAGTTCGGACGGAAAAGGCGAGTACAAAGATGGATAGTGCGTGTGCGTAAGGTCCGCTGAGGTGCAAGGTGTCTGCAAGGTTGTGAATGGTGGGTACCCATGGTTCCAGGAACTCGAAGCCTGCTGATGCGACATCAGTGTCGGCAACGGAGTCTGTAGCTGTGTTGACCGCTGAGCTTGTTGACGAGGTCGCTGCCTCATTGGAGGGTAATGATGAAGAAGGAGCAGCAGATGCGGCTATTGAGGATGATGCGAAGCCTCGATAGGTTTGCGGCGCACGTTGATATGAGGGCTGAATTCGTGGCAGGACTGGTAATGCTGATGCTCTTGTACGCATGCCAGCAACAGCAATGTGGAACACATCTGTTGACCTCATGCTGTGCGGTGACGGCCTTTCCCTCGTTTCGGTTCTGCCGGGTTCTTGGGGCTTTGATGATGATGGCTCTTATTTAACCACCCTTCCCGTTCTTGCAAGTTGGATGGAGTGCAAAGGATGTTGATGCGGCAGCTTGACGTTGTGACGAGCTTGCAGCTAAGCGTATAGAGGCTTCGCTTTCATTCCACTTTTTCTTCCTGGCAGCCATCGGTGATGTTGCATTTAGCAGATCACCGATCTGATGCTACCTGTCTTGCTTCTTCGCAGCCATTTTACGCGACAGAAAGGCGCGTTAATTTTCCGGCTGACGGGTACAGCAAATTACGCAGCGTGGAGGTGTTGGTCTTTCGGCAGGCTGAGTCTTGTGCTGATGCTGATGCTGCGCTTCGCCACCAGACACACACCAGAAGATTTGGATAGCTTCCGATTGCATTGCCTTTGGCAGACTCACTCTTCTGGCTCTCTATCATCACTCGACATTACTTGGCAGAAGCACAGAGAGGAAGGGTGCGGCTTCCTCTCCATAATCACGGTCCGTTTCGAAGCGGAGAGCGGAACACAATAACACACACTCAGTCACAGTTCTCTCATTTGAGTGGAGCTCTTCCGAAGCTTAAGCCCTTTCGTCCTTCGTCCTTTCTGACGCTGCTCGAGAGCACGGAGCTTCCGCACTTGCTATTGCTTATTGCGGGAACACAGCACGAACATGTCTCTTCTCCTCTCCTCCACCATCCACTTCTGCACTACCTCTTCCAACCCATAGCTCCGCACTCATCATACCTTCCAGCATTACACCAACACTAGCATCACCCCCACCAACCTGATACCTCTTCCATCACCACAGCTAAGCATTCTGCATCGTCGTCAAGATGGCCGAGCCATCGGATGAGTTGGATGACATCGACGAGTTCGACGACTTTGGCATCGATGACTTGGACGACTCAGCCTTGCTCCAGCTCGACCAGATCGAGACGACGCTCTTCAGCAATGGTTCCGCTCAGCATTTCAAGTCCGCAATCAATGCGGCTGCATCATCGTCACGCAACCTTTCCACCTCCGATGCATCGAATGGCAGAGCAGGTGGTGCGGGCCTACAACCTACCGCCGCCAATGGCTCTTCTTCCTCGTGGATGAACAAGGCAGGTCCGTCAGCAGCTGCATCCACTTCCGCACGACCGATGCAGCGGGTAGCTTCCGCAAGTTCAACTACATCAACTCAACCCGCATCTTCCGGAGCCGCTCGACAGATGACCCTCTTCGGAAATCCCACCAACCCTACCCAATCCAAAGTCGCCTCCAAAGTGGTCACATCCAGCCCGGGCCACATCACCATCTCCTCACAGTTCGCACCCACTCCAGCCAATGGTGGAAATGACAATACGAGTACAACACAAAGCGTGCGACCACCATGGCAAAACAAGGTTGGCACCAAGACATGGGACAGAGAGGCTTATCTCCACCGCGAGAGTGCTAAGAGCAAGGTGAAGGACGAGTTTGGCAGAGCCACTGATGTTGATGCGCTCGAGTTTGAGGATGGTGAATTTGGGAGTCTGCCCAGTGGATCAGGCAAGGGCAAAGGCAAAGCCGACTGGGACAAGGACAGCAAGTACGAGAACGTGCTTCCACCCTCACCTAAGAATGCTCGACGTAATCGTCCGCTTCCGCAGCCGCAGAAGTGCAAAATCGACGTCGAAGCTGCCAAGACATGGATCTATCCTACCAACATGGAGAAGCGAGACTATCAGTACAACATCGTTCAGAAAGCGCTCTTCAACAATGTGCTTGTCGCGTTGCCCACCGGTCTAGGTAAGACGTTCATCGCTGCCGTGGTGATCCTCAACTTCTTCCGCTGGTTCCCAGAGGGCAAGATCCTCTTCCTTGCCCCCTCGCGTCCGCTGGTGGACCAGCAAAAGGTCGCTTGTCACAAGATCTGCGGTCTACCTTGGGATTGTGCGATCGACTTGACCGGTCAAACCTCTATCAAAAGACGAGGGTACTTCTGGCAGAGCAAGCGTATCTTCTATATGACTCCGCAGACGTTGGAGAACGACATCCACTACGACAGATGCGATCCACTTGACGTTGTCTGTGTGGTTGTTGACGAGGCGCACAGGGCTCGCGGCAAGTACGCCTACGGTAACGCCATCGGCATGCTGATGGAAGTCAACCCGCACTTCCGCGTGTTGGCTCTTTCCGCCACTCCAGGCAAAGACTCGGTCAGTGTACAAGAGGTGGTTGATCAGCTTCATATCAACCAGATCGAGATTCGTACCGAAGAAGCCATCGATGTTCAACGCTACATGTTCCGCAAGCGCGAAGAGATCGTCAATGTCACCCTCGGCAGAGACCTCAACAAGGTCAAAGACAACTGGGCCAAACTCATGATGACCCAGATGGATCCGCTCATGAAAGCCGGTCTCATCCGCAACCAGGACCCGGTCTTCCTCCACCCCTTCGCGGTCAATCGGATCTACAAGGACCCAAATCGTGCCGCCATCATCGCTAGCAAACCCTATCTGCGAGCCAATATCTCCGAGCTCGCTGCGATGGCCCTCTCCATGCAATATCTCATGGAACAGTCCCCCACCATGTTCTATAGCCGTCTCAAGGAGCGCTCCATGGGGATGAACGACAAGGGCAAGAAGACGTCCAGCACCAAGCAGCAGATCTACGCAAACATCAACACGACCTTCAAGGAGATCATGCGCGAACTCGAGCTCATGCAAGACAACAAGGGTCGCATCCTCCATCCTAAGATGATTAAATTGCGCAATGTGCTCATCGAACACTTCGACAGCTTCAAAGCGGAACAGTTGCAGAATGCAGAAGCTTACGCCGAGAGCGGACATGACGTGTTTGGTAACACGCCCAAGTCGGGCGAGTTGGCCAACTTCACCAACTCCTCACAGGCTGACACTAGGGTGATGGTCTTCTGCTCGTATCGCGAGTGTGTGGACGAGATCGTCAGCTATCTCAACGATTCGGGCTTCAAGGCGACCGAGTTTGTTGGACAAAGCAAGGGCAAGAGTGGCAAGAAGGGCATGTCGCAAAAGGATCAGGAGCGAGTGATTGCCGATTTCAAGGTGGGCAAGTACAACGTGCTTGTAGCCACGTCTATTGGCGAAGAGGGTCTTGATATTGGTTCAGTGGATCTGACGGCGTGTTACGAGGCGGTCAAGGACTCGATCCGTATGCTGCAGCGCATCGGTCGAACAGGGCGAAAGCGAGAAGGAAAGATCGTGGTGCTGATGTCGGAAGGTCGCGAACAGCACAATTGGCAGCATTCAAAGGATAACTACAAAGCAGTGCAGAAGGAAGTCGACTCGCGTCTCTACGTCGAGCTCTTCGACGATGTTGACCGAATGGTGCCGGAGGGCATTTTGCCTCAGCCTGTCCTCAAAGAAGTCGAACAGCCCGAGTTCGACCCTTCAATGGTCAGCGATGGCAAGACCACCGCCAGGACCACTCGGGCAAAGAAAGACCCGAAGCCTAAAAAGGATCCCAAACGCAACATGCCAGAAGGCATAAGCATCATTGAAGGGTTCCGCAAAGCCTCGACTCTCACTAAACGCAAGCAACGTACTGATAGCGACAATTTGGATCAGAGCGATCTGGGCGTCCCACCTTCGAACGAGACGCACAGCCAGAGGGTGCGACGTCTCCTCACTCTGCCGGACGACGACTTTGAAGAGTACGAGAAGGAGAACCTCTCACTCAGGCTACGCTCCGACAAAGGTAGAGACAAATCGACACCGAAACGTATCGCTCCGTCGCCACCTAGCTCGCCAGAGTTGTCGCCTCCGCTCAGACTACGCAGTACACTCTCGCGTTCTACTGGCAGCTCAGGTGTTAGGACTCCAGTGGTGCTGTCTGACGGCATAGAGACACCACCCGTTTCTAGCACCTCGTCTTCTTCGCGACCTCTTGCAGCTGCTATACCTAGCACACGAGGTCGAAAGCTTGGTGTGGGACTGCGTAGTTCCGGCCGCACCTCGACAATTTCAGGCACACTCGCGTTGCGCAAGAGCAGCGATATTGACCCCTCCAACAGCAATGGTCCTAGCACCAGCAGCAGCATAAACAAGAGCCTCGTCGAAGCACGATCGCCAAGCACAAGAGGTATCGCAACTGCAGTGCCGACCAGCGACGACGATGACTTTGACGAGTTCGACGACGACTTGCCGATGGACATGTCATTCGAGAGAGAGCTATCACGCGCTGAGGCCGAGGCAGCAGCCAAAGCCCAAGTAGCTGCAAAGTCGCACATCGACAAAAATCTGCTCAATCCTCCTTTGATCAAAATGGATGTCGATGAAGAGGTGGCTGCTGCAAACAACCTCGAGCCGATGCTGCTGTCACCCCCGACACCTCCTCCGCAGACACGAGCTCGGGGCAAACCTCATCCGATCATGGCTCAGCTCATGGCGGAAGAGGCCGAGAAGCAAGGAAAGCGAAAGAGGGAAGAAGGCGAATCCGCCGACATCAAAGCAGACCAGCCTCGAACCATACAAAAGCTGCTCGAGTCACCGATGAAGAGCTCGATGGGTCCTCCCGACTCTATTCCACGTCGTGCGGGCGGTGCTCGGGCCAAGCGTATCATCCCTGAATCGTCTGACGATGATCCAGTCGGATTCCGACCCGCATCGCATCTCAAGATGGAAGTCGAACAGGACCCATCATCGTCTTCGCCAGTCAAGGCACCCACCAAACGCAAAGGTCGACTACAGAAAGCTTCTTCCATCCCCTCCGAGGCTGCTGCTACAGATGCAGACACGAGTCCCACAGCAGCCAAAGGCAAAGGTCGAGCTCGAGCGCGGGTACGCATTGCCGAAGATGACGAAGACGAGGAAAACCCCACAGTGGGAAGCAAAGACGCAGCAAGCCCCAAGAAGACCAAGAAAGGCAGCAAGACAGGTAAGAAAAGTTCCCGAGCTGCAATAGAAGGAGGTAAGAAAAAGCGTAAGATTACCAACTCACCCACTTCGCGAGCTCTCTTCCAGTACGAGGCGGATCGGTCTACGGACGAAGAAGTGCACGGGGAGCGAGACGAGCACGATTCTGGACTTGGATCATCTGATGAAGACGATTCGGATCGAGAAGCTGTGGGAGATTTCATGCCGACCCAAGCGCCGAGGGGTTATCATCAGCAGAGTATTTATTTGCAGTCGATGATGTCGCAACGTGCGCCGCCGGAGTTTCAGCGGTTGCGACACGCGCCGTTCCCAGGAGTGGGTGGGAGGTTTGGGGAGCCGGTGACACCAAAAAGGAGAGCAGAGGTGCGGAGGGCGATACAGCAGGCTCCTTCGAGTGAGTCCAGGAGGGGAGGAGGGATGGGGTCGGAGGATATGTACTCCGAGGACTCGTTTGTGGTGAATGATGAGGAGGAGATCGTGTATGATTCGGGATCGGATGCGTTGCCGGACAGCAGTCAGTTTTGAAACCCCAAGAGGCGGCAGAAAGGGTATCAGAGAGTAGCACTATGCATTTGCACAAACTCACAATACCCGGCAGCAAAGGATATGTACCAGTAACGAAAATCAGCATAGATACGCTCAGCGCAACAGACGACAAAGTGAAAGGATTTGCCCGAGTGAACACAACAATACAAGTACAGAAGATGCGAGCGAGGACGAGGGCGGTATGATGCAAAAGGCCGTTGTTGAAACAAGACGAGACCTGCCTGTTCTGGGATTGGCGAGTCAAACGATGAGCCCATGCGTCAAGCATCAACATGGGAGGGTATCTTCTACGAATCATCCATCATGATTTGAATGAATTCGTTTTCGTTGATCTCGCCATCCTGGTCGAGATCGAATTCGTCGATCATAGCTTGCAACTCGTCATCGTCCAATGTCTCTCCTAGCTCCTTTGCTACACGCTTGAGGTTGCGCAAGGAAATCTTTCCAGTGGCATCGTTGTCGAACAGCGCGAATGCTTTGCGGATTTCTTCCATCGGATCTCTTGATGCGATCTTCTCCGACACTGCACAAACCAAAGAACGAGGTTAAATTCATCGTTACGACGCTGCGCTACTCATAGAAGTATAAGGAGAGCACTTACTGATCTGATTGAAATCTTCCCACTCCAACAAGCCAGAATTGGTTTTATCGTGATCTCTTAGCAACTTCAACACCTCCGCCTTCTTCAAATCAAACCCAAGCGCTCGCATAGCAACCTTCAACTCGTGATAGTCGATAGCTCCATCTTTGTCGGTATCGAAGAGTTCGAATGCTTCTTTGATCTCTTGTCGCTGTTCGTCGGTGAGGGCTGCCGTATCGATGCGGTGGTGCGAGTTGACGTTGCGTGAGGAAGAAGAAGCTGAGAGATGGTTGGGTGTGGAAGTGTGGTTGCTGGTGGAGGCGCCTAGATTGGCTGCCCTGCGTTTGGCTGCTTTTGATGATGGGGTGTAGAGCGACATGGTGAAGATGCAGCGAGACAGATGATGAGGGTGGCGATGGGAAGGAGGGGCAAGGTTGGGGAGACGGAAAGGTGAGACGCACAGATAAGGTTGGAAAGTGACTCTGCAACTTGTCTCTTTTATTTCGGCAGCAGGAAAGCTTCAGCTCGAAGAGACCAACACTTTTTGGTCACAGGCGAGCGTGGCGCGCTTCTCGAAGCTCGAAGCTTCTGCGAAGATGCTCTTTACGCGCCTCTCTCTTCGATCTTCTTCTGGCTGGGCTTGCTTGAGAAGAGACGCGTCTCTGAGCGCAGCGCAGAGAATATGAAAGTGTTGGATCTTTGGATCTCACAATCTGCCAAAAAAAAGCTTGATTGGCGACTTTTCGGTTTGACGCTGAGTTGTGCTCTGTGGGCGCTGCGCTGCGTGCTGACTTGACTCATTTCTTGAAAGCTCCACTTTTCTCGCTTCCTTGCCGCTTGAATTCAGAGGTGGCGAATCGGCACGTTGTTGGCTGAGCAACGTCGAAGGCACGCTCGGATCTCTGTTCAACAATCTGTCACTTTGAAAGGCTTAGTCGAAGTCTGCGCTTTCAATTCGATCTTCTCTCAAGATCTTATCACCAGGGTTCAATATCGAGCCCGTACATACTGTGGCTCCATAGATCGATCGGCTTTCACTAGACCCAAGGTTTCAGCATCTAGTCAAGGGCTACCCTCGTTACACACACGTGCAGGCTCCTGTTTCACGCTCTTACACTCCTACAACACAATTCAGCCCAGCCCTCCGCAAGAAAAGGGGCACAGATAGATCTCCAACGCGAGTATGGGCAAGAACAAAGGCAACGGCGGCGGCGTCCCGACTAAAGGACGTGTCCCCATTCGAGGCGGTCGCGGACGAGGTGGAGGTCTGGGTGGCCGAGGTGGCTTCCAACCTTTTGCGGAGGCTGGTCACGTTCTCGGCGGAGCTTCTGGCTCCGGCTCTGGCTCAGGTCATGGGTCGCCACGAGGTGGTGCAGCCAACGGCAGACCCTTCCGCGGTCGAGGACGAGGAGGACATCTCTCAGTGTCGGGTCAGAACCGCGTTGGCTTCGACTACTCTGCTCTGTCTAGAGGCAGTCGCCGCGACTACAACGACGATCAAGACAACAAAGATGAGGACGATGAGGACGAGGCTGACTTTGCGATAGATCCACCAGCAGGCTACAAGCACAAGATCAAGCCGCATCTCGAGAAAAGCGCGCACTCTGATATCGAAAGTGATACAGCCAAACTGCAATCCTCCTTCCAGACTCCAAACGTACCATCAGGCTCTTCAACGCATCAGTGCGCCTTCAGCATCACTATCAATAACCATGGCAGCTCATCCATGCCACGCTTCACTCCACGATCTACCGCGCCAGTTCAGTTCCCAGAATTCTACACGAGCAGAGGCAGTGCAAGTGGCGCCAAGTTTCGTCCACCAGAAGAGACGGAGGATTCAAAGTACCTTGCCGGTATTCCTGGCCTGCGCAGACCCGAACGACGACAGCAGCGCAACGCACCTCAACTTGGTGATCCTGCTGACCAGGTTCAAAGCCCGTTCCGAGTTCCTCTTGCATTCGTCAAGTCGACCGGTGAGTACGGCGATCCGCTCAAGGGCAATCTCCCGCCAAGAGATCCCGAAGATACTTCTATTGACCCAGCAGCCAAGCAGTTGGAAGAAGCGCGCCAACAACAGCTGAACAATCCTCCTGCTCAGCGTCGCCATGCTTGTCTCGGATTCTCCAATCGCCCCGCTATCAAGCCGGCAGCACCTGCGCAGGTCAGCAATGCTGAGGCGCCTGTTACCATGTCCACTCCTGCTCCACAGACTACTGCGACGCCGTATGTGCCGCCTCGTGCTGTTCTGCAGTTTACAGACATGACAGTCAATGCTTTCGACTTTAACCATGATGCCATCAACGCGGATGACCAAGATGAAGTCAACGCGCTGCTTGCTGCCTTCCCTGGATCCAAGGAGCTTGCGCCTGGCGAGTCCATGTTTGAAGATGATGCCGCATCCTCCTGGACTTTGCCTGCTTTCCAGCCCGAGGCCGTGAAGCCGATTCAGCTACCCACCAACACCAGCCAGCGCAACGCAGAGAACCCCGTATTTGCTGCCTCTGCACCAGCGAAGTCGGCTGCTCAGCCTGCAGTCGATGCCAACAAGCCTTTGTCTCGTATCTCGGCGACATCGTCAGACGACGACGAAGAGATCATTCTCGTTCCCTTGCAAGGGCAGACACCTCGTGGCACAGCCGCTAAGCCATCCCCAGCACCAGCGCCAACAGAAATGCAAGACGAGGTTGAGGCAGCTCCCACAGCAGGAGTCGAGGTCGTCGAAGAGACCGATCTGGGCTTCGTCATCGATCTCGAAGGCGAAGATCCAGCAGCTCCTATCGAGTCGCCGCCGAAGAGCATTGCTACTTCAACGTCGCACCGAGTAGTGCTGGGCGATGCTGCACGTTCAGCCTCGAAATCCAACGCCTCCTCTCGCAAGAAGCAGTCAGCAACGCGAGGCAAGCCCCGTCGCATCCCACGCGAGGGCGATTCTGATCTGGATTGGGGCAACGATGGACCCCCTGGCGGTTCCGGAGACGTGATGGGCAAGGAGGAAGGCCTCACAGCAGCAGCTGCCGGCATCTCCATCACACGCAACAGCAACGAAGCGGAGGTTATTACTGATCCCATCCTAGCCAAAGCTATCCGCGCCGACCGTCACGAATGGGAGTCAGCCGACGACAATGATAACGACATCACCATGGACATGGTCCAGCCTAAGAAGCGTGGCAGAGGACAACGCGCCAAACGTTCGACCGCCAACCGTGCTGCTGCCTCGCGCACCGCTGCTCAGAACGCACGCAGTCGCAAAGCTGATCAGGATGCGATCATCGCTGATTATATGGAGAACATTCTCATTCAGGGCAACGACTCATCTGATGATGACAAGGAAGGGTTGTTCGAGACTGACGATATGGTCGTCGAGACCGTCGATGGCGATCTTCCAGCTGGCATATCAGATAAGGGCAAGGCTAAGGCTCGTCGACTATCGAACCAGCTCGACGACAAGACCGACGTGGATGCGATGATCCGCTTCATGAATGGCATGGATCCACAGAAGGGCGGCCGTCAGCTAGGGTTCGGTGACATCGACGACGAGATCCACATGGATGAGGTCAAGGAGTGGCTCACGGAGAGCGAGGCTGACAGCGACGATGACGATGTTGAAGATGCCGCTACCGCCGACGTCAATGGTCATCCTGCGGAAGTCAAATCGTCCAAGAAAGCTGACAAGCAAGATGCCTCAGGTTCAGAGGATGAAGACCTTGCCGAGCAGCTCCGCATCATCCTCGAGGACGACGATGACGAGGAGAGTAGTGAGGTCTTCAGCGAAGACTCTAGCTCTGATTCTGAGGGCGATGATACCCGCCAAGCCGAATACGATGACTCCGACGATTCCGACTCTGACTCGGACTCGGATGATGACGACGATGGTATGTTCCGAGGCAAGAACTCCTGGGCTGACGAGGACGAAGAGTTCATTCGTGCCCTCTCGTCGCAAGTCGGCGGTGCCGGCACCGGCAGTCGCCTTGGTGCAGCGCCTTCCTCCAAACGTGCACAGAAGAAGCTCTTTAATGCCAACTCTCGTGGCGACTTCAACGACCTTATGGACCTTGTTGCCGATGAGAACGAGATCGACTCTGACGATCCTGCCTACGGTCTCGGATCCATCCCCACTGCACGCAACGGCAAGCGCAAAGGTCGCAAGTTCACAGCCGAAGATCTCTGGGCTGAAGAACTTCAGCAGCAATGGGACAAGGACCGTGCCAGCAAAGCATCAAAGAAGCAGCAGCGTCTCATGGAACGTCAGGCTGCCTCACTCAACCCTTTCCCCAACACGCACGGCAAAGCAGGCAGCGCTGGCAAGACCAAGTCGACCAAAAAACAATCCAAGCTCGCTCGTAAGGCAGGAAAGCGTGAAATGCGAGCCAGCCTCAAAGCCCACTCGAACAACGTCGTATCTGCCATCAATGTTGCTGGATCTATCGATGATGTTGATCAGAACATCCTCATGTTCGGAGGCAACTCTGTGCCTGGAGATGTCATGTCCTTGGGCTTGGAGAAGCGGTTTGCATTCAACATGGACGAGCTTAACCAGCAGATTCAGATGTTCCTCTCAGAGAAGGGGAGAAACACGATGCGCTGTCAGCCAATGGACAAGTTTGCACGTGCCGAAGTACACGCGCTTGCTGCAGCGTACAATCTTGCGTCCAAGTCGAAGGGCAAGGGGCGTGAAAGGTTCCCGACGTTGATCAAGACGAGCAAGAGCGGGCTGAATGTGGATTATAGGAAGGTGAAGAGGATTGTCTGGTCAAATGCTGGTGCGACGTTTGGTAGCGATCTTGGCAGGAGCGATTTCAAGGACAAGTCGAGGGGTAAGAAGGGTAAGAGAGGTGGTGGTGGCGGAGGTGGGGTCTACGGTGTGGGTGGCGGAACTGTACCGAAGAATAGAGAGGGCGAGGAGGTTGGATTCGGTGCGGATAAGATTGGAGCTGATAATATCGGCCACAAGTTGTTGGCTGCGATGGGTTGGAGAGAAGGAAGCGGTATCGGTAGTTCACAGGGTATGGCAAATCCTGTTTCGGCTACTGTCAAGACTTCGAAGGGCGGTCTTGGGTTCTAAGACGGCACTCTTCTGCATCGCTTCTCCTTTCTGCTTGTATCTTCTGGCAATCTCGTCTCAGATGTCTCCTCCGACGACCGCTTTCGATGTGTCGATGTGTGTGCCTTCGCGTTTGTTCTCACTCTTCTTGCACGATGTCGTGCCACACAGCCACGTTGTGTCATCGTTCCGAGAAGTGTGTGATGTGTGTTTGCATTCCACCCAGCATACGACCACCTCTAGTCCTGCTCAATCCTAGTAGTGGGACTAGAGCTCAGCCTTCCCCGTTGCCCCAGCATTGGAAATCATCTGCTTGACCTTGTTCAAGTTGTTGATCAGAGTATCGACCACCTCCGAGTTGGGTTCCTTTGCTGACTTTTCCGCGTTCAGACTTGCCCACAGCTGGTTACTCTGTGCGATCAACTTTTCCAACACTCCCTCACCCGCCGCTACTGCTGCCGATGCCGTGCTCCCTGCTGCTGCCGAAACAGATGTCGCATTGGTGGTGACAGCAGCAGCTAGTTGAGGCGGAGGCGAGTTACCGTAGACATAGTACAATGCTCTTGTTGCCACCTCTCTCGCGTGTCGGGGGAAGTAATGGTAGGCCGAGTACCAAAGGAGAAGCGTTAAGGTGAGGAAGACCATGATGACGAGAAACACCTCCCATGCTTCTAACATGGACAAAACGAAGGTGGCTTCAACGTTCCAATACGCACGGAAAAGTTTACGCTCAATGATACGGATCGGGTTCCATGTCCAGGCATTGTGAGAGGTGTCGAAGGGGCTGACTGGGTGAGAAACTTTGACTGGGATGTGAGTGCTGCCATTGACGGTGGAAGTGGTTGAGGAGGAGGAGGAGCCAGCGGCGGTGTTGGACTTGGTTTTGGGAGAAGCGGCGGCGGAGGATGGGTGAAGATGGTCTGGAGATGAGACGACGGTTGTATTGGAACCCCCTTTTGTCTTGGCTGGCATCTTTGAGAAGTGCTTCTACGAAAGTGTGTGTTGGGTGGAAGCGGTGGTGGTGTCGAGGACAAGAAGATGCCACGAACACAGAGAAGGAAAGGGTTCAGATTCTGCAACACACACACGAGAACACACACACACACACCAACCAAAATCTCCCAACACACGCCGGCGATTCACAGTTCCAGCTTAAGTCCGGCTCTCCAATTTCGCATTTCGAACACGAAAAAAAAAGAAATTGTTGCATTTGACCGGTCTCACATCGTTGCGCGACATAACTGCTGGCTGAGCATGTGGAGCAAGGAAGCGCAGTTTCCAACAGCAGCTCGCGCTCGGGTCAAGTCGCAGAAAGTGACACTCCTCAACTCAACTCATCGAACCTTCTTTCGTCCATCATTACCACCTCACCTCTCCTCAAAGATCACGCCTGGACACACTTGGGCGCCTCTCTACTGATAGGCAAGATGGCGATCACAATCCTTACCGGAATCGAGGACACCCTCGCCCTCATCCATGAATGCGGTGCTAACCTCGCCCGAATTGAGTCCACACTCCTTCTTGCTCTGCGGAAGCTCTGCGCCAGCAACACCTCCGAAGGCGAGTCCACTCGCAACGCTGCCGCAAGCTCAAGCCGAACACGAGAGAATACTGGAGCTTCCGAACTCGTTCTCTGTCAACCTATCCAGGGCAATATTGATCCTCTCACAGTGCTCAACCCTGCAACGCACTCAGTGGGGGTGCTTTACATCCTCGCTGCCCGAGCAACGCATGCTTCTGCCTTGGCAGACGACGCGACCACCTTGCTGCCACATATATCGGCATTTGTTCAGCGATTCGATGCTGCACAGGTGCAATTAGCAGGGGACAAGGTGACGCAGCTCGCAGCGAGCTTTTCAGGATTGGCGGATAGGATCACGAATCCGGAATCGGCTTTGCAGCTGTTGCAAGCGTTGGCGTCCAGGTTCATTACCAGACCGGAGAGTATCACAACGCTCCATCCGCTGCTAGCATACGTAAGTCTCAAAGCAACTGTCTGTACTAGTCGGCGAAAAGGTGCACTGACGTATCTTACTGACAGGACTCCAATCTCGGTGGTGTGCGTTTTGGCAACAGCAATATCTCAAGACAGCACGATACGCAGAAGCAGCAACCATGCTACTCGATCTGCCCTTGATCGACGCAGACGCATCCGTCACACCACTCGCCCACTCTGATATTCTGCAATACTTCTACTACGCCGGTCTGATCTATATCAAGCTCGACCGCTTGGAAGATGCGATTGACGCGCTTGAAACTGTAAGTTGCCCTACATCTCAGGCCTCCCATCGCTACGCTATGCTGATACAGCCTTGCTTTTGTGACTCTGGTCTCGATAGTGCATCTCAAGCCCGGCAGTAGCGGTTAGCGCCATCCACATGGATGCGTACAAAAAGCTTCTTCTCGTCCAGCTCCTCGCCCATGGCAAGACCTTGCCAGTACCCAAGTACACCCCGCAGACTATCACACGAACGTTCAAGCAGATCGCACAGCCCTATCTCGCTTTTGTCGCCGCATACGAGAGCAGAGACGCTCATAGCACGCAGCAAGTTCAGCAGCTGGTTGAGGAGAAACGAGATACGTTTGAAAAGGTAAGTCCCCGCCCGCCCCTTGGAGTAGCCCTTCTTCATTTTGGTCTATACTGACGTGCTCTTGCTTTTGTCGGTGGGATGAACAGGATCGCAATCTGGGGCTAGTGAGACGATGTTTGGCACTGCACAGGCAGAGAAGGATTCAAAGGCTAGGTAAAGTGTATAGCGCGCTAGCACTTTCGGAGATCGCTAGCATGGTGGGATTGGAGAGTGGCGATGTGGTTCAGGCTGTTTATGCTGATGTGCAGGATATCGCAAGTCTTCCCCATCCTTCATCACAAGTCTACTCATTGATATGCGGCTGATCAATGCTTCCTCCTCGTATTTGCAATCACAGGTTCGCAATGGTTGGGTCCACGCAACGCTCTCCCCACCACCCGGAGGCTCCTCTTCTTCCAACACAGTGACCGGCGACTGGGTCGTCAACTTTGACCCCTTCGGTGGTGATGCATATACCTCCGCCACCTCTATTTCACTGCTTGAGGGCAAAATCAAGACAGCAAAACAATACCAGACGCTGCTGCAGCAGAGAGATCGAGATATCGAGAAGAGTCACGCCTATCTCACGCGGGTAAGTACAGGCTCTGATGACGGTGTATAGATGCGCAGGTGCATATTACTCACACTGTTCTTGAATGTGACTTGGTTGTATGCAGGGTCTCAAGATTCGTGATGCGAGAACAGCGGGAGCAGATGCCTATGCGGGTGCTGATGATTTTGACGATGCTGATTACTGAAGGGCTGTCTCAATATAGCAGATTTCACTTTGTAGCTGCGAAAATCAATGTCAGCTATTCACAGCACAGCATGACCTGATGTGTGAGAACATGATATGTGCCACAAAGTCTTGTGCTGCTGAGATCTGAATGCTATTGGGTCCCATTGACGAGTGAGCCGTAAAGTTGCCAGCTGTAAGAGGTAGCATGCTATTTTCCCGGCCGACAAAATTATCAAAGCCCAAGCTGAAGCGTGAACCCTGTTTCAATGCACCCTTTCCATCGCGCATCTTCCCCAGCCTCCTCATCCATTAGCTATCCGTCAGATACGTTCTCCTCTCGATACACAAGCCGCCAGCAAGATGGTCAAACGCTCCGCACAATGCAAGTTCCCCGTTGCGAGGATCAAAAAGATCATGCAAGCCGACGAAGATGTTGGAAAAGTTGCGCAAGCTACGCCTGTTCTCATTTGTAAGTCCTCACCATCGCCTCCCATCTACATAGAGCGTCCACTGCTAGAACATAGGTATTGACGTAGGTCTCTGACTGCTTAACGTGGATGCAGCAAAAGCACTAGAGCTGTTCATGGCGAGCATCGTGGAAGAGACAGTGAAAGAAACGCGCAGTTGTGGAGCGAAGAAGATGACTCCTTATCATGTGTAAGTCCCACCACTTATCCCCTCTACCTCAAGTGCCGCCCTACCCGTCAAGACGTCTGTACTGACATTGTGTTCCTCGATACACCACTTATCGTCTCGGTGGTTGAACTGCGAACGTACAGCAAGCGAACAGTGCACACAAACGAAACCTTCGACTTCCTCAAAGACATTGTCGCCAAAATTCCCGATCCGGTCGAAACAGATAGCAGCGTCGCAGGTTCTGGAGCAGCAGCAGGCGACAACAGAGGTGGAAAGCGACGAAAGACCGCTAAGAATGCTGAGGAGTCTGATTAAGATCCTCACCAATTAGCCGGCATTTAAGGTTTTCCCCTGGCCGGTTCCATCTTCAATCTGTAATCGTAACTGCCTCGAGGCGGTGCATTGTACTCTAAGCTTTATACTGTTCGCATTCGCAACCGCATTCATGACATTCACGCCGAGTCTTGGGCTGTCATTATCTGATAGAGTGGGTGTGTTGTTTGGAGAGCATACTAAGTGCTCGGATGGACGCTGTTAGGTCGGCAAAGAAAACATATGAGTTCGTCACTGCCGAAACGTGGGCCAAAAGTAAGGCACAAGAGGAGAGAGTGATCCTTGTCCCAGCCAAATTTAGGGAGGCCTGTGTGTGTGTGTGTGTCTCGCCTTGTGCTTAGACTGCTGCTGCGCCACCCTTGTGCCCTCTCTCGTTGTTCCCGCGCGGCGACTCCACACGCTGCACAGTAAAACTGACACTTTCGTTGCATCTTCAACTCACGCACCGCCTCTTGCTGTCAACCATCATCTTCGCCCATCTTCATCATTCCCTACGACATCCTGCTTCCAATCGACACACTTCGAGCAGCATCTATCACTTTTCTCGCGTCGACATACGGAACCACGCTGAACAACCATTATCCGAAGGACAATCAGCACACTTCGATTCACGACAAGACGGTTGTCAATTGCCTAATCTATCTTCGACTATCACGACTCTGATCACAGCAACACCCTCAGTCATCGACACAAAGCACCACCTGTTCCGCGCCTGTTGGAACTGCACACCATGTCCGTCCCTGCTGCTTCCAATGTCAATGCTGCTGGCGATGCAGCTGCTGCGGCTGCCCCACAAAAGCCTTTCCAGACCAAGCTTGTCCTTCTTGGTACGCATTCAGCTCTGCCCTCATCCTGTGGCTCGCATGCAGCCTAGTATATGGCAGATCTATGTTACTGACATTTGACATTCTCTTTCACTTGCTTTCCAATTCCCATGCTTTTGGAACAATGAATTTCGTATCATCTGCCACCCATCTCATCACATCACATCGCATCTCACTCCGATCTCACGCACGCCGCCCTTTTTTGCCGGCTGTAGGTGAAGCCGCAGTCGGCAAGTCTTCAGTCGTCCTTCGTTTCGTGCAGAACGACTTCCAGGAGAACAAGGAACCTACTATCGGCGCTGCTTTCTTGACTGTGAGTTTCAACACCTCCGCGCTTGTGATCTGGTGCATGACAGCGGGGAAGACGAGCCTGTTGGTTCGCTCATGATACAGCATTAGCTGACACTTGCACCCTCTCTTTTCCGCGACACTCGCCGATCTGCAGCAAAAATGCCGCCTCGAAGACCGCCTGATCAAGTTCGAGATCTGGGATACTGCAGGACAGGAACGCTTCCACTCGCTCGCACCCATGTACTACCGCAACGCCCAAGCCTCCGCCGTCATCTATGACGTCACCAAAGCTAGCTCCTTTGAAAAAGCCAAGTCTTGGGTCAAGGAACTCCAACGTCAGGCTAACCCCAACATCGTCATCGCTTTGGTCGGTAACAAGATCGATCTCCTGAGCGAGACCTCCTCTTCTACCTCAACTGCCGCGGAGGAGAATGACGATGACGATGAGACTGTCACTGCAACAGGCGAGGCTGCTGCTAGTGGAGAGTCGTTGCGAGCCGTGCCCAAGGACGAGGCTGAGGCATATGCCAAGGAAGCTGGTTTGTTGTTCTTCGAGACTTCGGCAAAGACTGGTGAGGGAGTTGTAGAGGTGTTCACCGAGATCGCAAAGAAGATTCCAATTGACTTGCATTTTGCAAGGAACGCTGCGGCTGGTGCCGCGGCTGGTGGTGCAGGTAACGGTGGTAGACAGGCGAGTGGGAATCAGGCTGGTGGTGGTGTCGATTTGCAAGGTGGACAGCAGGGTAACAGGAAGGATGCTTGCAATTGCTAAGCTCCCAAAACTGTTAGGACCCTTTCGCTTTGCACATAACTTTGCGCATAGTCTTGTCTCGATTGACTAGAAACGGCTCAGCGTTTGCACACCAGCGCTGAAGCTTCTCGACAGTGAAGCCCCATTCCAAGGTCTCTCGCTCTCTGTACATAAACCATCTCCCTCTTGCCCCTCTGATTCTCGCTTAGTAGTTACTGTATGTCTCTTCTTGTCGCAACCTCGTCTATTCCTGATGCTTGGATCAAATTTCAGGGTGCAAGTGTGTGAGGGTTGGCCAGCGAGTGAAGAGAGTCAAACGCAAGGTTTGGCTACTGCTGTTAGGCCGGGAACGTGAACAAAACTGAGATTCGGCCATGCAAGCGGCGTTTCTGCGAAATTCCGCTCGCACGAACCCTCGATAAAGTGCACGTCACTTCCTTCAAGTGGACACGTAGCAAGGAAAGCTCAAGACAGACAAGCTGCTTCCATGCATTTCTTCCAGCACGACACAGAAAAGAGTAACACCTCGAACCCAACACGCCTCAGTCAGGGAAGAACAGCTTCTTTCCTTATTTCACCATCATCCATCACCTCCCCTATCGAAAATTAAGGAGGAAGGACCTGTAGGCTTTGTGGATAATACAGTCGCTTAGCTACGAGAGCTACCCGCCTCAGCCCCTCTCTCCGTACCGTGCTCAAGGCTCCCCTTCGTTACAGGCAAGCGATCGGGCGCCTACTCCAACAATGAGGCACTCAACCGGCCCCGGCCGCGTTAGCGCGGCTTTCGGCATGCTCTTTGTTCTCGCACTCCTCACCATCACCCTGCTCTCCGCACCAACAAGTGCGATGGGAGTAGTGGCATTCGACTACGGCACAGAATGGATGAAGGTGTCCCTCGTCAAACCAGGTTTACCCTTCGACGTGGTATTGGACCGCGACTCGAAGCGCAAGATCCAGTCCGCTGTCTCTTTCAAAAAGTGGGGTCTTGACGAAGAGATCCTGTTCGGTACCAACGCTTACAACCACGCTACACGCGAACCCAAGCAGTCCTTCTACGGCCTCAAGACACTGCTCGGCCGTACAACAAACGAGGAGGACAAGGAATACGTCAATCTCTACACTTCAATCTTTGGCAACAATGTCATCAGCTCAGAGCGCGGCACTTGCTCACTGCAAAGACCTTACAAGCCTGATCCCAAGCTTTCTTCATTGCCGGTGTTGACAGTGGAGGAGTTGGTCGGTATGCAGTTGGAGTACGCAAAGAAGCTGGCGGAGGAAACGGCTGGTGAGCGCGTCAACCCTTCGCTGCCCGCAGGATTCAACATTGGCTCGTTCGGCGGTCTTGATGCTGTTGTAACTGTGCCGGCCTTCTTCAACGCACAGGAGCGTCAGGCGATTGTCGACTCGGCTATTCTCGCTGGCTTCCGTCCCCGCCTTGTGTCGGACGGCGCAGCGGCGGCTGTCAACTACGCTCAGACTCGATCTTTCCCTCTGCCTGAGAAGCATCTCTTCTTTGACGTCGGCTCTGGTTCTGTCCGCGCCACTGTGGTCGAGTTCAGCACCAAGCCCATCACCATTGACTCGGTCCTCTCGTTGGGCAAGGCACAGAAGGAAGCCACCATCGTCGATGTCAAGGGTGTTGGCTGGGAACGCAACGTTGGTGGACTCAAGCTCGATCTTATCTTGCGCGACAAGCTTGCCGTTGACTTCGACGCCAAGTACAGCAGTCAGATTGGCGGTTCGATCCACAACAACCACCGAGCTATGGCCAGGTTGCTTAAAGAGGCGAACCGTGTCAAGCACATTCTCAGTGCCAACGACATGGCTTCTAGCAGCGTCGAGAGCCTTGTTGACGAGATCGACTTCCGAACTATGATTCAGCGTCAAGACTTCGAGGATGCTGTAGCAGCAGCTGGGATGGTGCCCAAGTTCACTTCGCCCATCAACCAGGCTTTGTCGAATGCAGGATTGAAGTTGAGCGATATCAACTCGATCGTTCTTGTTGGTGGAAGTACTCGTGTGCCTCTCGTTCAGAACGCACTGCGGGAGGCAGGTATTCCGGACTCGAAGCTCGCCCAGAACGTCAACGCTGATGAGGCTGCAGTAATGGGTGCTGCTTTCTACGGTGCCAGCTTCAACCCTCAATTCCGCATGAAGGAGATTCGGGCTTACGACCTCGTCCCTTACGCCGTCAACCTCAAGAAAGCCGACGACAAGACCGAGACCATCTTCCCCGCCACTTCGTACGAGGTCGAACAGGTGCTGCGTCAGTACGAAAACGTCAAGGAAGACTTTATATTTGAGTTGGAGTACGATGCTGCTTCGCAAAAGGCGCTGGGTGCCAACACGGATCGGGCTATCTCGATGGTCGAGATCACGGGTATCGATGACTTGCTCAAGGACATCAAGGCGAGTGGACAGCTAGATCATATTGACACACAGGTCAACTTGACAGTGTCTAGCAAGCCATTGGGAACGTATGCGGTGGAGAACGTGGTGATGGTGATCAAGCCCAAGGCTGGTGGGATTGCTGGTGCACTCAAGTCGTTCTTTGGTGTTTCGACTCCCAAGAAGGCTGCGAATGGTACATCTACGAACAGCACCACCTCAACGACCAACGGTACTGCTGGTGATGCAGCTGATGCCGAATCCGCCGCCGCCGATGCCGATGCAAAGGGAGATGAGACCCTCACCTCCGTCCCAGCCAAGGACAAGATCGTCAAACTCACCGCTCGCACCATCCCTCAAAACGACCACGTCCGGCCCCTCTCCGGCGACGAGATCAAAAAGAGCAAAGACAAGCTTTGGATCATGTCCCAAGCCGCCTCTCGTAAAGCTCAACGCGAAGAAGCGCGCAACGCCATCGAATCTTACCTCTACCGCGTACGCGATCTCGTCGACGACCCAACTTTCGCTTCTGTCTCCAAAGACGCCGAACGCAAAGCCATCTCTGCCAAAACAGAAGAGCTCTCAGCTTGGCTCTCCGACGATGGGGAAACAGCCGACACTTCCACTCTCAAACTCAAACGTGCTTCGCTCGAATCTCTCATCAAGCCTCTCGAAACGCGTTTGGAGCAGAACAGGCTGCGTGACACAGCATTTGCTGAGTTCGAAGTAGCACTTGAAGAGGCGAAACAGTTTGTTGCCGAGGCGAAGACGAATCTGACAGCAGCCATCGAGAAGAACGAGTCGAGCAAGTACAGCGTTACCGAGTTGGATTCGTTGAGTGCAACGATCGAGAAGGATGGGGAGTGGTTCAAGAAGGGTAAGGCTTTGCAGGAGGAGAAAGGGCCCAGTGATGATCCGGCATTGTTGAGCACGGAGGTGGATGCAAGGAGGAGGAAGGTTGCGGAGACGATCAATAAGATTAAGAAGAGGAGGATTGCTAAGACTAGGCCTCAGAAGAAACCAAAGAACGAGAAGAAGGAAGAGAAAAAGGAAGAGAAGAAGGAAGAGAAAAAGGAAGAGAAGAAGGAAGAGGAGTCTCCTCGTCATGAAGAGCTCTGAGGATCTATCTTGCTTACTAGTCGCTTATTCTGTCCCAATACATTTAGACCATCAGACCGCTAATGCCCTGTGTTGATGTCGACTGTCAAATTTGTGTGATAGAAGAGCATACCTCAAAACGAACGAAAAGCGAACAAGTGTCATGGGCCTGAATGCTCAGGAAGCAGGAGGGTCACTGGTTCATATGGAAGGAGCACAGGTATCAGAGATCTAGTCAATACCAGTAGAAGAGCATGGTCGTAGTGCAGTCTCCATGGAGACCATGGACTCCTATGGACTCACATGCAAAGGAGGACTGAGCCCATATGCAAGGAGGGCCAGGCACAGCCACAAAGAGGACCAAGCTCAAGGAGCATGCAGATGGTTACCACTCAGGGGCTCGAGAGACAAGAGTCAAAGGAACCATCACCAGTCAAAGGAGAAGGAGCAGTGTATAGGAAACCGGCAAGCAGGTCCTGAGGAGGAGGAGCAGTGTTGAAGGAGTCGACACCACTCAGGAGGCACAGGGGTGCCAAACAAGCAGGATAGCAAGGAGAAGGAGCAGTGTCGAAGGAGTCGATAGCTCAAGGAGGACAGGAGTGGTGCCAGAGGGGCCCCCTGTACAGTACTTGATGAAGAGAGAGCAGGAGCAGCATCGCTGGTGACACTGTGAAGAGGTATAAAACCATGCTTTCTCATCATCAAAGGTCGAGTGGATCCTCATCCACTCTACACAACCATCATAACTAGTTATCACTTCAGCATAAGTATATATTAGTTTCAGTCAGCATAGCAGCAATCTATCAAGGTTGCTCCTCATCATAGTGTGTGTGTTGTATCACCACTACCTGACATCCGAAGGCAACCCATAGCAGGTCAGCAGTCCAGATTAAGATAGAACCGAAGGCAGTAGTCCACTGCGGTCCGGGGATCACTTCAAGCATCAAGTCAACACACTGGACACTCGTGTTGATGTCACCAACCTTATCACCAACACCATCAACCTCATTACCATCAACACTCACCAACCTTATCACCGACACCAGCAACCTCATCATCATCAACACTCACACCAGACCTTGGTGTCATCATAACCTATGTATTGATATTGATTGTGCCGAGCTACCCCTGAATGGAGTGTCCACAGAGGTCAGCTGAAACCTACAATAGTATATACAATGAATGCCACCTGCTGTCATCACACAACTTGATAGTCACCAAGCAACTAGCTTGTCAAGACTGATATGGAGACAATAGCTGTTGCACAGTTCGATAGTCACTGAGTATCTTGACAGACTGACCTGGGTTTCAGGTGTGAGACCCCTGACATTAGAGTGGATCATTCAAGCAGCTCCTCACGATCACCATGATGGACCCAGACCTCAACAATAAGCTTGATAGACTACTCACTCTATTGGAAGCCCAGCTAGAGCTTACCAGGCAGGGTCAATGAGAAGAACAATTACAACAAGCTCATCTGAGCAGAGAGGAGACAATTGACCTCTCTCACTCAGAGGAACAAGCAGGAGGAGGAGATGAGTCTATGATAGGAGACCCACATACTCCTACTCCAGCTCCATGACCAAGACGATCAGTCTCATTCGTCAACCTGGATGAGCAGGATGACATCAACTATGAGAAGTATGCTTCACCTACTGGGCCAAGATATGTCAAGACTAAGGTGGACCCCTACAGCAGGACCAGGATGGACCCTTACCCCCTGGACCAAGAGGAGGACACCAGCATCATGATGGAGAGGTCGAAGCCCATTGCCACCCCATTTCCAAAGTTTAATCCCCAAGATGTGGAGATCTTCATTCTAGAAGCTGAAGCATGGTTTAAGTTCAACCAGGTGTATGAGCAGTCTAGGATGATCAATCACATGGGTGCTCAACTGGAAGGGACAGCATGAGAGTGGTGGACTTCAAAGCTCCATATTGATAGAGCTAGAGAAGGAAGGTTGTTCAATGATTGGCACTACTTCACAGAGTGACTGTCAGAACAGTTCAACCCACGCAATGCTAGGATGGAGGCATACAACAAGCTGTTAGCTCTCAGGCTCACAAGTGATGCTCCTGGTGCCACCACATGTCATGTAGAGCAGTTCAGAGACTTGGAAGGACAGGTCAACTTAGATGACAACGAGCTAGTGATTGATCTCTTCAGAGGTAGTCTCACTTGCAGCATACAGGAGAAGTTCAAGAGGAACCCACCTGGGAAGAGATGGGAGTGGTATTGAGAGGTTGAGGAGATCGATCAACAGAGGATGCTACTACAGCAGTCCTCAGCTAGACACTCACTCCCAAATGCCACATCACCTCCACTAAGAACTGGGTCTCAGCCAATTCAAAGTTCAATCCCCATAGATCAACCCACTCAATCTTATCCAGCTCGATCACCAGCACAAGCAACTACACAAGCAACTACACAAAACCTAAACTGACCAACTAATCAACCCACCCAAACCTCGAAGCAAGGAAGCCCTGCTCCATCAGGTACCAACACCTGTCATGTATGCAAGGGTATCAGACATTGGGCCAGAGACTGCCCCAGCAGGAGGGTAGATCCTCTTAGCTCTCGACCCATGGGTCCAAAGGTCATGGTCACCACAACAGACCCCTTCAAGGAGGCCACCAACTCAGGAGATGGCCACACAGGCAGCACTGAGATGGGTGACCCCGAGGCCATGGACCTCAGCTCATACCAGCAATCCATGGACCCCGATCATGAGGACAAGGAGCACAATGATGATGACGACGAGGGAAACATCAGTGGGGTGATGCACTGATGGCATGCATTGCCCTACAAACCTCCTTGCCATCACTCTGTATATATCAAGATTGTCAAGTATGTTTCTCTACCAGTGGAGGCAAAGCAGTACTGGAGCTCTCTGGAATGGTTCAAGACCATCCTGCTCGGATACTAGCTGATACTGGTGCTGGTTTGTCCATAGTCTCAGATTCTTTCATTAGTAAGTACCAAATACCCACAAAACCCATAAAAACAAGATCGATCCATGGTGTCACCGGACACCAACTCTCCATCAATAGTTCTGTGAGCATGCAGGTATCTATTGGTACACACAATCTGGGTGTGGTCAAAGCTTCAGTGGCTGACACTGCTGACTACGACCTCATCCTGGGGTTCACTGAGCTACAGAGGCTCAAACCCACCATACAATGGGATACGGGCCAGCTGGAGTTCAAGACTCAGGAGCAGGACCGACCCCCAAGGAGACCCCCTGAAGCAGCAAGAGCAGGGTGTAAGCGATCGCGCACCAGAGACTAACTGAGGTTGATTGAGTAAGGACTACTTGATATGATTCGCCTAAACGTAACCAAGCATTGTCACCTAGTAAGTCTTGACTGACCGCCTTGAACACTCCGTTCAGAGGTTGCACAGCATGAATGTTGTTTGTCAGTGAGTGGGTGATACACCCTCCCCTACAGTACGAGTGTTCATAGTACTGTTGATAATGCTCTTGGATGTCGTCTGGACCACGATGTGCTAATTGCCTACAGAGGATGGGAGTTACTGGACCACTGGTGTGAATCACTGCCTACAATAACCAACTGGACTGCTGGTGTCAAGCAACACTGCCTTCAGCAAGGGACTGGACCACAGGTGTTGAAGAACACTGCCTACAGTAATGAACTGGACTGCTAGTGTGAAGAACACCGCCTACAGTTGTCGACTAACGGTGATACAACACACACATTGAGAGTCGTTGCAAGAGCACTGCTATTGCGATGATATGTAACCAAGTAAGTATAGAGTAAGTAAGTTGAGTTCAGAGTGGATGCCCCTCCACTTGTATGCTATGGTAGAATGAGAGTATTTATATGTCCAGTCAGTGTTTTCCCTCGACACCTATCCTGCTCCTCTTGAGGGGCCTTTGTCCCCTGTTAGGCACTGCCTTGCCCTGCTGGCACCAACCCCTTCGATACTGTGCTCCTACTGTTTGCTCAGCATAAGGGTTATGCAACATGGCCCTCTCGCCTACATGCTCTCCTTCTGTCTGGTGTGTGATGCCCCCTTTCATCACAGCTCCCTTTTGACTTAGTCTTGTGAATTCCCTTTGAACCTTGTGACCATACCCCCTGGTCATGTGGTCATGTCGGCACAGTTCCGTCTCGACTTGTTTGGATCGGCCGACTAGTTGAAGCATGCTGATCTGACTGACTCCAACATCGGCACAGCTCTGAATACTTGTTCGGATCGGCTGACTAGTTGAAGCATGCTGATCTGACTGACTCCAACATCGGCACAGCTCCGAATACTTGTTCAGATCGGCTGACTAGTTGAAGCGTGCTGATCTGACTGACTCTGACATTGGCACAGCTCCGATTACTTGTTTGGATCGGCTGACTAGTTGAAGCGTGCTGATCTGACTGACTCTGACATTGGCACAGCTCCGATTACTTGTTTGGATCTGCCAACTAGTTGAGGCGTGCTGATCCGGCTGACTCCAACCGATCCCATGAGATCGATCTGGATTCCCGGGGTTTGATTGATCTCGTAATTCCTGTGCACTGCCAACCTGATTAATCTCATTGATCCCCGATGGTTTTTGGCTCTGATCAATCTGGTGCACCCTTCATATGTTGATCTTCTGCACACCCTTCATATACTGCTCCGTTACACGACATTACCATAACTGCCGCTGATCATTTGGCGCACTCTCTTGCGCAGGCCAGCCGTCCCTGTGACACAGGGGACCTAACCATGAGGAGACCAACCCTTCATGGAAATGAGTTTGTCTCAGCAGAGCACATACTACAAGCAGCTCTAGAAGATGGACCCATAGGGTTCATGCTGTTGGAGGAGCCACCATCATCACTCCCAGCCTTTGGTTTTGTACCTACAGGCACAGACAAAGGAGTAGAGATGGAGGTAGAGGTGGACAAGGTGGTGACAGCTGCAGACATACCAAAGCCATACCAACACCTGTGAGATGTGTTCAATGAAGTGGAAGCAGACAAGCTGCCCTATCATACCAATCACAATCTCCACCTTGAGTTGATAGAAGGAGGTAAGCCACCTCAAGGGCCCCTGTACCTTAAGGGACCCAAGGAGATGTCCGAGTTGAGGAGGTACTTGGATGAGAACCTTGAGAAGGGGCTCATAAGACCATCGAAGAGCCCAGCATGATCACCAGTGCTCTTTGTACCAAAGAAGGATGGAGGTCTCAGACTCTGTGTGGACTACCAAGGTCTCAATGAGATCACTGTCAAGAACAGGGCACCACTGCCCCTCATCGAGGAGCAGCTGTTCTTACTCAGGAAGGCAAGGATCTATACCAAGCTAGACCTTAGAGCAGCATACAACCTCATCCAGATTGCTAAAGGAGATGAATGGAAGACAGCTTTTGGCACTCAGTTGGGACTCTATGAGTACCTAGTGATACCCTTTGGCCTAGCCAATGCTCCAGCTCACTTCCAGTCATTCATCAATGACATCTTCCGAGACATCATTGGAGTATATGTAGTGGTATACCTAGATGACTTCCTGATCTTCAGTGACACTGAAGAGGCACATGTGAAGCATGTCACCAAGGTCCTCACTCACTTAAGGAGCAACAGGCTCTTTGCTAAGCTGTCGAAGTGTGAGTTTCACACCAAGATAGTCAAGTTCCTGGGGTACATCATCAAGCCAACAGGTATAGAGATGGACCCAGAAAAGGTGCGCACTGTCAAGGAGTGGCCAATGCCAGAGTCAATCCATGACATCCAGAGGTTCCTGGGTTTTGCCAACTTCTATCGAAGGTTCATAGCCCACTTTGCTTGCATAGCCAAGCCCTTGACATCACTGGTAAAGCCTACAGAACGATTCAAGAAGTTTGAGCTACCAGAGGAGGCCCAGCAGGCCTTCCACAAGCTCATCCAGGCATTCACATCAGCAGGAGTGCTTCAGCACTTCAACTACCACCTTCCAACAAGGTTGGAGACTGATGCAAGTGACTTTGCTATAGCAGGAGTACTCAAGCAGGAGCATGAAGGACAATAGCACCCAGTGGCCTTCTACTCTAGGAAGATGTCTTCTGCTGAGAAGAACTATGAGATCCATGACAAGGAGCTCCTAGCTGTGGTCGCTTGCCTTACTCAGTGGCAACACATGCTAGCTGGACTACCAAGTCAACTGGTCATCCTCACTGACCATGAAGCCCTCAAGTACTTCAAGTCACAGAGATGCATCACAGGTCGACAGGCTCAATGGGCAATACTACTAGCAGAATTCGACTTCATATTGCAGTACCGACCAGGAGACAAAGGTGGTGAACCTGATGCTCTCACCAGAAGGATGGACATGCAACCAGCTGGTGAAGAGCAGGATCACAATGTGAGGCAACTACTGCCTCCTCGAGTGTTCAAGGAGACAGCAGACCATGACTCGACCCTAGTGGCCCCTATGCTCTTGATGGAGTCCATAGCATCAAAGGGTCTCAGAGACCTGGTCAAGATCTTCCAGCCCTTAGACCAAGAGCTACAGGAGATACATATGAAGAAGCCCTTCGAGCTCAAGGACGACCTATGGTACAGTGGAGGAAGGTTGGTTATCCCCAAAGTGATCATGCCAGGGAGGACCAACAACTGACACTCAAGGAGTGCCAAAGAGGTAGATGGACAGTCTCTCTCTGTAGAGCACCTGCGATTCATGGTGATGACTCAATGCCATGATGGCATCACTGCTGGACATGTGGGGAGAGATGCTACCATCAAGGCAGCCCAACGACATTACTGGTGGCCAAACATGACAGCTTGGATTGCAGACTATGTAGCAAGTTGTCCTGTATGTGCTAGGTACAAAGCTCCTCGTCACCATCCATATGGTTTGCTACAGCCATTAGCAACACCAGACAGGCCCTGGGGCTCCATATCCCTCGACTTCATCGAAGGACTACCACCATCAAAGAAGTATGACTTCAAGACCTATGACTCTATCTTAGTCATTGTTGACAGGTTAACCAAGTTTGCCATACTAGCTCCAACCCATAAGACAGTCACAGCCAAACAGACTGCAGTGTTGCTATACAGACACATGGTTAGACTTTTTGGATACCCAGATCACATGGTCTTGGACCGAGGCAGGCAGTTCATATCAGGAGCATGGAAGGCATTCACAGAACAAATGGGTGTGAAGCACTCACTTAGCACAGCCTACCTTCCTCAAACTGATGGTCAGACAGAGAGGGTCAATCAGGTCATAGAGCAGTACCTAAGGATGTACTGCAACTATGAGCAGAATGACTGGGCTGACCTGCTGGACACTGCAGCCTTTGTATACAACAACACAGTCCACAACAGCATTGGTGTCTCACCATTCTTTGCATGCTATGGATGGAACCCCAAAGCTCATCCTGACATCCCTCAACAACTAGGAGTCAATGATCCAGGTTGCTTCGAGTACCTCATGGATGGAAAGGAGCATTGCAAGTACCTCCAGGAGCAGATCAGAGAGGCACAACATAGATCAGTAGACCAGTATAACAGGAAGCACAAGGACATCGAGTTCAAGGTGGGTGATATGGTCTATATCAACCGTCGAAACTGGAAGACACGGAGACCCACACCCAAGTTGGATACCCGGTTTGCAGGACCCTACCCAGTTCAGGAACGGGTAGGACGCCGAGCTTATCGGATCACATTGCCAGCAAACCTTAGGGTGCATGATGTGTTCCATGTCTCCATGCTCGAACCAGCAAGAACAAGTTCTCTTCCTCAACGAGCTGAACAGCCCACCATACCATCACTTCCTGATGAGGACCTCAATTTCAAAGTCAAAGCACTCATTGACAAGCATTCACATAATGGGACTACAGAGTACAAAGTGTTGTGGAGAGGGTACTCAGAAGAAGCTGCTTCATGGGAACCAGTAGAGAATCTCAACTGCCCCGACCTCATCCAGGAGTATGAGGTGTCGGAGGGGGGACGAGCGAGTAGACAGAGTAGAGAGAGGAGGAGAGAACAGGAGGAATAGAGAGAGAAGGAGGAAGGAGAATGATGTTGAGAGAAGGAGGAAGGGTTATGTTGGCGAGGTTGTCGAGGAGGAGGAGGAGGAGGAGGAGGAGGAGGAGTCAGCATGAACCAGACCAGAGCATGCCTCGACGGAGCTCGGCTCTTAAGAGGGGGGTAGTGTCATGGGCCTGGATGCTCAAGAAGCAGGAGGGTCACTGGTTCATATGGAAGGAGCACAGGTATTGAAGATCTAGTCGATACCAGTAGAGAGCATGGTCATAGTGCAGTCTCCATGGAGACCATGGACTCCTATGGACTCACATGCAAAGGAGGACTGAGCCATATGCGAGGAGGGCCAGGCACAGCCACAAGGAGGACCAAGCTCAAGGAGCAGGCACAGCCACGAAGAGGACCAAGCTCAAGGAGCATGCAGATGGTTACCACTCAGGGGGCTTGAGAGACAAGAGTCAAAAGAACTGTCACTGGTCAAAGGGAAGGAGCAGTGTATAGGGAACCGGCAAGCAGGTCCTGAGGAGGAGGAGCAGTGTCGAAGGAGTCGACACCACTCAGGAGGCACAAAGGTGCCAAACAAGCAGGATAGCAAGGAGGAGGAGCAGTGTCGAAGGAGTTGACACAGCTCAAGAGGCACAGGGGTGCCAAGCAAGCAGGATAGCAAGGAGGAGGAGCAGTGTTGAAGGAGTTGATAGCTCAAGGAGGACAGGAGTGGTGCCAGAGGGGCCCCCTGTACAGTACTTGATGAAGAGAGAGCAGGAGCAGCATCGCTGGTGACACTGTGAAGAGGTATAAAACCATGCTTTCTCATCATCAAAGGTCGAGTGGATCCTCATCCACTCTACACACATCATAACTAGTTATCACTTCAGCATAAGTATATATTAGTTTCAGTCAGCATAGTAGCAATCTATCAAGGTTGCTCCTCATCATAGTGTGTGTGTTGTATCACCACTACCTGATGTCCGAAGGTGCCCCATAGCAGGTCAGTGGTCCGGATCAAGATAGAACCAAAGGCAGTAGTCCACTGCGGTCCGGGGATCACTTCAAGCATCAAAGTCAACACACTGGACACTCGTGTTGACACCACCAACCTTATCACCAACACCATCAACCTCATTATCATTGACACCACCAATCTCATCATCAACACCATCAACCTCATCATCATCAACACTCACACCAGACCTTGGTGTCATCATAACCTATGTATTGATATTGATCATGCCGAGCTACCCCTGAATGGAGTGTCCACAGAGGTCAGCCGAAACCTACGATAGTATATACAATGAATGCCACCTGCTGTCATCACACAACTTGATAGTCACCAAGCAACTAGCTTGTCAAGACTGATATGGAGACAATAGCTGTCACACAGTTTGATAGTCACCAAGTATCTCGACAGACCGACCTGGGTTTCAGGCGCGAGACCCCTGACAGGGGGTAATGTCATGGGCCTGGGTGCACAGAACGAGGAAAGACCGAAGTTCATATGAAGGTAGTGCAGGAATCGTGGAATCGGGTAGATCGTAGGAGCTGCAACAGAGTTCACCGAGATTGGCAGTAGAATCAGCTCTATGGCAGACCACAGCGAAATTGGCATGAGCATCGTGTCAGCGGTCGTGTGCCTAACACCCGACTCTCTGCAGAATGGGTCGTCTCAGCGGAACTCAGTGAGTTCCAATAGAGAGGGTAGCCTGAGTGTACTTCTCGGAGAACTGGTGAGGAAGTTCTCTTGAATGGTTATCCGTGATACCCAATGAGTGAGGCCTGAGGAACAGATATCAACTGACTGCTGTTGGCACTCCATACAGAGGTAACACGGCAAGGTCAGCTCCTAACGATGGAGTAGTACAATGCTGGCGCGAGTGTCAAGACGTCGGCGTAGTACTGCGAGTGATGGAGCTAGTGCTCAGCCGGGAATGTCAGCAGTCGCTATAGGGACTGGTGGAGGTTCCAGGCCCGCAGTGGAGGTTCCGCCTGTAGTTGAGGTGCTACAGCGCCGATGTAGTTGTCGACGACGTCGTTTACAATACTCTTCATTTGATGACGAAGGCTCAGACTTGCAATGGTCGCAATAGATGATATTGCATTGTGTGACGTAGAAAGAATGTTACTGTCCATGTAGTAGAACGTACAGCTATGATAACTGTGAAGGTTTTCTGTTGTAGAGTGGATGAGTCCCTGCTCATCCAATAGCATGGGGAGATAGTATATATACCATGCTGCATCAAGGACACGATCTAGCGCCACCACACAACCTGCATGTGGCACCACTCAGGGCTTGCTTGGTAAGGCTGACTTCAGCACCTTCCCGAGCTGCCAAACCAACCACACTTCCAGAGTGATTGTTCCCTAGCAATTCATCACGTGTCTGATCATCGTCGATCGACGACAACAACCTCCATGTGTACCACAGAGTGGCGTTACTCAACAACCCTCCTATCTGTTCCCGCCGCCAGTAGTCCTCGATGTCCAGCGAGTTATGGTCTCCTACTGGATCTCCTTGGGAACTGCCGAGTCAGGTTCTTATGCCGCCCTTCAACCGATTTAACCTCTCTGTCTGCGCAGATGGCGCAGACTCCATTTCGGCCGACCGGCTCCCGTGACACATCGTTGATATCACGGATCCCACCAGAATCTGCAGCAAGCGAGATCGTGTGGCAGATTCCACAGAGATCGGTAGTAAGGATGTCCATATGACGATTCACATGCAAGAGGGACCAAGCTCAGTGACACACAGTTGGTTACCACTCAGGGGCCCACAGGACAGGAGTAGAAGAGAACTGTCACTGGTCAAAGGAAGGAGATCTGTGTATAGGACACTGGTAAAAGGGATATGAAGAGGAGGAGCAGTGTCGATGAAGTCGACACAGCTCAGGAAAGACAGGAGGGACAAGGCTTGATATGGAGGAGGTGCCTCCTTGGAGATCCCTGTGCAGTACTCAACGAAGAGGGTACTCTCTGGAGAGAGGGAGCAGGAGCAGTGTTGCTGGCAATGCTGCAAAGAGGTATATAGTCCTACCTCCTCATCACAAATGGTCGAGTGGATCCTCATCCACTCTACTCACTCACAAAACAAACTAGTATTACTTCAAGCAATAAGTATCATTAGTTCAGTCAGCATAGTAGTAATCAACAGATTGCTCCTCATCGAAGCGCATGTGTTGTATCACCGTTTCCTGACGTCTGAAGGTGGTTCGTAGCAAACCAGTGGTCCAGATAACAATAGAACTGAAGGCAGATGTCCACTGCGGCCCAGGGATCACTTCAAGTGTTAGCCGACACACTGGACACTCGTGTCAGCATCATCAATCCATACTCACACCAGTCCATTGGTGTCAACATCAAGCTCACTTAGAGTCGTATCATAGTTTGATCATGCTGAGCTACCTCTGGACAGAGTGTCCACAGTGGTTAGTCAAAATCTGTCATAACGATAATACAACTACAGATTCCAACGAGAAAGGTGACAGAGAAGGCTCTGTCACATATTTCACTAGGAATCGAAATACCATTAGCGCTGTCACATTACTCGACAGAATCGGTGATAGTATCAATACTACCACAGATCTCAGGTTTCAGGCGCATGACCGCTGACACCAATCAAGAAGAAACCCAGGGCTTCAACACAGCAACTCTGGCATGAGCATTTAGGACATCCAGGTCAAGACAAAGCCAGGGCGATAATCAGGAAGTTGGGAGACAAGCTTGCAATAGAGGTAGACCCAGATACAGCTCTGACATGTGAGCAGTGTGTCATGGGACCAGAGGGATGCGCAGGAAGAACTAATTTCATATGAAGAGGAGTGCAGAAATCGCAGGATCAGGCTAGACAGGAGTTTATGGCAGAGTTTGCTGAAGTTGGTAGTAGTAATGACTCTATGGCATAATTCATTGTGATCAGTAGGAATGTGGGTCTTCCTACAGGAGTTGGTAGAACTAGTAATATCATGCTCGCAACATAAGATCTCACAGGGTTTGGTTTGGGAGAGGCCTCTATTGCCGATAGGGCAAGAGGATGATGATGAACAAGGGGAGGTCACCACTGGATGAAGGAGGGGCCCAACCAGACAATGAACTTAAGGCAGACTGGTGGGCAAGATAAGTAGGAGCATGCATTGCCATTCAGATGAAGTGGGACTGGCCCCTGACAGAGATGAGACATTGGGGCCCATCCATCCACAGGGAACAAGGGGGTGGTGCCAATGAGTAGCATCACAAGGTGGATGGAGAGCGAAGGAGGCACAAGGAGAGGGAGCAGTGTTGCAGGTGACACTGTAAGATAGGTATATAACCATGCCCCTCATCATAACAAGGGAGTGGATCACCATCCACTCTACACCATACATAACTAGTTATCACTTCACCTAAGTATACATTAGTTTACAGTCAGCAAAGTCACAATCAAGAAGAGTGCTTCCATAGTAGCATGTGTGTTGTATCACTGCTCACTGATGTCCAAAGGCAGTTCATAGCAAACCAGCAGTCCAGATAACAATAGAACTGAAGGCAGTCATCCACTGCAGTCCAGAGATCACCTCAAGCACTCAGTTGACACACTGGACACTCATGTTGACAACAGCAATCACAATCACACCAGACCTTGGTGTTAACATCAGTTCATAGCAGTTATTGATCATGCTGAGCTACCTCTGGACAGAGTGTCCACAGCAGTTAGTCAAAACCTGCAATAGCAAAATCATTACTACATCTTTGGGCAAGAAAAGTAATAGAGACATCTCTACTACATATCTCAACAAGAATCACAATACTTCAAGCATTGTTGCATAACTCAACAGGATTTGTGATAGATGAGTTTCTATTACAGATATCAGGTTTTGGGCACGCAACCTCTGACACAGTGTATACGGTCCAAAAGCACCATGGCAAGAATGGGAAAGGGGAGCAGCAACAGAGCTTGCACCCTGCTAGATCTCATACACATGGACTTGATCAATGATGCATCCCACATGACAGAATACACATGCACACTGGTGTTGGTTGACA